CTGTAATGTGTGAAGATTCCCCACCCCCCCAGCTGATTTGCAGGTCAAGTTTTCTCAGGTTCATCAACACAAGCCAATTCCACTTCCACCCACCCCCAAATGGACATGTTTGGTCACTGAACCTGTGAACAAAGCTCCAGAATGTATCCTGGGGGTGGAACCCTGCAGGGTGAGTGAATCTCAAACATCTTGGGCTCATCATCTAGGCACATGCCGAATTGTTGGAAAAGAGTGTTTCGAACTTGTGCAAAGACTTTGACCTGGTTAAAAATGGCCCTGCGAATTGCCACTTAATTCAGCTTTGTTGTCATCAACAGCATGAGAGTGACAGGCTGCACATTATATACTCAATGCAACCAGGTGTGCTCACTCTCTCGCTCTCAGATATATACATCCATTCCATCATTATGAACAACAAGAATGTAACATGTTAACATACCCAAAATAAAATTCACTCCACCCGCCCCCCACATATAGAACCAAGCACAGTTTTCAGAAAGAATCCTGAGGCAAACTGATACCCACCTCACCACTTAATTTCAACGGGATATGGGCTTTTTATTTCTCTGAAAACTTACGAGCCAAAGATAGATGTTTAACTTAAACATTTGAAGAAGAAAAAAACAGAGCATGACAATACACGTGAAAACAGGAAGGGGTCATTGAGCCAATGGATTAACCCCGAGACACTCTAGGAAAGAAAGAAAACACAAAAGTTGAAACCCTAAAGTAAATAGGATCTGTACTACTCAAGAAGTATCAGGACGAAGACTTAACAAAGAGTATGCAGCATAAAACTGGGGGTTTACGTATGTATATGTCGGAGGGACCCAAAGCTGGACAGAGTTTAGAGTCATAAGGTTTCCTCTTTGGCATAACTACATGTGACAATTTAATACAGCCCAGACTGCATGCCCTGTTTGGATTAACCTATAATGCAATGTGCAGTAGGAAAACACACTGGATCACCCTTTGCCACCCAGATGCTAGAGTACAGGGAATATCCACATGTAAATGTAGTATCTGCCTAGCATGTGTGCACACAAAATACCTCACATTTAGACCTGAATGACAGGACCACTGCCCAGAATTATTATTTTTTTTTTAAAAAAGGTAAACTACAGTGTAGTTTGACCCTACGAAAGCATTACAACCTATGTGGGAATATCCAAGAGGTTGACAGATACTATCCTCCTTCCCTAAGAGTGTTCTAAGCTTGTTCAAACTAAGCCTGTGTTTAAAAAGAAATACAGCATTATATTAAAAGAGAATCACATTTAGACTTGGTGTTGGCAAACACAAGAGTTGTGTTGCATCTCTGATCATGGGGAAGAACTGGGGAAGTGAAACGATGGTGTGATCCAGACACCTCCTCTGGGTTTGCTCATTATTTCAAAGTCCTGGAATAATGTCCTGGAATATATTACTGAATAACTTGATCAAGGGGGAGGCAAAAAAAATAAAAAAATCTCTCAGCCTAAAAAACCAAGTGGATACAAACAAGCATTGCCCAGGTTACAGCCTCTTCTCAGTCTCTTGTGGGACAACCCAGTCTGAAGTAGGTCTTTAGGTGAATTTGATGTGCCCCACTATTCCCATGTGGTTTACTGAATTCACAGACAGGAACAAATCGGCTGACCACATGCCGAGATCAACAGCTGACATCTCCACAACGTGGCTGGATGCAAACACCACCGATCCACACCATATATTCAAAGCACATTGCTTCTCCCAAGGTATCCTGGGAACTGCAGTTTGATGGGAATCGCACCTCTGGAAAGGGTAAAACTACAGTTCCCAGGAATCTTTGGCGGAAAGCCATGCCCTTTAAATGTATGGTGTGGATTTGACCTAAATAACTGAATGTGTAACTTGCTGGGTCCTTCTGTAAATAGAAAGAGCTTTGGAAACCTTTACTGCTGTGTCTCTACAGCAATGGCAGCATTTGTTATTCTAAGTTACACAACCAACTGATCTAAGAAAGACGCATGCCAAAGAACTAAAACCAGTTAGACATCATGGATCTTCCACAAGCAGTTAAGAGAAGCACAGGGAGGCTGCATATGTTGTTCTCTTGCCAGACCACTTTGCCTCCTGCCATCTTATAGCATTGTTCTAAACAAATTCCATTTAATAGACTAGCCATCTTCTCTACTGAATACAGCCACTATCCCCAGGCCCACATTACCAGTAGGTTCCCACCTACAACAACAACAGCCACCACCCCCTTTCCCAACCCCCATCTACAGCAACTGGGGATCATCAGACTAACAGCGCCCCTCCCCCAGAAAATCATTCAATTCCATTCATTTTCAAAAAGATGGACACGAGATCTACCCCGGCAGCGTTAAGACATTTTGTATACAATTTCACAGACTTAGGGTGAATACATGAAACCTACTGCTTCATAAATGGCTATTGCAGGGCTGTATGTACAGTCCTCTGGCAAGTGATGAAGGGAATTTGACTCCACATTTGCACCTTGTCAGGAACCCAACAAGACAGGGGAATGGTGAAATTCTCCTTATCGACTGCCAGGGCCATGCAGATAACCTGTTTGTTAACCAAGCAGCACAACAAAGTAACCTAGCAAATAGTCGTTAGGATAAAGAGCATTACCTCTTTGCAAATGCCCAAGATGTTCTAACTGTAATTGCTTAGATTTCCTGTCTTCTCCTTACCCACATAAGTCCCATAAGAGATGGGGGTTAAGTATACACAACTGGGGGAGAACCCGAGACTACAGAAGTCAGTTCTAAAAAGAATTATCTTTCTACCACCAGAAATCAGAGATGGTGCTGGTTTGCATCATTAGTCCACCTAGCTTAGCCTTCCCCAGACTTCCAGATGTTTTGGCCTACAACCCCCATCAACCCCCAGGAGTTGTAACACAAAATGTCTGCAGAGCATTGGGTTGGGAAAGGCCAAGCTAGTTCAGCACTGTCTTTTTCACAATAAAGACGCACATTGCTTATTTTATTTTTTTAGCTACTTAGGCAAAAGAGGAATTTTGTAATAGAAAAAATTTCACTGGCATCTCAATAAGTGCAGCCCCCTCCCAGTCAGCAAGCACTAATTTGGCAAGTGGGAGTGGGAAATAATGAATTTTTAAAATTATTATTATTATTTTAAAAATTGTGTTTTTATTAGCACACACCTCAGAATTGCTGCAAAACTATCCTTGGCCTTATCCGAGATTGTACTGGTGGAAGTATAAGTTCATTTCAATAATACTGTATTTAAAAGCCAGCCACTTCACTCACTTAATTCTTACTAGCCAGAAGGGCTCACATATCTGGATTCAACAGTGACAGGGTGGCCACAGTGCTTGAAGTAAACTGAGGTTCCAGCTGTTTGTGCGTGTTGCAGGGAGAGAACGAGAGAAATACATTCACCATTACAGTTTGTCCGGATTTGCCAGCTCAGATTCCCCATTCATCTTGGTAGGAATGCTTGACACAAGATACAAAATGGGAGCAGATAAGGTAACAGAGACAACACGAGGGTGAACTCTGAACCCACCTATGGAAACCCCAGGTGGGATGCTTCTAAGACGGACTCCCAAAATCCACATTCATGCGATCAATGTAAGGCAGTAAAAAGTTGGAATCTCACCACGATTTGCGGCAACTTTCATTATTGCCAGCCTGAATTTGGGGGAGACCAGGGGAATTGCAGAAGGTGCCGTGCCTGCGATCGGTGATCTCGCTGCCAAATGACTGACAAGCTGGCCATTTGCTAGAGCACAAAAGAGTAGCCCAGGGTCTTGCTGGCTCAACAGAGCTGCATGACAGCACCCAAGGAAGTTGGAGGCAGCACGAGACAATTCTCAATTTGCACCCCTCAAGCTCTATTAAGGAGGCCTCCATTTAGCATGCCTCGCAGGGTAAGGAACGAGGCTCAAGACAGGATTCCTGTGAGTGCAAAAAGCAGCTCAACTCTCACACTCTTCAACTTCCTGTGCATGTCAATGAGGTTTAGAAGCACAGGATGGTGAGTTATGATCAAAATCTTAATTGCTCACACATGGAATACTCAGTTCTTTAGCGCCTTCAGAATTCTATGCAGTAAACAGGAGACTTTGTGGACTGCATTAAAAACACATTTTGACCACCCGAAAACTTAGTTATGAAACAACTGCCATGAAATAGTACAAATTTGGCAACTTCAGTATACAAAATCCTGACCTTGTGACTAATTTGCCGCCTCCTCTGCACCTGAATTTCTCCCCACCCCCTCTCTCTTATACTGATTACAATAAGGGAATCAAAAATGCAAACTTAATCACTGCCTCTCCATCATCTGTACTCTTTATTACTCATTCCCAGTGGAATCGTAAAAGCTGTGTGATTGGAAGCGGAATGATTCAATGTCATCTTGGTTTCCTTTTTGGAGATGTTTGCAAGTTAACTGCTCTTGGATCTCTGAAAGGAAGGGAAAAAAAAGACTTCCACAGTGCATTGCTCAGCTGACAAGCGTGAGAGGGGGAAAATCAGTTTTGGCTGAACCATTTAACGATTTGTATTTAAAATTAAATATACAGCAACAGCCAGCCAGTGCCCCCAAAAGGTACATTTTCAAAACGGAGCCTCTATACAACTAAAACTGACAGCTATAAACAGGCTAAATACAATAACATATCAGAGCTTCGGCAGTACAGAGTGAAGAATACGCAAAGCCTGTTTGCTATGGCACATTGGAGAAATTATGCATCACTTGCTTTCTGTTAAAAAACAAACAAAACCAGAGTCTGCCTCTGTGCTGAGTATGTGCTGCTCCACAGTGCTAGTCCATTTTTTCCCATTCCAAAAGGCCTATACATAGGCCTGCCACTCATGCTCACACAGCAGAGATTGTACCTTTTCTTTTCCTTTTCTTTTGTGCAATGTGTTAGCAATCTAAACAACTGCTCCACACGGACTTGCCCACAACCACTCGTACACAATACTAACACCACGGCAAATTACATACAAGAGGAAAAGCGACAGAAAACTTTCTTGCTAGATCACGTATTTCTCCCCATCCGGAACAAACGTCGCATCCTGCAGGCTAGCAGAGCCAAAGTTTGATTTCTGCACGTAATTTCTCTTCTTGACAGGAGACAACGCCTCCAACATGGACCCGGAAATGTTGTTAGCAGTCCTGATTTTAGCAGCCACAGACTGTGTTGTAGCAGAAGACATTTTGTTATTGGCGAGCACATCCAAATTTCCACTTGGGTCAATGATGGCATTTATAACTGCAGAAAAGAGGGAGAGAAAGCCAAGTGAGACTTAAGATGGATTTATAGGGCTACAGGGCTACACATTCTCATTCATTCTCTCTCTCTCTCTCTCCACTCAATGCTAACCCCCTGTTACTTCACACTTGATGGCTGGCAGTCAAGCAGATGAATGGCTTCTATTTTATTTTGTTTGTTAAGTATTATCTGTTTTATTGCATTATTATTATTATTATTATTATTATTATTATCCTGTGGGGAGCCGCCCAGAGTGGCTGGGGAGGCCCAACCAGAAGGGAAGGGTATAAATATCATCATCATCATCATTTCCAAAACAATGCCAGGTGATATAAAACCTGGCATGCAGGGAATTGGGCAGCAGGGGGCGCTATAATAGTATAATAATAATTTATTATTTATACCACGCCTATCTGGCTGGGTTTCCCCAGCCTCTCTGGGCGGCTCCCAACAAAATATTAATGATAATAATAAATAAAAAGCAATAAAACATCAAACATTAAAAACTTCCCTAAACAGGACTGCCTTCAGATGTCTTCTAAAAGTCAGATAGTTGTTTATTTCCTTGACATCTGATGGGAGGGCGTTCCACAGGGAGGGTGCCACTACCGAGAAGGCCCCGCTGCCTGGTTCCCTGTAACTTTGATTCTCGCAGTGAGGGAACCGCCAGAAGGCCCTTGGAGCTGGACCTCAGTGTCCCAGTTGAACGATAGGGGTGGAGACGGTCCTTCAGATATACTGGACCGAGGCCATTTAGGGCTTTAAAGGTCAGCACCAACACTTTGAATTGTGCTCGGAAACGTACATATGTTCTTCTTTCCCTTTTATCTGTGGGTGGATCTACACTCATGGTTTATAACGTTAAGAAAGAGTTAAGGGATGATTTTCAAAAGGTAAAGGTCACATTACGTTTTGCTAAGAAGGTTAATAAAGCGTTAGTAAATGTGACACCAGAGGGCGCTGCAGAGCAACCAGGAACCAGGCAGTAAGGGGAACTGCTGTTACAGAGGAATAACAATAAGGTAATGAATGTAATTTTTGCAGTATGCCCTGTGACGTTTTAGAACGGCATAGGCAATATCGCTCTAATGACGTTTTAAAAGGTCAGTGTAGATCCAGCCCAGCTCTTAGTACAATGAACTGCATTTAACGCAAATCAAAGAGAAAAAGGGAGGTCAAAATAAGGCAAACCTTCTAGTTGTTTCTGGACTCTGCGGAGCTCCTTCAAAATAGAGCTGATTTCCTAGTAATAAAGAACGATATGTTTAGTAATTCAAACGCTAAAGGGACTGAGAACGCGTTTATTCTATCAGTGAAAGCAATTTCTGTCTAGCTCCAGATCTGTTCAACTTCCCATATTAAAACATAAACTGGGGCAAAGTTTCTAAATTAGCCTCTCTCTTTTTTCTATTTAAAGGTTTTTAAAGTCACATTTGGTTTCTGAAAGCTTCACCCCACCCGCCCTCTAGTAGTAGTAGTAAAACTCAATATTTTGACCTTACAAATGTCATTTGTAAGAGCAGCCATGTACCAGTGCCCTTTCAACAAAAAGAAGTGTGAAAAAAGGAGACAAAATTAAGAACCAAAATCTGTAACGAGCCAAGTTTCGAGATTTTCACTTCAGATGCACATTTCAATGAATGTAACAGAAGAAGAGGCTGCCTAGTCCAACATCATATTCTCACAGTGGCTGAAAAGATGCTTAGGGGAAGATCTTGAAAGTGACAGCACTTTCTCCAATTGTGATTTCCAGTAACTGATAATCAGAGGCATAATCCTCTTATGAAGTCACTCAAGTTGGTGGTTATTACTACATCTAGTGGAAGCACTTTCCATAGTTTAACGATGTGCTCCATTAAGAAACTGCTTTCTTCTGTCTGTCCTGAACTTTCCAAAATTCAGCTTCGTTTTGCTGGTTGTCCCTGAATTCTCGCATAATTTTATGCACCTCTATCATGCCTCCCCCCTTGCACTCATTCTAGTGCCCTGCATTCATCTTAACTGTGCCATCAATAAATAAAAGAAGGAAGGTAGGTTTGCGCATGTAAGTCTAAGGGTTGAAGATCAACAAAGTCTTCTTGTAAAACTAAGCACACAGTACAGGACAAACATTCCCCACCTTGTTTGAGGTCTTTAGAATTGGCACTTCATTTTCAGAGTTAATCTTGGCCTCCATCTCCTCCCATGTCCGCTCAGTATTCTGGAACAGAATTCTGACACACAACATAAGACAATGTTTTGTCAAAAAAAAAGGAACATGCTCAGGAATAATTGTCTCCAATACAGTAATAAACTAGGGTGAAGAACCTGTGGCCCTTTTGGTCTCCACTCTCTCTCTCTTTTTTATTATGTATTTTATCTTCTTCTTTTGTATTTGTATGCTGTGAATCACCCTTAGATCTTTGGGTGAAGGATGGTCTACACACTTAATAAATTATAAATTAAATGAAATTCCCATCAGGCCCAAGCTGACGATGGGGGTGATGGGAGTTGTAGTCCAACAACAACTGGACAACCACAGATTCCCCCACCCCTGGCATATAGATTTCTACCTCCCACATCTGCCTGTCGATGCATTAAGATCATCCTTAGTTACGAGAAAGGAGATTTCAATGAAACATCAGGAAGAACTTTCTGGTGGTTAGGAGCTGTTCGCCAGTGGAATGGTCTCCCTCGGGAGGTTGTGGACTCTCCTCTTCCTTGGAAGTTTTTATCAGAGGTTGGATGGCCACCTGTCATGTGTGATCTATTGAGAATCCTGCATTGCAGGGGGTTGGACTAAATGACTCTTGGGGTCCCTTCCAATTCTATAATTCTATGATTCTATCAAAGACCGTTCTCTGAGCTCCCCTGCATTCTGAAGTCAGGGGCAATGAGAGGGAGGCAGCAGTTCCAATGTAGGCTTCTAAATGAGCCCACAGAAACTGTATTATAAAGAGAGGGAGGGATTAACATGTATGACAACCTGCTACAGTGCACATTCAGAAGGCCTCATGGAGAATGTGCAAATAATATTTTCATGAGGAGGAGGAGGAGGAGGAGGAAGAAGAAGAAGAAGAAGAGGAGGAGGAGGAGGAGTTTGGATTTGATATCCCACTTTATCACTACCCTAAGGAGTCTCAAAGGGGCTAACAACCTCCTTTCCCTTCCTCCCCCACAACAAACACTCTGTGAGGTGAGTGGGGCTGAGAGACTTCAGAGAAGTGTGACTAGCCCAAGGTCACCCAGCAGCTGCATGTGGAGGAGCGGGACAGCGAACCCAGTTCACCAGATTACGAGTCCACCGCTCTTAACCACCACATCACACTGGCTCTCGAATTGTCCACATTTCCCTGTCAATATACAGTACATTATCTCCAACAGGCCTTGGGAAATGTGCAGGTCTTGGCAGAAAAAACCCTCGCTATTTGAATCAGTCATCTCCTCCGGACCAGGAGCCTGGGGTAGCGTGCAACAGGGTTCCTCCACAGCTTCACCACTGTGAAGTTTAGACTGAGGGCATCCACTCACTTCATTTTCTCCGCCAGGTTCTCTGTGTGTTCCCGGATGGTGTGGGATAACTGGGACACTGGATTCAGCATCAAGTTGTCAAAGATTACCTGAAACGCAACACCACAAACAGCAACATTTCCTTTTTTTCAAAAAAAATTATTGCTTTTCCAAATTTATAACAAACATAAACAGACAAACAAACATAAATCCTAACTGTAATAATTCCACTTTTGTTAACATTGTTAAGTGACTTCCTCGAATCGCCCTGGCCGAGTTTCAATGTATATCATTGTAACAGTTTTCCAAAACTAATTTCTCATAAAATTTACTTAGTCGATTAACATCTTTTTTTCTTTTCATATTAACTTCAAACATATTATTCTATAACATCACATATTTAAATCCTAAGCCAATCTGGTACTTGCAAGTATTTCTATTTAAGTTATCTTAGCAACATTTCTTTCTGCAGAAGCTGGTGTTTATCAGAAGTGATACTACAACAGGATTAGACCTCTGCATTTGGAGGATATATTCATGGTGTTTTCCCAAATGAAACAATGTTTTGTGTTACTAACAGGGAAGGGATCAGGTCTACTTGTAGAGCAGCAGTTCTCAACCTATGGGTCCCCAGATGTTGTTGGACTACAACTCCCATCATCCCTGAGCTCTGGCCTTGCTAGCTAGGGGTGATGGGAGTTGTAGTTCAACAACATCTGGGGAACCACAAGTTGAGAAAGGCTGTTGTAGAACTTCACTGGCAGATTATAACCTGATATGATAAGTGCCAATGGGCTGAATACAAATGGTTGCATGGGAAGCTTGGTGTATACTTTTAGAACTTCATAAGATCCTAGCCAATGTATTTTTTTCACACAAGCTGGTTTTAATCTGCTGAAGCTTCCTGAAGTCTTTCCATGATTTTAAAAACAATTAAAAAATAATAATCACAAAAAAGGCTACTGCTTGATCAGCTAAACTGAAACAGGGATGGGAAACCTGTGGCCTTCTAGATTATGCTAGATTGCAACTACCATGATCCCTGACCACTGGCTCATGTTGGCTGGGCTTGATGGTATACCTGAAGGAGCATCTCCACCCCCATCGTTCAGCCCGGACACTGAGGTCCAGCGCCGAGGGTCTTCTGGCAGTTCCCTCACTGTGAGAAGTGAGGTTACAGGGAACCAGGCAGAGGGCCTTCTTGGTAGTGGCGCCAGCCCTGTGGAACGCCCTTCCATCAGATGTCAAAGAAATAAACAACTGTCTGACATTTAGAAGACATCTGAAGGCAGCCCTGTTTAGGGAAGTTTTTAATGACTGATGTTTTAATGTGTTTTTAATCTTTTGTTGGAAGCCGTCCAGAGCGGCTGAGGAAACCCAGCCAGATGGGTGGGGTATAAACAATAAATTATTATTGTTATTATTGTTATTATTGTTATTATTGTTATTGTTGTTGTTATTATTATTATAGTCCAGGATGTAGAAAGTCACAGATTCCCCATTCATGAATTAAAACAAGCTCCTGATAAATGAGGCACAATTCATTTATTTTTGAATATTTGCTCCCAGATGACTGTCTAATACTAATGTGCTGTTCCCAAATGACTGTCTACAACAGTGATTGGAAACCTCCAGGTCCATGGGCCTGATTAGAACGCGAGATCTTCCCATTTGCCTGAGCCATGCCCACCTTCCCTACATGCCCTGGGGATCAGCTTGCCTAGAGCTGTGCTCTATGCGACGTCAGGTGACTGACAGGTGGGTAGCCCTGTAACTGCCAGCTTTGACAACCTGGTGTTAAACTATCTGTTGCGTGGCTTGTGAGCACACTTGACAAGAACTTACCTCTTCCCTGTTTCTCATCCTTGTTTTCCTTGTGAGATCCTCTTCTCGGCTGTCATTCATATTTTGGTCATAATCGTGGAATCCTGTTGAGCCAGGAGGCACCTTCTGGTAGTTCAGGCTTGCTTCTGGTATGTGCTGAACCAGCTTTGAAATACATAACGAACGATGAGAGAATTTATTGTATATCGCCGTTCGGGACAGAGGAATAAAAGTGTAGGGTAAAGCACATAGATCAGTGATGTCCAAACTTTTTTCAAAGAAGGCCAGATTTGATGACATGAAGGGCCATGAGGGCCGACCAAAGTTGTTGACCTTTTTTTAGGATAGAAGTTGTTGACCTTTGACCTTTTTTATGATTTTACCCCAAAGTTGTTGAGTTTAGGATTGAACTTGTTGAGGGTATTTTTTGGATTTTACCCCTGGAAATAAACTGCCACAGGGGATGGATTAAACCATCCGGCAGGCTGGATTAAGCCCCTGAAACAGACTCTGGCCATGCCTGACATAGGTGAACACTACGTCCTGCTTCATCTAGGCCGAACTACATGTTACATGTGTCCCAGGGACATTCCTCTAGTTCTTTCCCTCTTTAATGCGTATGAGTACCCTCCATGTGACCCGATGACATCGCACAGCCTGTTTTCCCGCCCCAGTTCGACAACACCAGCTACAACCGCAAGAAAAACTCATAATGTGATGGTGTCCCATCACAGGTTGAGTAGGGAAGAACAGATTATCGATGCAGCGACACTTTCAACAGCATTCCTATGTCATGCGTCTTTTCAGCCTTAGCCATTCCAAAATTTTGAGGCCTTTTCCCAACGCCCCCATTAGGTTTAGTCAAAATTTCACTATCAAAATAGCACAAAGGCATCCTGCACACCTTTTTCTATTCAGCTCACTGCTCAGTTAGCCCGTTTCCCAGGCAGTTCTTACGCTTGTTTGCATCTCTCCAGGGATGGAAGGAAAAAATGTGTTCAGTTCGCAATTTAACATGGAGCTACCCAACTCACCCTTTCCACGCAAATACGCAAAACGTGACAACCAGCCGTTCACCGAATTTTGCGGTGCAGCTCCCCCACCAGCAAAAAATGCTTTCTGAAAGAAGTGTACATTGGGGAAAGCGAGGTGACAAAACGGTTCTATCAGTGCACAAGAAAGCATCAAATTGGGGGGGGGGAGTGCTTGCAAACAAGAAAAGTGTGTACGTATTAGGCAAAATTGCATAGGAAAAATGTGTACATGAGGTGAAAGGGACACCAAAAATGCCTACAAATTTTCATGTGGTCTTTTTTTTTTTTTTTAATGTAAACTGATGTGAAAATGGGGATAAACAAATTGACAAATGTGAAACAGAGAGAAACCAAAACAGACAGATCTGCACATCCCTACATCGCAGCTGAACTGGGCAAAGCCAGCCATGTGGCAGGCAAGCATGCTCCCAGTCTGCACATGCTTGTTGTCATGTATTAATAGCGCATATCAGCTTAGGTTACCGTGCACATAAACCTAAGGAACATACAACCCTTACCATTTTTCAAAAAATGCCCTTCGCATTGCAGGGGGTTGGACTGAACAGGCTTTGGGGCCACTCCCAACTATACAATTTTGTGATGCAGGAACATGCAGAAGAGGGAAGGGGGCTGTGCCCAGGGACCACGGGCCCTGCCTCCAAATCTCTGCGTGTTTGGTGGGAGGTCTGAACGAGAGGCCTACGTGGGTGCAGTGCTAGGTTCCTCAAAGCAGTTTGGGATCCGTATTGTGCAGGGTTGCAAGCCGTGTGAAGGAAACAATGCGCATACAAACAGCCGGCTCTACTGTTAGGTATAGCTGCCTCAAGTGGCAGATGCTGAGACCGGTGTGTGTGTGTGAAAGACACAGCTCTGTGACCACACAGTCTGCCCTAATCTGGCCTGTAGAGCTTAGGTGCAGCGATGGACACTGTCTGGTCCCCAGCGCTGAAGTACCGTATTGGCCCGAATATAAGCTGCACTTTTTTTTTCCAAATTCCAATTGTGAAAAGTTAAAGTGCAGCTTATATTCACAATCTTACACTGCCAGCAAAGCGATGCAGCTCACCCCACCACCACCAGCAGGAAGCAGCCTGGGAGTGTGGGGCAACGGCGCCTAGCCCGTCTAACGCTCCCAAGCCTCCCCCAAGCTGCCGAATTGTAAAGGTGTGGCTTATTTGCAAGTGCAGCTTATATTCGGGCCAATATGGTAGTACAATTCAGCTGTCAGTCCAGGCAGATTCTCTATATGGAAATTGTCCTTTGTTTCATGCAGTGAAACGGCCCTGGGTATACAGTTATATGCATGCAGGCTTTCAATTCGGAACTTCTACCAAACAAGCAGAAATTGGGGCAGGGGGTGGCACTTTTTTTTCGGAATGGAGCTATCAAGTTCACTTCCACAAACCAGTGTTCTGAAAAGCCCAAAAATCAAAGGACAAAGATGTCACAGGCCTGGCATAGGTGAACAGAACTCTAAGTGCATACATGCCATGTAGATGTTGTGTCAAACATACTCGGGTCACGGGTGGGGAAAGTTGGGGCAGGAGCGAGGAGGAATAATTGGCTCCCGATTGCATCTTTTCCTAATTGAACTTCATCTTTAATAAATGTGTAACATAACCAGATCAAAGAAATGCAATTAATGCAATGCTAGAAAATGCAGGGAAGGAAAACAAAGGCAGAGAACGGTAATGCCATAACGATTAGCCAAATAATAATATATTTTTTAATTAAAAATACCCTACATCCCTAACTTAAAACATATTAATTTAAATGAGGTTTTTTGTTGTTGTTTTTTAAAAAGCAACTTTAAGAGCGCTTTAAAAAGTAGAAATAAGTGGGATGGAAAATGCACCTGAGATGGAATTGCTGCCCGCAAAGATGAATGAGCAATCTGCATTTAAAAAAAGAAAGGAAAAAGAAGAGATAGAGAGAGATCAATGTTGATCATAAGAGCAACAGAATCTGCACACACATATACAGAGAGGGTGAGCCAAAAGGCAAAAGTACAGAATAATGTAACTGAGAAAGCAAAAGGCAAATCAAAGAAGCAGCAATGTTCTCATAGAAAGTTCAAACATAACATTCAAGCATGCAAAACTGCCTCCTATTGAGTTAGGAGCCATGTTGTCCAGAACTGTCTGTTCTGATTGGCAGAACTGATGGTGTCTCCTTCCCAGCCCTGGTACCCAAGATCCTTTTAACAGGAAATGACACTATGGTGAGTCAAGATTTACGAATCAAGGTATTCTCCAGGAAAAAAATAACCACCATGAATGTATGCAGATTAAGGTATCCTTCTGAAAAATTATGGAAAATAGAAAATTGTGCAAGATATGGCTTTAAGATGGCAGAGACTCTTGGTTGCTTTTTAAAGAGCTGCGTTTAGACACCAGAACTGGACCGGAGCGTACAGAGTGGCACTCAGCAGATGTCCCAAAGCAACAGAGAAAAGCCCTTGAAGTGCTGCTAAAATCTTACACTGAGCATCTTTTAAGAACACTGTAGGGTGATCTTTGGACTTTGGGGTGGGGGGTTCAATGCTGCAGACTGCTGGACAGCAACTAGCGTTAAGGGAGGGAGGAACAAATCTCCCCAACTCCCCAAGAGCCAGTGGTGTAGTGGTTAAGAGCGATGGACTCGTAATCTGGTGAACTGGGTTCGCTTCCTCGCTCCTCCACATGCAGCTGCTGGGTGACCTTGGGCTAGTCACACTTCTCTGAAGTCTCTCAGCCTCATTCACCTCACAGAGTGTTTGTTGTGGGTGAGGAAGGGAAAGGAGAATGTTAGCCGCTTTGAGACTCCTTAGGGTAGTGATAAAGTGGGATATCAAGTCCAAATCCAAGTAGACTGACAGCATCAACCATGACCTCTTGTCTCCGGGCTGGTGATGGGAAGGAGGCAGCCTTTATTCTGGGCGGGGGGTGTCCCCGTTTCAGGTCCCAGGGTGAAATCCAAACCCACTTTGTGCCAGGTAGGAGAGGCTGGATTGCACAGAGGCACTCTGTTGGCATAAAATTCCCCATTATGCCCACCAAATGTGCAGGAGGGGGGCCAGTGCTGTTGGCAGGTTCCCTGCTGCTGGGGGCTGCCAGCCAAAAGCCCCAACGTGGGGGTGGAGAGTGGCTGAGCTGGTCCCACCCACCATCACAGGACGGCATTGGGTTCAATCCAGACCCAATTGCTGCACCATCTCCATTAGTTGGGGTTAGGATTGCACCTATAGCTCAAACAAACAAACAAACAAACAAAACGTTCAGGTTGGGGTTATCATATTTTAACGGTGTTTTCCTTTGAACTTTAACATCTTAGTTCTCCAGCCTTTCCAGCAGGTATCCTTATTTATAGAAACAAGATCAAGTCCCATAGTTTACAGACCACCACATGCATCTAGGCCAAGCTTGCTTGTATGAGAGTGGGAGCTACAGGGTTTCTGTTCCACCTGCAAATCGTTGCTATTTCAACCAGATTTTAAAGGTGGGAAAGTACAGCAGGTCTACAAAGCACCACACACACACACAGGAAGACTTCTCTATACTAATCTATTTCTATTAATATTTTACTTACAGGCAATAAAAAGTCCATATGGAACTGAGAGATAAGAGGGAGAATGGTTATTTGGCAGCTTCAAATGACAAGATCTGCAAGTAAGTAATTTAATAACCCAACGTTACCCATTCTCTGTTGGGAAAGTATCACCCTCCCAACTGAGTGCCCCGGGCTCTGCCTTGGTAAATCATAATATACAACCACCAGATGAACATAACGACAGAACTAAGGCATTTCCAGTGGTTTACAGTAGTGGTTCTAAGTCCAGTGTGAGGAGGCCAATACACTACATATACATGTATGATTATATTTCTACCCTAAGGTCATTGAGCGGGCTTCATGGCTGAGTGGAGATTCGAACTCTCATCTCCTGGGTCCTAACCCAACCCTCTAACCACTACACTGTGCCAGCTGTATTATTAATTAGCTAAACTTTTCCTGTCTTTGCTTTTAGAGGTGCTGAATTAGATTTGTTGGCAGTACCCTTGAATAGCTATTGTTGCTAAAAGAGGAATTGCTCTTCTCAAAACTGCCTTGGCAGAACAGGCTCCTCCTGCTCAGGAACTGCAAGGGGCAACCACTGGACGGAGGTCTCAAACTAGAGAGATGCAGGGCTGTGCAAGCGAAAGAGATTTCAGTTGCAAAGCAATCACGTTTAATACCTCCCGGTTAAGCATGTCCTCTGGGCAGTCCAGAAATTGCATTTCATTGAATTTAAATACAATCACGAAAACAATCAATATAAAAGCAGCACCTACATAAAATGAGCAAAAACCGGTGAACAAAGCAGCATAAGATCAATGCAACAACACTAACAACTGACCGGGGGAAAACAAAGTAGTTGCAAGAACTAAAAACATGAAAAGGTCTCCCTGCTATCACTGAAAATTCCCAATGCAAACTCCAGACCAACCTCTCTGGGGAGAGCATTCCAGGAACAGGGCACCACCACTGAGAAGGCCCTATCCCTAGTATCCATCCAGCTCACTTCACTAGGAGGGGGAACCTGGAAAAAGGGTCTCCAGTGAGGATCTTATAGTCCGGGCAGGTATGTACAGGGGAGGTGATTCTTCTGGTATCCTGACCTCAAGCCATTTAGGGCTTTAGACATTAATCCCTGTACTCTGAATTGGCTAGAAGCCATTGAAGGTGATGAAACACTGATGTAATGCCCTGATCTCGCCCCAGTCCCCATTAACCACAGTTGCATGGTCCAAGAGTTTTAGTAGTTTTGTTCTCAAGAACAGGAGTCTGTTCCCCCTTCCCTCCCTGTCTCCTCTCTCACTTCCTCCTGTGTTGAATTTCTGGTCATAAACTCCTGGAGGAAGGGACCAATTTGCTCAAACTCTGTAAAGCGCCATGCATGATAATGGCACCATGACAGAGAGTCCAACCAGGGAGAAGTAGCTCTTACTCCCTCCTTAACTGGAAAGATACACGTTGCAGCTTTACATATGAATGTGCATGCAAAATGAATGATCGTGGAGTAGAAAACTTGGATGTAATGTAGAAAAGCTAGCCGGTTACTGAATCTTAGGGAGAAAGGGTGTGTGTTTGTGGGGAGTGCACCATGTCATATAAAAATTGTTATGTACTGAAGTTCTCACCCTGGGCCAGCAGGGGGATACTGTAGATAGTTATGCAAATAAGGGATCGAAAGTGAAGTTCAGTGATTGGATAGTTTTAGAAAATTGTTACAGTTACGTTGTACTGGAGCTCTATATAAGCAGGCTGACTGAACCCTTCAGTTCAGTTCAGTTCTGGCCTGTGAATAAACAAGAGCTGTTTGAAGAATCACAGTGTCGTCTGATATGTTCACCCACAACTTAACAAAAATCCCAAAATGAAGGCTTGACTTTCAGTGGGGAGAGCTGACCTTGAATACAGCAGATTTCCAATATCCAGCACCAGAATTCTTTGTGAAAGGGAAACTGATTGCAAAACATAGGGAGGAACAAGATGTAACATCACGACATTGTGCATGTTCCTACCCCAATCTAACAGCAACCAATAGCCAGCCACAAGGCATGGGAGCAGAGAAACACAGGGTGTGATGAAGACAGGTCACACATTTCAGGAACCAAGCGTCACTCGGAGAAGAGGAGGAACTGGGCAGGGAACTGCCGTTACCACCACCCCATGCCTGGCATCCCATAGCAGTCCCTGTTCCTGGTCCCCATTATTGGAAGCTGCTGAGAGGGTTGCGGAAATACGGCAGGGGTCTCTGTAACTAAACATTTTGGGGAGAACTGGTTTGGTGTCCCAATAGCTTCTGACCTCATTTTGCTGCAAAAGAAAGAACTAGCAAAAAGGGCATAGGTAGGGTGAGCTAAAGTTAATTTTACTAAATCGAGAGGGCTTGAGAGTGTGGCTTGTGCTTTTCTTCCCCTGCTCCCAAGAAGGAGAGGAAATCAAGGGGAAGGTAGATGGGCCTTAGCAGGTACAGAATTTCTGAAACAGGGATAGGGTTGACTGGGACCCTCTGGCTCAGCTTTTCCCAAACTTGGGTCTCCAGCTGTTGTTGGACTACAACTCCCATCATCCCTAGCTAGCAAGACCAGTGGTCAGGGATGATGGGAATTGTAGTCCAAAACCAGCTGGAGACCCACGTTTGGGAAACGCTGCTCTGACCTAATGAAGCTTCCTCTAAGCTCTGTATTTTGGTTGCATTCACTACCGCATAGGTCTTAAGCCGCCATCTTACCTCTTCCCTTGCTGATATGGTAGAGGCAGGGGTGTTAGGCACAGAACTGTGGGAGGTGCTTGGCCCCGTTCCCGATGAGCTCTGGGAATCTCCATCTCCAGCAACGTCATGAATCTCTCGAGCAAGGATTGCTACGTCCTTCACCAAAGTCTGGCTCAATCTGGAGGAATAGCATGGAGAACTTAAGGACTGAGGAACGTTCAGCTACAAAGCCATCATGCTCAGCCCTTGTCTACATCTTATCTAGACAGGGGATATACAGTGGTACCTCAGGTTACATACGCTTCAGGTTACATACGCTTCAGGTTACAGACTCCGTTAACCCAGAAATAGTACCTCGGGTTAAGAACTTTGCTTCAGGATGAGAACAGAAATCGTGCTCCGGCGGCGCAGCAGCAGCAGGAGGCCCCATTAGCTAAAGTGGTGCTTCAGGTTAAGAACAGTTTCAGGTTAAGTACGGACCTCCGGAACGAATTAAGTACTTAACCTGAGGTACCACTGTACTCAAGAAAAAACTGAAACTATAATTCTCACACACACAAATGGAAAGATGCTTGCCCTTGAAAAATGCACAACCCAATTTAATTTTGCAGTTACACTTATTAAATTATGAAATTGCAGAACGTCTATTTTGCTACCTCAGGACAATACAGTGGTACCTCGCAAGACGAATGCCTCGCAAGACGAAAAACTCGCAAGACGAAAGAGTTTTTCGTTTTTTGAGTTGCTTCGCAAGACGAATTTCCCTATGGGCTTGCTTCGCAAGACGAAAACGTCTTGCGAGTTTGTTTCCTTTTTCTTAAAACCGTTAATACTGTACCCAGGGTGCATTGCTTGAAGAGGTGCAGTTGCGACTTGACTTCGAGGAGCAACTCATAGCACGCGGTGTGGTAGCCTTTTTTGAGGTGTGGTAGCCTTTTTTGATTTTCAATGCATTCCTATGGGAAACCGTGCTTCGCAAGACGAAAAAACTCACAGAACGAATTAATTTTGTCTTGCGAGGCACCACTGTACATTAAAATCTGGTTCTTGCATTATCTCTTCTGTTGTCTTTTCATGGGGGGTTTTAATTGATCATCGTTTGTTTCTAACCAAATGATTTATTAATCAACGACATGTAAATAAATTGGAATTTCCCAACACCTTTCTGCGATACTAAATGAAGCGTGAGTTGTCACAATTTGATCAAAACTATCACTTATCATTACATGGAAATGTCAACTGTTAACATTTTCTTTTTAAAATGCCTGATTGGTGCAACAAAGCAGAATAAAGATAATCTCAGAAACTAGGCAAGTGTGCTCTGAATGTTCAGCTTCACTGATGAAAACTGGTCTCCTGAAAATTTATCAGCTAAAACTTTAGTTGATTAATTTACCAGCTAAAGGGATTGAAGGCTGCAGTCCTGTTTTCTATGCAGTGAATAAGATTCCGCAGAAACATGCAAGGTTATATAGAAATACGGTACCTTTCAGCTGTTTCCTTGGAAACAAAAAAGGCACAAGTGAGCTAAAATGGAGTAATATTCAGATCTGCATGACTAACTGAGTGGCTAGGTTTGTCTGGGGCCGAAGCAGTTTCTTCTGATGCCTCAATTACGTGATTAAGCCCAGTGTAAACAAGGGGGACTAATTTCCCTTTGAACCCTCACTTGCTATTCTAGACTGTGCCTCCCTGTTGATTCAGAAGCCACAGCAGAGGCGGGAGGCGAAGACTGCAATTATGGGGTGGCCTTCTTGCAAAATCCGACAGAGCACTTTCTGCCCCTGACGCCAGACGGATCACAGGCAAGCATGCAGCCTTAGCTTCTGCAATCTGTGAGAGCTGGCTTCTTAAGCAGAAAGTATTTATAGAACACAGAGAGCTGTGTAATGCTTAAGTTCCTGAAGAGCTGCCATCCCTTAAACACCCAGCTGTGCCATTATCAAGAAGACAACGTACCGCACCAGAATGAGCCGACCGCCAGATTTATTCAGCAACTACAACGGCAAGATTGTGTAACGCAACCTTCCCACAAGGCTTCCCCGTTAACAGCTGTGCAACCTGAACTTTCCCTACGCGTTTTTTGACGCATATGATTTTTTAAAAGGAGAATGCTAATAATATAATACTTAACCTTATTATAGTGTTGAGGGGGATTATCATTATCTCAGTAAGCCTTGCAGCAACCTTTCATATTGGTAAAGAAAGTTGCCTTACACTGAGTCGGCCTAGATTGATGCTTACGCTACAATAAATCTGCTTGTTCTTAAGGTGCCAAATGAATAGTTTGGACAGTAATAGTTTGGAGAACAGGCCCTTTTGCTCAAGCACACGAAACCCTTCATTCCTCCCTTTGCATCACGAGCAACCAGGCTTCTAATTAACCATGGTTTCCCAGAACCATGGTTGCTGTCATATCCACAGTGGGTTGAGTCAAAACCAAAACCTATTGTCCTCCCAGACCTACAATTCCCAGAGTGGTTATCAATCACAGAATCCTAGAATTGTAGACTTGGAAGGGACCCCAAGGGTCATCTAGTCCAACCCCCTGCAATCTCAGCTAAAGCATCCATGACAGATGGCCATCCAGCCTCTGCTTAAAAGCCCCCAAGGAAGGAGAGTCCACAACTTCCTCTCCAGGCAACACTGGGAATTGTGGCTCTGTGAGAGGAACAGGGGTCCCCTAACAACTCTCAGCACCCTTAACAAACTACAGCTCCCATAATTCTTGGGGGGGGGGGAGCCACGACTGTTAGAAGTGGGGTGGGCTTTAAATGTATTGTTATAGATTTGGGGGGCAGGGCTAAAGCCAAGAAATTAATAAACGGTAGGATTTTGATGATTTGGGATGTGAAGGGCGAAATACAAACTACAGAGGAATTCCTGGGCTAGAATATGCAAAATGACCTGGCCATGCTAGGGCCACTAAGAAGCGATACAGGGCCATTGAGAGCCATTGGCAATGCAAGAGAACTGTCCTGCCCCGCTGCCCTTAGTTGTGAACAGAGACTGGAGGTTTCCCAGTGTGTCCATCTTGGGCAGGCTGTCTGGAGCCGGAACTGGTCTGTGACCGTAATAACAAAATAAAATATGTGTAGTGTGCATAGGAATTCGTTCATTTTTTATTTTATTTTTTTCAAAATATAGTCTGTCCCCCCACCAAGGTCTGAGGGACAGTGGACCGGCCCCCTGCTGAAAATGTTTGCCGACCCCTGAGCCCAGCTCTTTCTACCTTGCATAACACTACACAATATTTCCCCCCCCCATTCATTCCTACCTTCTCTTCTCACCTGACCCACAGCATGCCACCAATGGTTTAGGTTCCAACGGCTCAACACGCTGCCGCAACCCGTCCCTCACCTGGCAATTTCGGCAATCTCCGCCGTCTGCGCGATGAAGTTGTAGGGGTCGTGATCGTCGTAGTCTTCGTCTTCCGTCTCCCTGCTGTTGCTGTGCTTCTGCTTATTGAGCCCGGAGCCCCGGGTCCTGGGCGTCTGGGTGGCTGTTGAAGTATGGGAGCGTTTGTGTTTAGGGGAGCTGTGGTTTGAGCCATACTCCTCCTCGGAAGTGGAAGTGTAATCTGAGCCCTGCGGCCGCCGCCTTGAAGCTTATAAGAAATGAATTGGTTTCGGGCGGTGGTGGTGGGGAAGAAGAATAGGAAGGAGAGAAGGCAAAGAAAAAGACTTTTGAGACGGGCTTCAAAAGGTTAAGAAACAAACAAAAAACCGTGAATGCAAAAACAGCCCAAGGAGCAGGAGGAGCAGGAAGGTGAACTAGGAAACTCCTGTGCATCCCACCAAATGGAGAGAACTTTGGAGGAATAAAAAGATGGAATTGTTTGCATTGTTACTGTGGGCGAATACAGATGCCACCTTTTTTAAAAAAACAACAACCACCATATAACGTTATCGCACTTCCGCACCTGATCTGTAATTGACTGGCATTCTAACTGACGTTGGAATTTTATAGATTTAACGGGTTTTCATTTCTTTCGCATTGCCCCTTTGTAAACCGATTAGGGGACTTCTGCAGTTAAGCGGCATATAAATTGCTTAAACAGATAAATAATAAAATATGTGGCTCCCTTGACAGGAGCTCATTTGTAGCATAGGGACAACCTGAGGGCCTAACCTGGGCGTCTCAGGCTTCCCCCACAAACCTGTCAGACTTGGTCCCATTGGCCAGATCCTGCCCCCCACTTCTGCCTTAAAAGCATTAGCGGGAAGACGAGTGAGAATATGGTACCACATGCCCATTTGGATCACGTCAAGGAACCTATGTGAGGACAGCTGGCTCCACCTTCAGATTTCTGCCTGACTGGCAGACGTTTGGAGGGGTGAAGTTGAGAGGCAGATGACACTGGGGGCGGTGTCCAGAGTGAAGCCCCATCACCCTCTTATTCAGACATTAAAGTTTTGTTTCTCTGGCACATGGCAGAGGAATAAGGCAAGGAAGATAAAGGCAGCCACACCACAATCGGGCAGAGAGAGCTTACCCTGTGGTCGCAGCAACAGTGGAGGGCTATTTCCACCAGCCAGTCAAATAGTAAGGAGAATTTTTTTACCACAGATCAGGTGCAGACGTGTGATAATTTTTTCGGCGAAATGGCCATTTGTACCCACCCTCCGCTTCCACAAATTAACCAGTCGCAACAGAGAAGGCTGCTGCAATTCTATGGTGGCAAAATGTATACGCTCATGTTACAAATTTCCTGTGTGGAAGGCACCTTGCGTGAATCCCTGTACAGAAGCGCCTTCCACTGGAGGGATTTTCCAGCGTGGGGTGTGGTCCTGAATGGCCACATGCACAGGAGGCCCCAGGAGGAACCGTCAGGCAGGCTAGACTCCCAGGTGTCCCCCCTCAGCAAGCCACCAGTTCAGGTGACTTCATTTCCACACCGGTTAAGGACTTCCAAGATGGAGAGCAGAAACAGCTGGCTTGTTTACACACTCAGGAAACCCCTGGTCTGTTTACAGAGATCCAGTGTTGTCATCCTTAATCCAGTGGTTCTCAAATTTAGTGATGGGCACAAATGGTATGAAAGGTGGGGAGTAGAGGGGTTGAGGTGCTTGCATCAGATACATCCAATACACTTTCCTCCCAATAAACGGATGAAGATGAGTACGAGTGAGTACATTTGGTCCATCTATCTCACGGTCGTCTTCACTGACTGGCAGGGTTTCTGGCAGGGAGTTTCTTCTAGCTCTAACTGAAGAGGCCAGAAATTGAACCTAGGACCTTCTGCATGCAAAGCAGATGTTCTACACCACTGGGCTATTTCCCTTCTCGGCAGGTTCCCCACCCTGATTTAGGCCAGGGTCCCTAAAGCTGGAGCGCCATCATACCACTCATGGCCTGCTTACTGAAGGAGCGTCTCCACCCCCATCGTTCAGCCCGGACCCTGAGGTCCAGCTCCGAGGGCCTTCTGGCGGTTCCCTCACTGCGAGAAGCCAAGTTACAGGGAACCAGGCAGAGGGCCTTCTCAGTAGTGGCACCCGCTACCCTGTGGAACGCCCTCCCACCAGATGTCAAAGAGAAGAACTACCACCAGACTTTTAGAAGACATCTGAAGGCAGCCCTCTTTAGGGAAGCTTTTAATGTTTAACTGACTGCTATTATTTTAATACTTTGTTGGAAGCCACCCAGAGTGGCTGGGGAATCCCAGCCAGATGGGCAGGGTATAAATAATAAATTATTATTATTACTTACATTCCAAAAAAGCCTTCCTGAACCTGGTACCCTTCAGATGTTTTGGACAACAACTCCCATCAGCCCCAAAGGCATCATAAAATCATAGAATGGTAGAGTTGGAAATGACCACAAGGATCCTCTGGTCCAACCTCCTACAATGAAGGAATCTCAACTAAAGCATCCATAACAGGCATCCAACCTCTGCTTAGAAACCTCCAAGGAAGGAGAGTCCACAACCTCCCAAGGGTGGTTGGATGGCCATGTGTCATGGATGCTTTAGCAGAGATTCCTGCATTGCAGGGGTTGGACTCGATGTCCCTAGGGTTCACTTCCAACTCTTCCATTCTATGAGTCTGTTCCATAAAATATCTCCTGATTGAAATTTGCACAATGCTGGCTGGGGTAGCCCAAAATATGTGGAAGGCACCACGTTGGAGAAGGTTCTTTCCAAATATCATAAGCTGCCTTCCAGCAAGCCAGATCACTGGCCCATCTATTATTGTCAACTCGGACTGGAAACTGCTCTCCCAGGGCTTCAGGAGACAGGGGTCTTTCCTAGCCTTCTTGCTGCGGATAGAACCTGGGACATTCTGCATGCCAAGCAGGTGCTCTACCACTGAGCTAGGGGCCTTCCCCCTGAACTTCTGCCGCATCTCTTGACACCCAACGAAACAGTCATGCTAAGTTACTATATGTGGTTATTTGCCTTGAGACAGAACAGTGGCAAATTCAGAGGCCTGGTGGTTCCAGAGGGATCTTCCCTTACTTTTGACTTGCTTCATGCACACCATTTAACAACTCCGTGAGTATTAATTGCCTCGGGATTACTGACTGTGTAAACAAGCTCAGCCAAGTGAAAGAGGAAACTTCAACCAGAAGGGCAGCCCCATTTGGAGATTGCTCACATCATGTTCATGGTCATAATTATTTCCATGAGATCCCTGGGTTTGCCCTGCAGCATTTACATGCCGCATTTGGCTGCAGTTTACAGGCAACACCCTTTTACACCCAAAACAGATGTTCCTGGTCAAGGGGAGAGAAACCACTCATTTTGTTTCCCTGGAAATTCTTTTCCCGGGCTACGGAAAGATCCTTTTTTCAGCTTCTAAGTTATTGTGCTTTATCAGAGTGCACCAATTCTGATAAGTGATTATCAGCTGCTTTTGCAGCAACAGTGCAGTGTTTACATTTTTCCACGTTGACTTTTTTCTCTTATCCATTTGCTCACGAGAAAAAAGACACATAACTGGGAAGCTGGAACACTGTGGTCTGGTTTGCACAACACACCACACCAAACCTTGGCTTAGTGCTCTTGCACAGGCTCTGGTAGAGGAGACTGCGACCGCTCTGCTCACCCCTGGTCCTTCTGCCGCTGCGCAGAGCCCACAGGAACATATGAAACTGCCTTAAACTGAATCAGACTATTTGAGTCAATCTAGCTCATTATCGTCTACACTGACTGAGTCTCGAAGAACTGAGACAGGGTTCTCTCCTGGCGACGCTGGGATTGAACCAAGGATCTCCTGTGTACAAAGCAGATGTTCCACCCCTGAGAGAGCCTGGAGAGAGCTAATCCACAAGCCTGGCTTTGGAAGGCATGCTAAGGCAAAGTGTGGAATAGCTCAGCTCAACAATGGGACAAGCAGTGAGGAGCAAAGCGGCCACAATCTCCTCTCCCAGACTCTGAGTGTGAGTGTAAACAGTGGGGAACCTCCAGCCCATGAGCCAAATTGGGCCCACCAGCCCTCCCTATTTGGCCCCAAAGGCTGTTTCAGCCGAACCACAACCAACATGCTCCACCTCTGATATTTTATATGACATCAGGCATGGGAAAGGTAAGGACAAGGCTTGGCCAAAAGTGGCTTTGCAAGTGCAGCATGGATCACTTTGCAAGCCCCATGCTCAGTGCTCCCCAAGTGACAAGCACAGGGCTTGCAAAGCGCTTCTGCACTGCCCCAAAACAAGCCAATTGTTGGTACTTGGGATGTGCTGCCCAAAGGGTTTTGCAGGCACTGCCTTTCCGCCAGGGCCTGCCCTTATGTGTCCCACACCTGGCACCATATGACACGAGAACCAAGCATAACGCCTGCACAAGGTGCATAACCCCTGTGGAATTAGTAGGTTAGTCGTGTTAGTCGTATACTGATGCGTAGTAACTCCCAAGGTTAATTTGGCACTAAAACCCGGTTAGCCGTTGGGGCAAAGGAAATGGAAGACAAAACCAATTCATTTGGAACAAGATTAGGCACGGTTAGGATGGGCCGTCGTCTCTCGGCAAAGCGACTCGGCGGTGTCGCCAGGCAGCGAGTCGCAGGGTTCCTCGAGGGAAGTCATGGCAATTAAACCACTTCAGCTCTGCAGTACCAACAACGCACACCGCAATCCCCGCTTTGTTATTACGCACACAGCACCATTAAATCACAGTGTCATCTGCAAAGTTTAAATCATTGGAGTGGTGAACGGCTTAAGCATTATCCAGCAACAAGCGGCAGCTACTCATAAATTAAAGGGAACTGCATCTCCCAGGGCTCAGCCGCTAGGAGTGCATCAGGTCAAAGGAACTTCCTGCAATCTCAGTTTGTGCTTGTGCTGAATGAAAAGTAATAGGAATTAACTCCTGGGAGGAGGGGGAGGTCAGTTTGCAGGATGCTGTTGGGAGTCCCATTCCTATCAGCCTCAGTCAGCACGGCCAATGGCCAGGGTTGTTTGAAGCTGTGTCCCGAGAACACCTGGAGGGCCAGACATTCCCCAGCTGTGCTCTACATCAGATGGACTATTTCCCCCATGTTCAATGCAGATGGGTGAGGAATTAATGCAGGGCGACTCCTGCAGCTTGCAAACGTCTGACAAGACATATGATTACTAGGGTTATAAACCTTTTTTACAACCTCGTGTTCCTGTAGATTAGTTAGATGAACTTTCCCCTAAAAACAAAGGAATGAACTGTCATTTCCAAATCTTTTGAAAAGGAAGGTGACCCCGAAATCAATAAATCATTTTTTGTATATGTAACTGTACAATGTATTATGTTATATACATAGCATGTACACAGGAAAAATAGGGCTTGCAAACTTTCTAATACTTGTACAATGTTTTGTACAATGTACACTATTGCTTAGAATCAATCAAGGTTGCAGTTTGCCTTTGTTTCCATTGCAAGCACCATAAAGTTCCCGCATCACTTTGACTGCACATTCTACACACTGATTATTTCTTGGTATCTGGAGCATGGATGGCTCCTGCTTCCAGTGATTCTCCAACATAGTTTCAGGAAGTTCCAGGCAGCTGTAAAAGTTCTACACAGTTCCATACACTTTTTAAAAGTGCTAATACTAATATGAGTAGTAACGGTTACATATATGGTGAGCCCAACTTTTCATTTTGGGGTGACCCCCCTTTTTTTTACCACTGAGACAAATTAGTCCCTTTTTCAGTGTTTCTAAGCAAAAGTTCATCCCTTTATGATACAGGAAATTGGGGGGGGGGGGAGTCGAAAAGTTATAATCCTAATGATTACATGTATTGTGTCCCACCCACCCAAAATAGACATACAAAACATTTTCCTCTGAAGATCTGACTTTATGTAGAGCGAAAAAAATAACCTACTGAAGATAGCCTTGCGAAAAGAAAGTTCTGCAAAAATTGCTGGTCCACAAGTATTTTACTAGCCTAAGAAATGTTTGTGACTGATTAGCACATTACTGGCTGAAAAGTTTCAAACTCTAACCTTCCTGCAATTCCACAAGTTCCCCTGTCTGGTTGCCAGGAGAAGATCTGTACTCACCGCAAGCGACGAGGCAAGCCTGACGTAAGAACAAGCAGCTAGTGAGTATTCAGAGGTCACAGAACAATTCAAAGCAAGGGCACTGAGAGTATATAATAATTACCTTATTGCAACAAGCCAAGAGTCCACCCCAGTTCAGCGTTTTCTGTCTATACCACCAGATGATTCAGGAAGCTATCAAGCTGGGTTATGCTAGAGAATTACCAGATGTTGGGCTATCAGAGCTTCTGCATTGCAATGGCAGCCAAATTTCGCCACAGATACAAACCAAGGGAGAAGGCAACTCTCTTTGGGTTATAAAATCCCAGCGCTTAATATTTAAAAAGTACAGGGCTCTGTATCTGTTGCAAAGGGCTGCAGATTTATTTCCAAATTGTTTTATTCTGGCTTGGAATTTTTTTAATGGAAAACACATGTGGAAACATAGGAAGTTGCCTTGTAGCATAGTCCAGGGTTTCCCAAACTTGGGTCTCCAGCTGTTTTTGGACTACCAGTTCCCACAATCCCTGGGAGTTGTGGTCCAGAATCATCTGGAAACCCAAGTTTGGGAACCCCTGCACAGTCAGACTCTTGGGTGCATGTAGTTCAGTAGGGTCTACACTGACTGGCAGCAGCCCTCCGCCGTTTCAGACAGGTGACTTTCCCCCAGCCCTACCTGGAGATGCTGGGAATCAAACCTGGGGACCATCTGCACGCAAAAGAGATGCTCTACCTCCAAGCAATGGCAGAATCAAGCACTCCACACACACACACACAGTTACTCACTAGAAGAAGAGGAGTATTTGACACTGCTGGAGCGTGTCCTGCTGAAAGGCTGCTTCGAAGCAGCAACTGCTGCCGCCGTTTTCCTAGCAGCGTTCCTGGCTTCCGACACGGGGGGCTTCCGGGTAGAATAATACGACTCTGCGCTGCGCCCGGAGAACGTCGGCCTGGCTGGCGCGCTCTCCGAGTCGCTCGGCACGGTGAAAGACCCCGCCCGTTTCCTGGGCATGGCCAGGATGTCGAGCCTCGACAGCTTCTTGGCCTCCGCCGGCTGCTTGGAAGGCGCCGCCGTTCCTTCGTGGTGAGGCGTCGCTTTCTCGGTATCAGCGCTCTCGTTGTCCGAGGTGTCCCCCAGCCGGGCCCGGCGAAGTTTGGAGGCTCTGGTGGGCCTTGGGGTAGACAAACTATTGGACCTGGTGAGAACCTGCTGGATCTTTTGCACCGTGGGCGTCACTTTGCTGTGCTCCTCTTTGGTGGACTGCGAGAAGGGCTTCTTCCTGGAGATAGGCCTCGAGGTGGATTGCTCATGGTCAGATGAGGCGATTTCATTCGCCGGCAGATATGGGAGGCTGCTACTTCGTTCATCATCTGTATAGTCCAGGGAGCCCCCGGTCACTGGGCTACGCTTAACTTGGAAGCGCCTCGCGTTTTCGCCTTTGCTCCCTGCCTCAAGCGGAAGAGTTTTCCGCTTCTCTGAAAGCCTCTCCCTTGCGCTGGGTTGAAGACTCTGATCTTGGGCAGAAGGCGTGGGAGAAGTCTTCTCTTTTTGCGAGGTTGTCACGGGTTTGCCCTTCGGCGAGTGGCTGGGTAAGTTTTTGCCGCTCACCAAGCTGACGGTGCTAGCCGTGTCCACGTCAGATTCTCCGGACAAGGAGTCTTCCAACTGCCCCGGGGAATTCTCCAGAGTGTCAAGCTGGTTGGTTTGGCAGAGTATTTTGGCTTCCAGGGCGGCCAGAGCAGTTTCGGTATCTTTAAGGAGGAGGTGGGTGTCTGGGTTATAGTCCATGCGATTTGCTCGGGTGACATCGAGATCTTTGAGCAGAGGGTGGCTTGAGATATGCGGCAGCCGGTTTTGAGGAACGTTGCTGCTCGATTTCTCTTTGGTAAAGCTTTCCTGCCGGACAAAGGACGACGCTTCTTTCGCAGCCGCGACTTCTTGCTCTGGAAGCGGAAGCCCCTGGTGCAACGAAATCACCATTTTCCCGTTGGAGCTGACGTAGGTATTGCTGACACCTTTGGCCGCCGGCTTCCCACACTTGAAAAGAGCCTCTTCTTTTTCCGCCTGAGTAGGAGAAATGCTGGAAGGAAGTTTCGAAGGAACCCCGACTTCCTCTTCATCGTCGCCAATATAGAAAGATGTCGACAGCGGGTCGCTGGAAGCTCTCAGACCCGAAAGTTTCGGCACTGTGTGCTGGTGGTTTTTGGCTTTCACGTTTTCCGCCTTTCCCTGGTTCTGCTCCAATGTTTTGGTGCTGTTGTGGCTCTTCCTTCGTTTTTCCAAGCCAAATCCGTCGTCAGATTTGCTGGCGTCACTAAGGCTATCAGGATCCAAATCTTCCCGGACCGCCAGTCGGCTGGCAGGATCCACAAACATTTCTGCTACGTGGCTGTTAGCAGCGTTCCTTGGTGAAACGTCGGAATATGCCTCTGGACAAATCAAAATGGTTGGCGTAGGGCTTTCCGGCTTATCACCTGGTGGGAGCTGAGGAAGAAGACGCCTCGTCCGTAACGCCAGGGAGCTCTCAGACTCTGCCACTCTGGGACCGCAGTCCTTTTCTAAGGGGAATGAAAATACATTTACTGGGACTATGCAGAACTAGATAAATTAACAGGAAGGGTTCGAAACCTGCGGGATCAGAGATTCTTAGAAGACTGGAGTAAATATACGAACTATTTGAAAAGTAATTGTAATGAACAGATTACGCTAGTAGGACTGCAAGAAGTTTTGTAAGGAGGATTATCTGGAATATTGCAAGAATGACTATGAGGAGAAATATTCGTTAATAATAATTAAGAGTAATAGAGAAATTAAGAAATGCAGAATAAGTGATAAAGAACAAAAAATCATCAGAGGCGTTGACAGAAGTCTAAAACATTGTATAAGATAAGAAATTATGTTATATGATTGTTGGAAAGGATATGTTAAAAAAAAAACCCAGAAAAAATATACAAAAAAAAAAGAAAATACATTTACTGAAGACAACAAAAAAGGAAGTTTAGTAATGATGATGATGATGATGATGATATACCACCTTTCATCAAAAGATCTCAGGGCAGTTTACAACATAAAATTACAATATAAAGAACACAAAATGCAGTCATACCTTGGAAGCCGAACGCCTTGGCTCCCGAACGACAGAAACCCAGAAGTGAGTGTTCTGGTTTTCAAACAATTTTCAGAAGCCGAACATCCGGTGCAGCTTCTGATTGGCTGCAGGACGCTCCTGCCGCCAATTGGAAGCTGCACTTTGGTTTTCAAACGGACTCCCGGAACGAATTCTGTTCAAAAACCAAGGTACTACTGTACACAATAAAAGTAAGAACAAAAACAAACCAATAATCCCCTCGCCCACAACCCATTTAAAAGGGCATTGGATGTCAATCAACCAAAGGTCTGGTTGAAGAAGAATGTTTTCACCTGGCGTCTAAAGGTGTATAATGAAGGCAACAGCTGAACCTCCCTGGGGAGAGCATTCCACAAACAGGGGGCCACTGCAGAAAAGGCCCGTTCTCGTGTTGCCCCCCACAGACCTCTCAGAATAGAACATTGGGCCTAAGCATCAAGCAGCCGAAAGAGGAAACGCGAACCAGGGGCGCTTGTCACCTGTCCCTTTTTAGGTAAAGTCCTTTGGCAATGTGAAAATGACGCCAGGTGCTGTACTTACCTATGCCAGCCTGAGAGAGGGGGCCCTGCAGGTGAGCGTCCCCAACTCCAGGAGCAGATCCTGAGTCTGTATAGCTATCTGCAAGGCTTGCCCATCTCGATACCCATTTCTGACCACCTTGAGATGCCAATGGTAACTGAAAATAGAGAGAGGAGGGGAAATTCCACACCTTTCATACAGACTCTCATCATAATGCACAGTATTTGGCCATTTTGTTTTTGGCAACATTTGCTATGGCTCAATTCCCAGCAGGAAATGCTATGCTATGCCAATATATAATCCTTGAAAAGAACTGATACCTGGATCCACGAGCCTTCTGTAACCAGAGGGGCGCTATTTGTCTGTTTGGTTTATTTTGAAAAACTCAAAATCACCCTTCATTAAAAAAGATCCCAGGGCAGTGTACAATTGGATACAACCCATCATTGCCTGAGGATGTCTACAGAAAACAAGCATACATTATGGGACAAGACTCAAGTAATTATTTGCGCTAGCATGAACTGGCAGAAGTTCTGCTATCACAATGGGGCTTTCCCCCTCTCCGATCTCCCCCTCCGAACTGTCTTGGGGTGGGTGGGAGAATGTGCAGAACAGCGCACAGAGGGAGGGGAGGGGAGATTTGCCACGCAGAAATTCTTGAGCCGATGGAATGATGCTAATATGCAATGTTGAATTCAACCCTACGTGCCTACTCAGATGTAAGCCAAATTTGGATCCAACAGGATTATATTCATTTATTTATTTCATTTATTGGGAAAAAATATATACACTGATTAACTCGACAGAAGGCTCTTAGTGGTTTATGTAGAGCAGGGTTTCCCAAACTTAGATCTGCATCTGTTTTGGTTTTTTGGGGGACTACAATTCCCACCATCCCTGACCATTGTGGTCCCGCTAGCTAGGGAAGATGGGAGTTGTGGTCTAAAAACAGCTGGGGAACAAAGTTTGGGAAACCCGGATACACAGCAATATAAAATATTGGTTGAAAAGGCTGATAAAATCAAATTGACATAAAATTATATCAAAATATAAGGAAAATCAATAGCTTTAGAACATAGATACAGATATATAATCAAATTGCATGCCTGGGCAGGCTTGCTGAACAAAGAAGTTTTTAGCAGGTGCCGAAAGCAAGCTAATTAACTGTTGTTTGGTAATTTTAAATTATTAAGGTTTCAACATGCAGGCAGGGCTTGTGTGTGCCCTCTGTTCCACCTAGGCTCAGGAAAGCGCTAAACTCTGCTACCCGTATAAATGATGCAAATATATCTGCTTATTTCACATAATTTATTCTATTCCTGCAAAGCATGGAGAAGAGTAACAAGCTATGAAGGGCACTGAAGTCTTGTTCCCTGATCTCTTCTGCAAAGCCTGCACCGTCGCCAAACTGCCTTGGGCGATTTAGCAAGATTTACAGTTCCATTAGGTTGCAAGCCTGCAGGCAGGGCTTCCGCATTATTCACCGCGCAATACTTGGGAACAAATAGTGATTGTTACTAGCAAAGTCTCGCTCACTTACTTTCACCTCTAATAAAACCGCTAGTCTTTTTTCATGTAACTTGTTTTTAAAAGTTTGCTTCTATAGGTATTTTAAACAAGTTTTTTCTAAATCGCTTACGGGTCTTTCGTTTGAGGACCAGTCAATGAGGTCTACAATTTTGTTCAGTAAATAACAAAACGAAACCTTCGCAGGCCACGAGGGCCAGAAATAGGCATGCGAGTTGCCCTCAAGCGCAAGGAAAGTCAAAGTGAGAGCTGGGCCCTTCACACATTCACTGTACCTGCATCTCCGTGTGATGTTCACTGGCAACTTTGGAAGCGATGACCTGCATCATGGTAACCTTGGGGCTTGAGCCATTTTCGCCCATCAAGTGAGCCAGCTCCTCCTTCTCACCTTTTATGACGGGCCTGAAGGCAGGGGAAATTCTGGAAAACACCGGAGACTCCAAAACGCCAAACACCTGATAAACCCAAGAGATGGAGAGAAGGCAGCTTAGAACAAAACAGTGAATTTCCTATCCACGAGGTCAACAAGCATTACATTTGTGATGCATGATCCATGCAACGGTCACCTCCAGGCTTCACTACTGTAATTCGCTCTACGCGGGGCTGCCCTTGAAGCTGTCCCAGAAACTCCAGTGGGTGCAGAATGCTGCAGCGAGGCTCCTCACAGGGTTCCTGCCATGGGAGCATATTCACCCAGTGCTTTTCCAGCTGCACTGGCTCCCGGTGGAGTACAGGGTCAGGTTCAAGGTGCTGGTTTTGATCTTTAAAGCCCTTCACGGCCTAGGACCCTCGTACCTACGGGACCACCTCTCCCGGTATGCCCCACGGAGGACCTTAAGGTCCATAAATAGCAACACCCTAGAGGTCCCGGGCCCTAAGGAAGTTAGATTAGCTTCAACCAGAGCCATGGCCTTTTCAACTCTGGCTCCGGCCTGGTGGAACGCTCTGCCTCATGAGACCAGGGCCCTGCAGGATCTGATTTCTTTCCGCAGGGCTTGTAAGACAGAGTTGTTCTGCCTGGCCTTTGGCTTGGAGTCAATTTGATTCCCTCCCCCTCTTTCTTTTTTCTTTTCCTTTCTCCTCCTGCGATGAGGCTACATTTTAATATTTTAATGTTTCAATATTTTAATGTTGTATTTTAATTTTGTTTTTAAGTTGTATTCATTCAACTTATTTTTATTATTGCTTGTTAGCCGCCCTGAGCCCGGCCTTGGCTGGGGAGGATGGGGTATAAATAAAAATTATTATTATTATTACATTTGCCCTGGGCCTTGCTCTGTTTGCACCAATTGCTGCAACTATCAAGGGGGCCAAACTACGCAAACTTCAATTTTCCGAAGAACAGCAGGCTCACCTGATCGATCATTTTCCGAGCCTCTTCAACTTCTTTATCTTGCGACTCTGTCTCAATGGTATACGTGCCTGTTTCACTCAAGCTGTCGTCTTCCTCTTGCTTCCTCGCTTTGACCAACTTAGGATCGGCAGCCACTGGCTCAGGGACTATTTCGGGCGCTGGTGGCGGCAGTGGCGGCGCTACAACCCGCGGGGTGAGCGGCACCGGGGTCGGGGCTGGCTTCTCAACGCTAGCCTTCCCAGCTTGAGAGCTCTCCCTTAAACACTCGGCAGCAAAATCCTGAGCAATCTTCGACTTTCTCCCCACGCTGCCATGGTTCTTTCCAGAGGTCCTCGACGACGATGACGAGCTGATCCGCTCCTCCGTCTTCTCCCGCTTAAAGGATCCGGCTCTGGGGGCTGTGAAAGAGTTGCTTGGCCCCTTGGTTCCCGCCGCAGGCAGATGGGATGAGAGGACAGAGCTCCCCGGTTTCTCCGCGGGGACGGTAATCTTGCGCTTCTCAATCTTGGTCTTCAAGGCGGGGTCCACGTCGTTCTGGTTGGACTGGCCGCTGTGCGTGAAGGACTGCGACCTCTTCTTCCGAGGCGTGTCGTCGTCGAAGAACTCGATGACGAAGGCCTGCTGGTTGTGGAGCATCTCCTGGGGGTCGCGGCGGATCTGGCGCTGGAGCCGGGCTTGCTCAGCCAGATGTTCTTTACTAGGAGTCTCATCCTCTTTGGGGGCTACTGGGTCTTCAGAGTCACTCTGAGTTCCATCTTCATGCCTGTTCCCTGCGAAGTGGATATGCAATTAGAGTTGTCCTGGGACAGAGAGTACTTACTGCTGTGCCACTGCCCCAAACAACAACAGAGGAGCCCATCTAATCCTGCAAGCAGGACCTGGGTGGCCAAAGCACTTTCTCTCCATTTGCGATTCCCAGCAACTGGGATTTGCAGGAATCCTGCCTGCAACAGGAGACGCAGAACATAGTCATTGCAGCTATTATCCAATGACAGCTTTATCTTCCATGAATTTGTCCCCTCCTCTTTTTAAGCCATCCAAGTCGGTGGCCATGCCTACATCTTGAGAATGTGAATTCCATGGTTTAACCATGCACACAGTTTATTTCCCTTGGGAAACAACTTGCTTTTTTCTGAGCTTACTCAGTGAACTGTCCCCCAGAAGGGCTTCTAATCTTTTCGGGGTGGAGGGATACAAGGAAAGCAACCCTTCCCCTTCCTTGCCAGTCTCCCCACTTCCAAGCAGACCTATGCTTCCAAAGGACAGGCAAACTCCTGGCAGAGAGGACTCGTTGAGACCACAAATGGTCTTGCAGACTTCTGTTTAAAGGTAGACAACATCTGCTGCTGGGGTTCATGGCTTTCTGTGCCTCCCAGTTCATGTTTGTGAGGAGTCACAGGACCATAGCTGTCAACTTACAGATTTGAAAATAAGGGACTAGCAACCTCGAAAATAAGGGATCAGCAGCCAAAACAAGGGATTTTCCAAGCACAGGTATGTTCAACTTCTGAGCCAAAGGCAGAAGCCCAGCCAGCAGCCAAACGAAGCCTCAAGCGGTGGTTCCCACAGCGCAGCAACCCAGCAAAGGGGATGCAGCAAGGAAAACCACCATCACCTCTCCGCTGGGAAGCACTGAGCAAAGGGGAGTTCCCAGGCAATGCATCCGATTTGATCAGCACAAGGCATGCAAGCTCCATCCCCCAGTCGTTCTTAGACTCCTTATTGGGTGAGGAATGCAGCCAAGCAACACAGTTGGAGCCTCCCTCCTTCCTGGCCGGCAGGGAGGGAGGGAGAGGAGCAGCTTCCTTTGAAACCCGGGAAATTTAAGGGACATCATCAATAAGGGACAGCAGCAGGACACGGCGCTGGGATAAGGGAGTTTCCCGCCAAATAAGGTTGACAGCTATGCACAGGACACTACAAATCCCATGAACCCTGTCGGGATGATGCTCCCGAGCATGCTCACAAGCATAAGCAGACCTGCAAGATTTCTTGTGCACCCAAAAACAAGACCACCCAGCTCCAAGAAACTCCTCCCTCGCTTTGGGAAGAGTAAGTATCCTTGGAAGGATGGGAGAAATGGAACAGAAAGATGGCCGGTAGCAGGACAAACCCCATGATGAACAAGGGCCTAATGCAGAGAACGAAACTCAAGTTCACAACGTAGCGGGGATTTCCAAACTGTGCAAGTTCACATCCCAAATGTCTGTAATTTCAAATGCGCCCCATCCCTTCAAAGAAGAATAAGGAAGGCATCTATAGCCAACGAACGCCCTGGACCACAGATAGCAACTCTAGCAAAACTGGCATTTACCTTTCAGAGTCCTGACGTGAACTGGGAGGTCGCTTTTCGTACTGTACACGTCCTCTCCTGGGGACGGCCTCCTCATGAGACTCGGGTCATTCTGCACCAGCCAGTCAGCCACTTTGCTCTCTGCCGAGATCATTTCTGCGTGGCCCCCTTCTTTGCCGAGGTTCCTTCTCTGCCTGAGCGAAAATTTGGTGACGTGATCTTTTATCTTTATTTTACCCGGGGTGCAGTCGTCAAACTCTATGGTGAAAGAGGCGTGGCTCTGTACGACGGGCAGCGCCACCGCGTCAACGTCTTTGGTGGGGATTTCGTGGACTTGGGCCTCTGGAGTTTTCACCGGCTGCTGGAATTCTTTCGTCGGGATTTCAAAGTAACTAGGCTCCCTTCGGAAGGCATAGACAGAGTCGCCTTGAGGATCGCTGTAGCCGGTGATGTTCCCATTGATTTCCTCTCCGTGCTGACCTATGTCTTTTGTTCTCTCTGCGGGGTAAAGGGGGAAGTATTATTTATTCTTTTAATTTGAAATCAAAGCTTTTCATTTTAATTTTATTTAATACTTGCCTTCCACTTTTCCAACAACAAACGCAGAGCAGAAAGCAGCTCACAACAATCACAACAGAAGCATAAAAAAACCCAACAGCAAACATCACAATATCAAAATCAAAGTCTACGTAGAAGTTTTGAAAGTTTCTACGAGTTTGAATCCGTTTTAGTCTATTCTATTGCAGTTTTAACTTTCTGTAGGTTTTAAAATATGGTTGCAAATCTTTTAGTGATCATTTTATTTCTTTATCTTTTTCGTAAACTGCCTTGAAGTGTCCCCCTCCCCACAATCAAATGGTATATAAATTGTTTGAAATAAATAAAATAAACCAAACACAGTAGAATACAGCTAAAGCACACAACACCAGCAAATTATTGAAAATGAATTAATGCAATTAAATAAAGTCACAGTTATATAAAGTTCCTATTCACACTATTCACCCTTAAGTGTTGAAAAGAGAAGCAGCAGGTATATTTACCTGGATACGGCTCTTCTTGCCTTCTGTCATCTGCTGACTCCAACTTATTGTTTTCATCATCTTCCCCCCACCATGATGGCTGGCCGTAAAGGGGTGTGCGGTAAGTAGTTGTCGTCTCTGGAGGTAGACAACACACATACACACAAGGCAGCGTTAGTTTGCTGGCAGCTATTGCTATCAAGTTCAAGACGGTGGCAAAGGGACACCTACTCCAAAAGACACCTTTTAGAAAACTAAGGGGAACAATATTTAATGAAAAGTGTTCCATAAACCAACTGCTCACCGCTTAGGCTTCTGAAGTAATCAGACTGGCTTTTAAATGGTGCTACCAAATGCAAAAGGGACGCGGGTGGCGCTGTGGGTTAAACCACAGGGCCTAGGACTTGCCAATCAGAAGGTCGGTGGTTTGAATCCCTGCGATGGGGTGAGCTCCCGTTGCTCGGTCCCTGCTCTTGCCAACCTAGCAGTTAGAAAGCATGTCAAAGTGCAAGTAGATAAATAGGTACCGCTCCGGTGGGAAGGTAAACGGCGTTTCCATGCGCTGCTCTGGTTTGCCAGAAGTGGCTTAGTCATGCTGGCCATATGACCCGGAAGCTGTACGCCGGCTCCCTCGGCCAATAAAGCGAGATGAGCACCGCAACCCCAGAGTCGCCCACGACTGGACCTAATGGTCAGGGGTCCCTTTACCTTTACCTTTACCAAATGCAAACCTTGGTTCCAAATCTTGGTTATTTGGAATACCTGGCAAGCTAAATTATGGTTCACTTGAAGACACGTATGTAACTTGATTTTTATTTTTTTTTAAAAAAAAATCATTGCAAGGCATATACTGAAAACACAGCATAGCACACAGTCAGAAATCTAAAACGTGGACTATTATTTAACCTAGACCAACCAAAAAAGTCTCGATTGCCTGCAGAAGTTCTTTATTATTATTATTATTCATTAAAACAGTAGCGGTGAGTTTTAAATGAGTCTCTGCGTCTCTGTACTTCAGCTAGCGGCATTTTGTTTGGTCACTTTCTCTGTCAGGGCCAATTGCCAAACTTTGTTAAGCCAGTTCAATAAGGACGCCCCTTCCAAGTCTTTCCAAAACCGGGCTGTTGACAAGTCCTGATGCTAACAATGTATTACCAATAAGAGATTTAAACGAGACAGATATATACAGTGGTACCTTGGGTTAAGAACTTAATTCGTTCCGGAGGTCCGTTCTTAACCTGAAACTGATCTTAACCTGAGGTACCACTTTAGCTAATGGGGCCTCCTGCTGCCACCACGCTGCCGGCACACGATTTCCGTTCTCAGCCTGAGGTAAAGTTCTCAACCCAAGGTACTATTTCTGGGTTAGTGGAGTCTGTAACCTGAAGCGTCTATAACCCGAGGTACCACTGTAGTTTTAAACCCGCAGGAGGCTTACAAGTATTCTTTTACCCATCCACAGACTTCTTACAGCACAGACAGAGCAATCCTAAGTGGGGTCAGGAGAGAAATGGCGTGGTAGATCTAGCATCACATCCAAAACCCTGCCAGTTCACACCAGCCAGGGAGATAGTGGCTTAAACTCAGTACCATGCATGCAAATGGGCACATGGGCACTTAAATAAACAGCTTCAGCTACCTGAGAGCCATTTCCCATGCAGGAATAAGCAAGGGGAACAGGAAATACAGGTTCCTTGGGCTTCCAGTCATCATAACACACCCCACTAAAAATACACACAAGCACTTATTGTCATATTGGGAGAGCCGTGCAGAATCACCTCCGCATCCCGACAAGCAAAAAGGTACCCTTGCAACTGCTTCCTTCGTGTAGCAAATTCAGGCTGCACAAAGACATTCGCTCTGGGTGACTGGCTTCCCTAGTAACCCACCAATCCCTGAACTTTATCTTCAGAAGACCGAGGTTGGTTTGTGGGAACCAGCATAAGTGCTTTAAAAGGGTGCTGAAATCTTCAGCACAGGGGTTCTGCTTCAGCCTGACATGCTCAGTGCTGGATTTACATATAAGCTAAACAAGCTATAGCCCCACTCACTTGGGGGCCCCCCCAAAAAAATTAAAGGGGGGAAAAACTGCATGTACATTTCCAAAATATAAGATAAAAAACAAATAAAATAAAACCTACATACAGTTAGAGCTTAATAATTATTTCACTATTAATATACTTCTTAATTGTATTTCACTATTAATACACTTCTTAATTGTATTTCAGTTCAACAATTACTTTGATAAAATACTTATTTTGTTATGTGCAAATGTCTTTAGATACCTATTAGGTCCATAAATTGCCATACAGCATATATTCAACACTAAAAACAACGACAATTTGTTGCTGACAAAAGACAGCTGGGCATATAAAGGGCCCCATTACCTTCAGTAGCTTAGGGCCTCATCAAACCTAAATCCAGCCCTGGACATGCTTTGTACCCTTTTAAAATTATAATTCACACCCCAAGAGTCGAGGATAAAGCAAGCAAGAACTTGAAACGCATAATTACTGCTCTCTTTCTGGATGCCTCCCCTGAAATCTCTTTCCATGATGTGTACCGACTTGCCCATCCTTCTTCCATCATTATTAATAAAAGCAACGCTTTTTGTAGCACTTTTATCTCACAGAAGACTGCTGTACTCTACTGTTTTGCCATAAATCAGGGATGGGGAAGCTCTGGCACTCCAGATGTGATCAAGGACGATGAGACTTGCAGTCCGACATCATCTGCTGGGTTCCAGGTTTCCCCCATCCTGGTCTTAAACCACTGCTTTGAGGTAGGTCATTATTATACCCATTTCACAGATATGGAGAGGGCCATTATGCTCATATTCTCCTGGTGGGCTTCCCAGAAGCAGGTGGTTGGCCACCATGAGAACGCCATGCTGGACTAGATAAATCTTTTGGTCCAATCCAACAGGGCACTTCTTATGGAGACCAGGGGGCAGGGGCCCGAAGGGTCAGGTTAGAAATTACTCTACACTGGGGACAGGCAATATGGTGCCTCCAGATCAGGGGTAGGCCAGATGCGGCCCAATCGCCTTCTCAATCCTGCCCGCGGAGAGTCCGGGAATCAGCGTGTTTCTACACGAGTAGAATGTATCCTTTTATTTAAAATGCATCTCTGGGTTATTTGTGGGGCATAGGAATTCGTTCATATCCTTTTTCAAAATATAGTCCGGCCCCCCACATGGTCTGAGGGACAGTGGACCGGCCCACGGCGGAAAAGGGTTGCTGACCCCTGCTCCAGATGTTTGTGAGGAGGAGGAGGAGGAGTTTGGATTTGATATCCCGCTTTATCACTACCCTAAGGAGTCTCAAAGTGGCTAACAACCTCCTTTCCCTTCCTCCCTCACAACAAACACTCTGTGAGGTGAGTGGGGCTGAGAGACTTCAGAGAAGTGTGACTAGCCAAAGGTCACCCAGCAGCTGCATGTGGAGGAGCGGGGAATCGACCCGGTTCACCAGATTACAAGTCCACTGCTCTTAACCACTACACCACACTGGCTCTCACTTGTGGACTCCCAACTCCCATCATCCCTGACCACTGACCATGTTAGCTAGAGCTGTTTTATATTGTGATCCTCGGGGGAACCGTGTTATAGAAATTTTAATAACAACAACAGTTTGTGCTTTTATATTGTAAACCACCCAGTGATCCTCAAATGAAGGGTGGGGTACAAATTGAATGAATGAATGGGCCCATGGGCTAGAGGTTCTCCACTGCTGTGATAAGACCATCAAGTCCAGATTCTAAAACCACCGAACTGCACCACTGCAATAGGGTTTCCGGGAAGTTTCCTATCCCAAGCACTGATCTCACCTGGACCTGCTGAGGCAGCAACCATGCCCTGGAGCCAAAGGTTACAGCCTAAACCCCCTAACCCACAGCACAGAAGAAGCCTACGTAAAGAGTCAACCGGCAGTGCCTGAAGCTTCAGTGAAAAGTAACTAAACAGCTCTGTCGTCCTAATTGTATTAGAGCCAGTGTCTCCGAGCCTGGCTCGTTAAGCACCCATCCGCCGCCCCAACCCTCTGCCACAACTTTTTATGCCAGCCTGTCCAGATGGCTCCCATTCATTCAGGCACTTTTCTTGGCTCATCAATCCAGCCAGACAGCCCAGGGAGGGCAAAGTGGGGAATAGCATCCCTTTAAATGACAGGATCGAGGTCACTAGTCTAGATAAATATTGAACTGTTGGGTGGCAGCAGCGATACTACAAACACCACACCGACATTTGGGGGCGGGGAGGGAGCGAGAGTGGAATTAACAAGATAAAAATGGGCAAGGAAAAAAGAAGAAAAGAAAGACCAACAGAGCACCGCCAATCAGAATTATCGAGTTCCAGTAGACTGTATTTAACCCAGCAAAGCATTATGGGAGTTCCAGAACAAGGTGTCATCCATCATGTATATACTAATAACGAACTTAATTCTCCAGGAGCCAATTATTAGGTAGCCAAAGAATTGACAAGAGGATGATGTGGAGAATCTCAACATTTGCAGAAATACAACAAGAAAAGTTGGGTGGTAGAATCAAGGCTCGAGAGGGGAGAATCCACAAGACTGTGTGTGTGTTCAGTGGAAAACTGGTGGCAGAGGGAGAGATGGAATATACTGGGGGGGAAGGCATGACTAGCTCGCACCCTGAATAGGAGCACTCCATGCTGCAAAATTTGGCCTCAGGTCCCATTTGCCATCACTCACAGCTCAAGACCCGCAAGGACTTCCTCTCCCCATAAGAACCAACCTGGACCCTGTGATCCTCCTCCACGGCCCTTCTTTGCATGTTTCTTCCACGAGAGGTCTGGAGGGTAGCAATATGAGAACGGGCCTTTTCTGCGGTGGCTCCTTGTTTCTGGAAAGCTCTCCCCGGGGAGGCTTGCCTGGCACCTTCACTGCATATCTTTAGGAGCCAGGCAACAAGGTTGCTCTACAACCAGGCCTTTGGCAGAGCAAACAATTGGTTTTGTATTGTTGTTCTTATTAGATCAGGAAGTTTTGTATGGGGAAGTTATTGTATTGGGAAGTTTTTAATGTTTGACGTTTTATTATGCTTTTATATGCGCGGGAAGCAGCCCCAAGTGGCTGGGGACACCTAGCCAGATGGGCAGGGAATTAACAACAACAACAACAACAACAACAACATACCACTGAGCCATCCCAATTTAAACAGGGCATCCCAGAAATTCAGAAACCATCCTGGCTTCTGAGTGGATCATAGAATGTCCCAATTTTTTGGTCCAGCGCTATGGCGCAAGTCAGCTTGCTCCTGTGAGAGCTTGGGACCACCCCCCCCCCGAGTGCCCCAATTTGGATCACCTGGATGTTGGAGGGTACCTTATATATGCATTCTGTGTTTTCACTTTTTAAATTTATTCTGTAAACCACCCTGTGATCTTCGAATGAAGGGCGGTATATACATTTAATAAATAATAACAATAACCACTGAAGTTAAAGCAGCTTTCTCCCACGAATGAAAACTGCTGCCCCACCTGAGCCACGGACGGTTTCTTCCTGGCACTGCCAGCACTGACTGGCAGCATCTCTTGAACCCACCTCCCTCAAGTCACAAGAGGGTGGGGGGCAGAGTCCTTCCCAATCCTGGTACTCCTGAATTTCCGGGATGCCCTGTTCGGTTCTTTGGATTGAACTCTTTTGTTCAAGCTCATGGGAGAAGGAATTTGAGGGCCAATGGGAGTACTGGGGAAAATATTGCTAACAAATCCATGGTACGAGCTGATTGCAGGAGGGTGACGCAGGGTTAATGCACAAAGGCAGCAAACTGCGGTTATTGGGACCTGAGTGGGTGACGGCAACCAGAGGGCACATCACACACTTGAAAGGGCACGACGTGTTAGATGTGCTTTACATCTATGGCATGCAAGTTCTGCGGAGTTTGTAATTCCCCAGCAGATGTGGCAGAAAGTGGTAAAGAAAGAGAGAGGTGGGGAGGGGGAGCCATTAGCCATAACTGGGACGGGAGGCCAGGAGCCACGTTAGATCAACCCAGCAGTGCGTTAGGAGAAGCAGAGCAGCACCCAACCCCCTCTCTGTCCCACTAAAAAGTCAATAAAAATAAAATGAGCGATTGCAAAGAGGGCACTGCACCAGCTCTCTCCAGACAATGAACTTGAGTGCTGATCTAAAAATACCGTCTGGGCAGATCAGAGGAAGGAGAGCCAGGCATTGGAATAAGGGCAGTTGTCCCAAGAGACGGCTTTTAATTGATGGTTCCTGCAGCTTTGATCATGGCAGCGGCTCACTCTATTTTCTTTGGAACCAAAATATTTCTGCACGTTTCCCCCCCCACAAAAGTAGCACACAAACACACACACATACAAGTGCCTGGGCTACCAATGGAAGTTTTTAAGTGACCCATCTCCACACACACACACACACACACCCAAAGAAAGGGAAAGCATCCTTCAGAGAGACAAAGAAAAAGTGGAGGATTGTTACAGGCGGTTTGGAACAAAGGCATCTCTCTCAAAATGAAAATCCATACCACTGCAGTCTAGCCTTTTCTCCATTCATTATTAACAGCTTCCATCTTCAGCAGACACAGATAACAAATGGACTGGCAGTGGGGGGGGGGGAATAGCAGAAAAGCAGGGTGGGGAATCTGATTCAGTCTTTGATGGTTTAAATCACAGGTCTTCAACAAGGGGGTCGGGAGCTAAAGGTGGATCATGGGGTCACAACATCAAGTGGATGCTGTCATGTTGGACTCCAGCGAAGGCCAACTGGACCAAAAGAGCACTACCCATGGTGTCCTGGCCAGGGCATGTTCTTCTGATGAGACACTCATTTAGTTTCCATGTGTACTGCAAGTGCTTGTGAAACATGGACCACTTATAAACGCCATCTCCAACTCCTCGAAAGATTCCATCAATGGTGTCTCCGAAAAATTTTGCACATCACTTGGGAAGACAGGCAAACTAATGTCAGTGTATTGGAAGAGGCAAAGGTCACCAGTGTCGAAGCAATGATTCTTCAACATCAACTTTGCTGGGCTGGTCATGTTGTGCAGATGCCTGATTCTCGTCTTCCAAAGCAACTACTCTATTCCGAACTTCAAAATGGAAAGCATAATGCCGGTGGTCAACAAAAGAGGTTTAAAGACTCTCTCAAGGCAAATCTTAAAAAATGTAGTATAAACACCGACAACTGGGAAACACTGGCCTGTGAGTGCTCCAGTTGGAGAACAGCCTTTACCAAAGGTGTCATGGACTTTGAAGATACTCGAACTCAGGACGCAAGGGAGAAACATGCTAAGAGGAAGGCACACTTGGCAAACCCTCACCATGATCAACACCACCCAGAAACCTATGTCCTCACTGTGGAAGGACGTGTGGATCCAGAATTGGCCTCCACAGTCACTTATGGACTTACTGTGGAAACCATGTTCATGGAAGACAATCTTATTTGGCTACGAGTGATCAACAAAGAAGAAGTAGTATCATAGAATCGTAGAGTTGGAAGAGGCCCTTGTGTTCGTCTAGTCCAGGCATAGGCAAACTTGGCCCTCCAGATGTTTTGGGACTACAACTCTCATCATCCCTGACCACTGGTCCTGTTAGCTAGGGATGATGGGAGCTGTAGTCCCAAAACATCTGGAGGGCTGAGTTTGCCTATGCCTGATCTATTCCAACCCCCTTGCAATGCAGGAATATGCAGCTGTCCCTTACGGGGATCAAACCTGCAACCTTGGCATGACCAGCACCACACTTTAACCAACTGAGCTATCCAGCTTAAAGAGCAGGGCTTTTCGGCAGGTATGTATTTCCGGCCAACCACTGCCCCCACTTTCCTATTGCTATGCCTAGAGTGAGGAAGCTCTGCATGGAGAAGGGATCACTTTCTGGCCTATTTCAATGGCTTTCTAGACTTCTCCTGGAGTGAGCAGAAGCTGTGGTGGGGAAGTCCGGTTGGCTGGCAGTTTCCATCATGGCAGCTGCTGCAGGGTTCAGAAAATGGTGAGGGGGGAAAGTAGGTGCTCAAGCCTTCCCCCTCTCCACCTGTCCCTCAAGAATTAGAGGGGCAGTTAATCTTTTACAGCTCAGGGGGCATCCAGTCACCCCCTCCAAGAGCCCGGTCACACACACAGATGAGATATGCTCATTTACATATTTTCAGACACACATCACTCTCGCTGGTAGGAGAGGAACTGCATCTTGAACTTCAGGGATTAAATCAGAGAGCTGTCCTACTGGCCACAATGTACCAGCCACACATCCTTTGCGCCCAGGCGAAACAGGTATTGCAGGGTTTTTTAAACAATACCAAAGCCTTCTTAGCAGAAGGAAGAACAGGAGATAGATAGATAGATGGATGATAGATAGATAGATAGATGGATGATAGATAGATAGATGGATGATAGCTAGATGATAGATAGCTAGATGATAGCTGGATAGATAGATGATAGATAGATAGATAGATAGATAGATAGATAGATAGAACACAATAAGAGCACATCTCTTTGAAAACCACATTCATTTCTCAAAAAAAGTAGGGGGGAGATAATTGTTAATGCTAAGCAAATTTAGCACCTAAGCGAGTGTGCCCCATGGAACAGAGTGAGGCTATTTCACAGTAGATGTACTTAGGGCCACACCGCAGTTTAAAACAGTATTTCAGGGCTGACCAAGAGAACTAAATCACTTCATACCTGCAAAGTATCCACAACACCGACTGTCAAAGTCCTGTGCTATTCCACCAATCACTTCCAAAAGATGCAAATTTGCAGCCAGCTTCCATGCATAAAGGAAAACAAATGGTAAAACCTACCTGGGGCTCAGGAGAGAAGGAAGATGACTTCAGAGCTGCAGGATGAGCCCAGGGGCAAATCATGTGCTATACTCCTTCCTAATCTAATCAGGGGGATCAGCTAATTCCTAAATCGCAAGAGGACAGAGCTCTCTTTTCCAATCTGTTTTTATGAAATGAAAACAAAATATTGCAAAGCACAGGCAACTGACGATTGGCAATTGAAACAGACCTGGGTCTCAATAAAAGTTCTCAGGGCTTTGGAATGACGCTTGCTGAAGCTGGCTTCTGCGATGTATTGAGAAAAGGTAGCAAAATAATAATCATCATCTCATACAAACTTTCACTGTGTTGCTTTTTCAACATTTTACAAAAACGTATTGCAGGCAACGAGAGAGAATGAAAGAGGCTTTACTTGTTTGGATTCCTAGCTCGGTTCTCCTGGGCTCTCAACTTCCAACAGAAGGAAAACAAACAAATGAAATTTGCTCACCTCGGAGCTCACTTCAATTTGCTAGAAGCAAATTACTAAATACCTACAGGCTTAACCCAGCAGTTTTCCTTCCAAAGCTTCTTTTCCACCATGACTGAGTAAGCCCACTTTTCTGCTAAAGGTATTATGTTCTTTATTCCATTAATGATTTAAACCTACTTCCAATCCTCAAACTTAGGGAGGGGGCCGACTAAAAGGGTCTACAAGAGCCAGATTGGTGGTGTAACGCAAAACCATACACCTGTTGCACGAGACTTTCATTAACGGATCAATGCGTTGAGAAGAGTGCAATACAGCCCTCGTGGGATCGTTGTACTCCTTCAGAATAATGAAGAAGGGATAACATAGAAGCATAGAATCAGAGTTGGGAGGGACCACGAGGATCATTTAGACCAACCCCCTGCAATGCAGGAATCTTTTGCCCAACATGAGATTCAAACCCACAACCCTGAGATCAAGAGTCTCACAATAACACAATGGAATTCATAGCAGTGGCAATTAACTGAACATTTATTCAAAACCCCATTAAAACTAATCGGTTTAATAATCAACCCAGCAAAACTGATCAACTATTTATTGTTTTAATTTGTGCGCTTCATCCAAATACCTTAGGGTGGTTCACAGCCCTGAACATGATCAAATGCATCCGCCACATAAAGCCCTGTACAGTTCAGGACCACAGCAATTGAAGAAACCCCTTTGCAGGAGGCCCTTCTCCAGTTGAGCATCAGAAATGAGGCAGGTGCCTTCTCAGTGGTGGCCCCACAATTATGGAATGCTCTCTCTAGGGGAGGCTCACCTTGGGACTACTCTGCTAGCTTTTCTGGCACTGAAGACCTTTTTCGTATTTTTCCAGACTACTAAATCTGTAAATGATGATTATTATTCCTTCCTTCCTTCCCCTCGCCTTTCCTCAAAAAGAGATTCCCTGCCTGTGGAAAGCAAGCAATTTTAGACCAAAGGATTCCAGAACATAGACTATGCCTGAGTCTGGTATCTAAATTTGTGAGTGACCTGGGACAAGCGAGTGCTCAAGCCCTGGAGCCCTGTTCCGCCTCAGAAGTGAATGGGGTTGTGCAACGTCAGTTCTTGTAATTGGCAGATATTATGAAGCCTCTGCATTGGCGAGGCATGGCAGAAATAACAGGGGCCGCACCTTTTCCCTTTGCCCGGTCAGTCTACCATGTTCCGCCTGCACTGCAGGGCTCCCGTTGAAGTCCTTATTCTGGTGGGACGACATCCACACAATACACTTAAAAGCAGCATGACACCACTTTAAACAGCCATGGCTTCCCCTAAGAATCCAGGGAACTGCAGTTTGTTAAAGGCGCTGAGAGCTGACAGCCAACCTCTATTCCCCACACAGAGCTACAATTTCCAGAGTGGTTTAACAATCAAGGAACTCTGGGGATTGTAGCTCTGTGAAGTGAATAGGCATCTCCTGACAACTCTCTGCACACTTTGCAGAGCTCCAGTGATGCTTTGGGGGGAGCCATGAGTGTTAAATTGACGCAATAGTGCTCTGCAGCAGGGGCAATGAGCATCAGGTATGGTTGGACTACAACTCCCATCAGCCTCAGCCAGCAGTGGATGATGGGAGTTGTAGTCTAACAACATCCGGAAGCCCCACATTGGTTACCCCTGCTCTGCACCCTTAACAAACTGCGGTTCCCAAAGGTACTTCGCATCACTTTTAGAACATACACTTCCAGATCTGGATTTTGATACAGCTATGGCCTCGGTCCAGTATATCTGAAGGAGCGTCTCCACCCCCATCGTTCTACCCGGACACTGAGGTCCAGCGTCAAGGGTCTTCTGGCGGTTCCCTCGCTGCGAGAAGCAAAGCTACAGGGAACCAGGCAGAGGGCCTTCTCGGTAGTGGCACCCGCCCTGTGGAATGCCCTCCCATCAGATGTCAAAGAGATAAACAACTACCAGACTTTTAGAAGACATCTGAAGGCAGCCTTGTTTAGGGAAGCTTTTAATGTTTGATGCATTACTGTATTTTAATATTTTGTTGGAAGCCGCCCAGAGTGGCTGGGGAGGCCTGGTCAGATGGGTGGGGTATAAATAAATTATTAGTAGTAGTAGTAGTTAGTAGTATTAGTATTACTACTACTACTTGCCCAGACAGGTGGTATGGACAGACATCTGCCCATACCCCAAATGCATGGCAAAGACCACGTCTATTGGGCCATGGCTCCAAACGCCTAGCACCCAACTGGTCACACCCCGGGCACCCAAGCAATGCAACTGTACACACTTAGATCCTCTTCTTAGTAATGCTGTACATAGAACCATAGAATTGTAGAGCTGGAAGTGTCATCTCGTCCAACCCCTTGCAATGCAGGAATCTCAACACGCAGCCCCCCATCCAATCTGAAACCATACCGGACCCTGTTTAGCTTTGCAAATGTGCAGGCAACAGACAGGCACAGCCAACAGGCTCAAAAGCAACAGGATGGCCTGCAGACCTGTAAAGTTGGGTTCTAACAGAACTCTGAGCATGCCTAAACTTTCCACCAATTTTCAGCAGAACTACTGCAAATGTTAGTTTGCAAGGTGCATAGTCAACATGGCAGCCTTCCAGATGGTACTGGGCTGAGACTCCCGTAACCCCCAGCTAGCTCGGCCAATGGTCAGGGACGATGGCAGCTGCAGTCCAGAATCCGGATGATGGCACATTGGCTGCCCCAGATGTAGGCGAACTTGTGTAATCTCCAGCAGCCGACAAGATAAGACGGGCAAGGGATGCGAATTAATTACTCTGGGGATTGACACGGGAGGGCGGTTGTGCTTTACAATGGCATGGCAAGGATCTGGCTCGCATGACAGCTGTTGCCACTGGGAAGTTTCCTTCGAGGCTGAGAAGACAGTCGCTTCCTTTCACCTTTGTCTGCTGTCGCAGCTCATCACGGGAAGCGGCTCCTGCTGAACGCAAACTCCAGGCTCGCTTCGAGCAATGCAAAATGGAGCTTGTCATGTCTGCTGGAGACGTCACAGGTAAAACTGACAGCCACCAGCCACAGAGGGCTTACTCACCCTTATATTTTGCCCCTCTCTTTCCACGATTTAAAACTCAATGTCCAAGCATTTTTATTTTTATTTTTATTTGCCCCGAACTTTCCCCACAGAAACCAGCTCTTTTAAGCTGAATCCGAGCAAACATCAATTTGGGTTTTCCTGGGACTGATGGTTTGCTCCAATCAAGCTTTAAAAAGAGCTTGGGGGGCAGGGTTGGCAGGGAAAGCTCAAGGCAAAAAAGGACTCTCAGACCTGGAGCTCCAAATCACAGACTGTGCCTGGAACGAACGGAGGAAAGGTAAATGGAGACAAGCCCCGAAAGGGAGGTGTGCCTTTTGAACACAACACATGGATGAAAAAGAGGTAGGTGCATGCCTGCAAACTTACTCTCTCTCTCAGCTCAAATAAAGAACCGACAGGGAAAGGATGGCTCTAATACCTGATCCCAGCTTAGAGAGGATTTTTGCAAGGACAAATACGCCCGCATGGAAGATTAAGGTCACGAGAAACTGCCGTCACTGAGACCAGCCTCCATAAGTCCAGCAAAGAATCCCTTTCCCTTCCCTTTGCAACTGAGATGGGCTTTAAGGGTGAACTGAAAGGAGACTCCTGTCAGTCTTAATCATAACAATTGCATTATTTGCACCCCGCCCATCTGACGGGGTTGCCCCAACCACTCTGGGGCATCTTCCAGCAAATATAAAGCAGAATAAAGCATCAAAACTTCCTGTGCAAGACTGCCTTCCTTCCTTCTAACGCACAAGGGGTTGCCAGGGCAACAACTGGCCTTCAAGACAACGCTAATAATAGGTGGTTGAGGGGAGAGGAAGGGGTTGGTCGGTCTCTTCAGCTTTCACCACCCCTGTCCCATACCTTTTGGAATATCACTTAAGCTTTACTGAGGTGTGCACATTCTTAAAATATAATTACTGTATGTTCTGGTGTATAAGATGACTTTTGAACCCCGGAAAATCTTCTCCAAAGTTGGGGGTCATCTTATACGCCGGGTATGGTTGTGGCAGGTGGCGGCAGTGGCTGGCTTGGAACGGCGACGGGCAGAAGGATGGGAAGCGCCACCCCCACCTCCATCCCTGACCACCTCCCGAAGAAGCAGCAACCGCAGCAGCCTCCCCTTCCCACGGCAAGGTGGTGCACGGCTTCGGCCGGCGCTCTAAGGAGCTGGGCATCCCCACAACTGCCAGAACTACCAGCCGGTGAGCGCAGCCTTCCGCTTTGCTGGACGGCCGATCGGGGCTTGCTCGCCTCGCCTCAGGTTGCTGCTGCTGGGACAGCACAGGCAGTGGAGGGGTGCGCACTCTGCCCCTGGCAGCGCTTGGCGGGCTTTAGGTTGAGGGGCTGCTTCTAGTTGGCTGCAGGCGGGAGTAGTCTTATACGGCGAGTATATCCCAAACTCTATATTTTAACAGGAAAAGTTGGGGGTCGTCTTATACGCCCAGTCATCTTATACGCCGGAAAACACGGTAATTCAATTAAAGAGCAACTACACTGAGCTATACTCCTTGGCCTAGTCATCCTCAGACCCTTTCCAGACATTTATTCTATTTATTCTGTTCTCCACACCAGCCTTGCCCCAAACCGCGGCCCTCCAATAAGAACGTGAGAAGGGTCTGGCTGCTAGATCAGGCCTAAGGCCAGGCAGATGGCCAGGAAACATGGTCCTAGGCTGGAATTTCCACCAGTGGAAGAGCTAGTGTGGTGTAGTGGTTAAGAGCGGTAGTCTCCTAATCTGGGGAACTGGGTTCGCTTCCCCGCTCCTCCACCTGCAGCTGCTGGGTGATCTTGGGCCAGTCACACTTCTCTGAAGTCTCTCAGCCCCACTCACCTCACAGAGAGTTTGTTGTGGGGGAGGAAGGGAAAGGAGAATGTTAGCCGCTTTGAGACTCCTGAAGGGGAGTGAAAGGCGGGATATCAAATCCAAACTCTTCTTCTTCTTCTTCTTCTACCATCCCTTACCACTGGCCATACTGAGCAGGACTAATAGGAGCTGGAGTCCAGCAAAAACCAGAGGGCACCTGCCACTCAAGATGGCGGCCTCTCGAGTGATGCCAGAGAGAAGCCTTTCTTCCCACCTCAGCGCATGATGAAACTGGGTGAAATATTTGGCTTACGGGCTAATCCCCAGAGGAGGGAACGCCTGGAATCAAGAGAACCCACGTTTATTTGAAAGTGAGATTTTTGCTTAACCCTGAAATAGGGAAACGTGAGGAAAACAGGGGGAAGGGAAGGAAGAACCTGCCTTGTATTTGATGCAGTGCTGATTGCCCCCCATTTATCAGAGATTTAGGGTTGTAGTCGGTGCTAATCACACTGAAAAGGAACAGATACGACTAACCTGAGTCCATTAATGGGTCGACTCTCAGTGTGAGCAGCAAAGAATGCAACTTTATTATTTATTCCTTTTATTCTTTCTTTATACTGCACCTTTTAAGAATGCTCCCTATATAGGTGGGTTTGATAAAAGCGTCGACGTAAGAAGCAAAATGGCGAGACAACGCAGAACAGCTAAAAAGCTGCCTTAAACATCGTCCCTGTATATCCAGATAAAAAGTAGTCAAAGAAGACCCTCTTAAGAATAGTAATATGAAGAGCGAGGGCTGCCAAGGGCCCATCTAGTCCAGCATCCTGTTCTCACAGTGGCCGATCGGATGTCTATAGGAAAGCTGCAAGCAGGATTTTATCACAAGAGAAATCACCTCTCTGGCTTCCAGGAACTGCTATTCACTAGCATTATTATTATTATTATTATTATTATTATTATTATTATTATACTGCCCTTCATCCACAGATCACAAGGAGGTTTACAATATAAAAACGCAAAAATACATACCATAATAATGAACGAAAACAATTTTTAAAAACCCACAGTTTAAGTTTTGCTACCTCCGTCCATGGAGGCAGAACAAAGCCATTCTGGCTGGTAGCCACTCATAACTTTTTCCTTCGCAAATCTGCCAAAGTTCTCTTTAATGCCACCCAAGCCCATCGCTGCCTCCTGTGGGAGCGAGTTCAAAGCTCACGTAGATCTCATTTTGGCATGGGTAAGGAGAGGCAATCTGGGACACGGGTGACGCTGTGGTCTAAACCACAGAGCCTAGGGCTTGCCGATCAGAAGGTTGGCGGTTCGAATCCCCGCAACGGGGTGAGCTCCCGTTGCTCGGTCCCTGCTCCTGCCAACCTAGCAGTTCGAAAGCACCTCAAAGTGCAAGTAGATAAATAGGTACCACTCCGGCGGGAAGGTAAACGGTATTTTCGTGCGCTGCTCTGGTTCGCCAGAAGCGGCTTAGTCATGCTGGCCACATGACCCAGACGCTGTACGCTGGCTCCCTCGGCCAGTAAAGTGAGATGAGCGCTGCAACCCCAGAGTCATCTGCAACTGGATCTAACGTTCAGGGGTCCCTTTACCTTTTAAGGAGAGGCAAGGTTACATTGCGCCAGATCCACGATGGCAACCCCACACTCCTGCTGAACGGCTAACTCCTAATCACCGGCAAAATCAAGACTTGCAACAGAGAGAGAGAGCGAGAGAGAGAGGCTTGTTTCGGTCCCCGGCCAACTGGTTTTCCCATACCTGTAATTGCTTTCTTCTCGCCTTTCTCCAGCTTCGCTTGGGGCAACTCGGTCTCTCCGCCGTGCTCCAAAGGCTGCTCTACCCTTTTCATGACTGCACTTTTGAAGCTCATCTGCAGCTGGCTGGTGTATTTCTCATGCTGAAGGGCAAAAGAGAGACACACAAACGTCTATAACGCAAGGGTGGGGTGGGGGAAAACCCTTTCCCAGCCCAAGGGCAACACTCCCATTCTGAGCAAGCCTTCGGGGGCCGCGAGACAATTTTTGGGTAGAGCAAAATAAGCGTTAAGTTTATTCACGGGCAAGCTTATTCGCACACTCTCTAGCCACTATCCAGGCAAGCAAGAAGTATTGTTGGAGTTCAAGGACAGGGCCGGATTTAATGAAAATTTAATTTGATGAGGCCCTAAACTACTGAAGGTAATGGGGCCCTTTATATGTGATATTTCAGGGAGCAGGCTAGCAGGCGGGGCCCATTACTAACATCATAGGAGCCTACAGAACACAAAACACTGTTGCTGTATGTAGGTTTTATTTTTATTTTTATTATCTTATATTTTGGAAATGTACATTCAGGGTTTTTTTCCTTTGATTTTTTTTGGGGGGAGGGGTGGCCCAAGAGAAGAAGAAGAGTTTGGATTTGATATCCCGCTTTATCACTACCCAAAGGAGTCTCAAAGCGGCTAACATTCTCCTTTCCCTTCCTCCCCCACAACAAACACTCTGTGAGGTGAGTGAGGCTGAGAGACTTCAGAGAAGTGTGACTAGCCCAAGTTCACCCAGCAGCTGCATGTGGAGGAGCGGAGACGCAAACCCGGTTCACCAGATTACGAGTCCACCGCTCTTAACCACTACACCACACTGGCTCTCGAGAGCGGGGCCCTAAGCTATAGCTTGTTTAGCTTATACGTAAATCCAGCACTGTTCAAGGACACATTCCAGCCAGGCAAAAACAAGTCAGGGATGGTGAGAGGTGTGACTTGGAAGTATGTGTGGGCACAGAGGAACAGCTGGTGTGAACACCTGCAAACAGGTTGATGTGAACACTCAGGGCATGGGTCTGAATGCATATGAAGCTGCCACTTGGACAAAGCAAAGCATCTCTGGGCCTAGTCGGTGCTTGGATGGAACTGTCTGGCCCATTGGGGGGGACACACCCAGAATCAAAGAAGTTTAGAATTGAAAAAGAACATCAAAGTCATCTAGTCCAACCCCCTGCAATGCAGGAACATTGAAATTGAAATTAATAATTTGTCATTGTTACAGTGTGAGGATTAAACAGGAATGGGGGGAAAAATAAATGGTAGTACCGTATTTTTCTCTCTATAGGGCGCACTGGACCATAGGGCGCACCTAGTTTTTTTGGGCAGGGGGAATAAAGGGGGGAGAGAGAATTATTCCCCCCCCCCCAGCCCCAAAGAGCAAAGAACTCCCACCGCGCTCTGAAGACTTGCGGATAGCTTCCTGAAGCCTGGAGAGCGAGAGGGGTCGGTACGCACCGAAGCCTCTGGCTCTCCAGGCTTCAGTGAAAGCCTGCATTCGCTCCATAGGACGCACACACATTTCCCCTTCATTTTTGGAGGGGAAAAAGTACGTCCTATAGAGCGAAAAATACGGTATTTTGCGGGGGGGTGCACAAAGGCAAGAAGCTTGAGGAGAAATGGGGCTTCTTTGCAGTCCTGGGGCAGTGCATATAGACACCATGGCACCCTCAGACCCCTTATTTTTAATATTTTAAAAAACTGACGGGGGTTGGACTTTTGAGGTGGTCTGCCTGCTTGGGGAGCCTGCCTACTTGTGTGTGTGCGTGTTTTATTTTTTTGTGGGGGTTGTAGATGTTCTGCCTGTTGTTGTTCGGAAAGGCGATCATCACTAGTTTTTCTTTCTGTGAAATGGGCTTTGTTTGTGTGTCCATGGCAGCTTCCTGGATTTCTAAGAAGGCTGGAGACATTTCTTATAACCCGTTGCTGAAGCAAGCCACTGTTTCCAAATACACTCCCCCCCCCCCCCGATCTTTTGTAGAAGCTCTTTTGCCCTGCCACAGAATTCACACAAGATCTCCAATCTGCACTGTTGTGTTTCTTTATTACGATGTGCGTATTATTTTCTTAGGCTCGGGCAGCCAAAACATGGCCCGAATCCTGCCCGACAACTTTGCCTGAGCCATGGACTTTCACAAGAACCTCGTCACTGGCTGGCTTTAAAAGAAAAAGTAAGTGAAATTGCTAGAGCTCATGACTCTGGGCCAAAACTTTGACAAGGGGAAGAAGGCAGCCTATCCTATGGAACAGGCGGAGATATATAATAATCAGCGAAGTACCAGTCTTGGCAAAACACGGAACTGCCAGGTGGGGATTAACTCTGATCTAAGATTGTTTCAGCATACTGCACTGGGTGTTTCTCATGGGAAAGCTCTGAAATAAATGGGAGTGGTGGTGCAAAGGTGCATCTGTGCTTTTTGCACAACACCTGTTCTCATCAACAAGGCTGAATGAGAAGCTCAGAATGAATTGTGCACACCACACCCACTCTCCTCCACTGGGGCTTTCTAAGCAGAGGTTAGATGACCATCAGTCCTGTATGATCTAACTGAGATTCCTGCATTGCAGGGGGTCGGACTGGATGACCCTTGGGGGCCCCTCCCAACCCTATATGAACATCTGGAAGGCCAAATGTTCCCCACACCTAAGCTTAAGCCAATACTATCTACCCAGATGCAGGGGGAGAGTCCGTTTGCATTTCTTAGCGCAGAAAGTATTGATCTGATGTGTACAGATCTTTCCTATTCTAATTGATTCAAGAGGGTTCTGGAAACTTCTCTGTGTGAAAGAAACAAGCAGAAGGTTCGTGGTGTTTGGGTTATGCCTTCCGAGAAGCTGAGTGCAGCTGGTTCTGCTATCTCTTTCAGTCAAGGTCATGCTGACTATAAAAGTCAGGCCAGAAGGAGCCTGGGCTTCACTTTCTCTTTCTGTCTCTCTTCCTTCTGGTGTGGTGTTCTGTACATAGTACAGTGGTGCCCCGCAAGACGAATGCCTCGCAAGACGAAAAACTCGCTAGACGAAAGGGTTTTTCGGTTTTACGTTGCTTCTGCTAGACGAATTTCCCTATGGGCTTGCTTCGCAAGACGAAAACGTCTTGCGCTTTTTTTAAAAAGCCGCTTGAAGAGGCGCAGTTGCGACGGACCGTGCTTCGCAAGACGAAAAACATCGCAAGACCAAAAGACTCACGGAATGAATTCTTTTCGTCTTGTGAGGCACCACTGTACAGTGGATGCTCAGGTTGAAAACGTGATCCGTGCGGGATGCACGTTCGCAACCCGCGTCTGCCGGTTGCAATTTGGCGCTTCTGCACATGCGCAAAGCGTGATTTAGCGCTTCTGCGTATGCGCAACTGCCGAAACCCAGAAGTAACCCGTTCCAGTACCTCCGGGTTTCGGAAGTACCGGAAAGGGTTACGTCTGGGTTTTGCTAGTCTGCAACCCAAAAAGACACAACCTGAAGTGGCTGTAACCCGAGATATGACTGTACGCTTAGTGTTAAGGTTTCGTGTTATTATAAGTTATTGTAAATTTAAGTTAAGTCTGCTGCAACTGGATTTCTTATGGACAGTGCCAATCCTGATTGTATTGGATTTGTGACCATTATGCTCATTTGCCTTCAGTAGCAGTAAAGCTCTGCTAGATGAAATATTAATTGCCTCTGGTCTATTTTTGGGGAATCCTGCAACGTGTTTAAGTTTTTACTCTGCTAACTATACGTTGGAATCTGCTCTGGATCAATATTGAGTAGAATTCCCTGACACTCTCTACAGCCACAGAAATGACCTTCCCAATTTCAGCTGATCTTGTTATCCATGGAAACATGCAGAGCATGCATCCCACCACTGAGCCACGCAGCCCCTCATTTCTACTGCTAGGAGAGCTATCAGAGGCATCAGATCCCACACCTCCTATGAATGTGGGAAATCCCATTTCCCCGACGCCCGTTTTGGGGGATTTTGCAAGCTAAGCAGCAGAAAGAAAATGGTGTCGAGCCACTCAAGCAATCTCCCTGAGCTGTAGGAATAGTTCACTAGCGCAAGAACCGTGTCATAAATAGCCCCCCTTATTCTCATCCCGCCCGCCCCCCAAACAAACACAAAAAGGAATGCAAATGCTCACCTTTAGTGCTTCTTCTGGGACCTTGTGTTGGATGTGTTCGAGCACATACATGTTGGCATGTAGAGAACAAGTTAAGGAAAGAGGCAGAGGGTTTTTTTTGCAAGACTCATCTACTGTAACATTATTAGAAGCCAACGGCAACTCCTCTCCCAACACGGTCATGTCAGATGATTTCAAAGGAGCCATAAATAAACATTCATCGTACAGCGGCTGGAAAGGGAAAGTGTGTAAGGGGATGCAGATTCACCATCTGTGACAAGACTGGTTTGCGATGCGGTGCATATGTCAAAACTGAACATTGCTGTTATAATTGAGGTGCAATCCAAATTTTCCCACTCCCGCCAGTGGGGAGCTATCAAAACATCTGCAGGCCTGCTGTTCCTGACAGCTGGGGTGGAAGTTGCAGAGCAGGATGATCAGCCCCAGATCAGGCCCAATGAAGTGATGTAACACTTCAGGAGATCCTGTTAGTCATCCCATGACCAGCAGATTATCACTTATCGATGAGGAAGCAGGACTTCTGGGTTGTAGCTCCCATCTTTAGAATATTGTCCCCCTGGTTGTTTGAGAGGCAGAGACAGACGCCAGCTTTAGATGCGCGCAGCTATCCCATAAGCCAGGAGAGCAAGAGGCTATCTGACTCCTGGGATTCAGAATTTTTTTTTTCTTGTCTTCCTCCTCCAAAAACTAGGTCTGGTGTGTCTTATAGAGCGAAACATATGGTATAATACAGTTTTGTTCTGTTTCTGCTTAGTTTTGTTTTTAGAAAGTGTCATTTGTTATTGTTGTATATGTACATGAACGGATATAGATCCCCCCCTATTATATCTGCCGATCATGATTTGCATAAAGAGAGAGAGAGAGAGAAAGAGAGACAGAGAGAGAGAAAACAGTATATAAATTCTACAAACCAATGAAGAAAAGGAAGTCACTGCGTCTTCAAAAGAAAAAATACACAGTACACCAGCTAGGATCACCTCGCAGCCAAAACGTACATCATTTCTACAAGGAAGTAAAATAAAAACAAAAACCTCAGGTGGTCAAGAGAGGAAAAACAGGTGATTCAGAATCACAGGAGGAGAAAGTTTATGCAATGACATCATTCCTTTCTCCCTGCCTGCCTCTCCCCCCCACCCCCACCCTTCCTGCCAAGTCCTCTTACACCTATCCATCCAGCTGCAATTAAATTAAGCTATACTTCAATTGACAAGGAGGACACTTGAGAGTCCCTGAATGGCTGCACCAATCCAGGGCATGCCCTTGCAACAAACAGAGTGCATTCCATTCATTTCAAATAAGTTCTCCTATGAAGGGTTGCTCACACTAAAATATTTTTAGAAGGAGGAGAAGGAGGAGGAGGAGGAGAAGAAGAAGAAAAACCACCTAGGAAAATCCCTGCTGGATCAGACCAAAGGCACACCTAGTCCAGCATTCGGTGCTCACAGTGTTAGGCCATCCAAGTCAATGGTCATCACTACTGCACAGAGTTGAAAAAAACCAATGCTGTCGCACAGGCCTCTTCACAGACATAAATGTGGCACCTTAAATCCAGGTTATGGGTGCAACAACGGAATGTCTAGGCGTGCCTTTTAAATAACAAGAATACAAAGCTGAAAATGAATGAACAACAGCTAAAATATTACATTTGTTTAGTCCTTCCCCCACCCACCCCCCGTAATATTCTTGTATTCTTCTCCAGTCTTCGGAGAGTAGCTGGAAGCGGGGAGGCAGAAAAAGGTCCTCCTTTCCTTCCACTCTACAATTTTTATCTTGAAATGCTAGGCGCAGTACTGCGCCCAGAGCTCAGAAAACGCTCACGCTAATGAAACTCCCTATCGCAAAATGTGCCTAGAACAGGCATCCCCAAACTCAGCCCTCCAGCTGTTTTGGGACTACAATTCCCATCATCCCTGACCACTGGTCCTGTTAGCTAGACATGATGGGAGTTGTAGTCCCAAAACTGCTGGAGGGCCGAGTTTGGGGGTGCCTGGCCTAGAACAATGGGAGTTTCGAACACTGCTGCACAGGCTATACGTCCCTGCTTGGTCACTGCTCAGCAGAGGCAGCTAGAAAGTGCACGTCCCCTTCCGCCCCCTTGACCGCCATGTTGCCAGACACTGTGGCACACAGACGCTGAGCTGTCCAGCTTCCAGAATCACATGGGTAGGGCAGATTCGCTGCCAGAGGAATCCTTGGCTGAGCCTGTTCCACTCCGTGCAGGTGAAAGGCAGCACCCTTAAGAGCAAAGAGGGGGAGAGGTGGATGTTTGAGAAACCCAGCTGCGGGTGGTCCAGGTTTGCTCAGGTGACAAAAAGGCTCTCTAGCCATGTCCTGGGCCCCTCAATCTCTCTCATCGCCAACAAAAACTAATAATAGATAAAGAACCTACCCTCGTGACGCTGACACCAAAACCTCACACACACACCATGTAAAAATACCAGAGTTTGCTATCTGCCCCCTTTCTCTCTCTCCTCCTCCAGCCTCATACTGTCTGTAACATTACAGTGGTACCTTGGTTCTCAAACTTAATCCATTCCGGAAGTCTGTTCCAAAAGCAAAGTGTTCCAAAAGCAAGGCGCATCTTCCCATGGAAAGTAATGCAAAACGGATTAATCCATTCCAGACTTTTATAAACAACCCTTAAAACAGCAATTTAACATGGATTTTACTATCTAATGAGACCATTGATCCATAAAATGAAAGCAATAATCAATGTACTGTACTATAAAATAAATAAGACAGTATTGTAGATGATAAAAATAAAAATTAAAAAAAATTCTTACCTGCACTGATGATAGTCATTGTTTGGATGGGGGGCTTTTTTTATCCATTTCCGCAGTCACACAATCAATCAATCAGCAGCTGAACTGGGTTCCACACAGTCACAAAAACAAATTAACCGGAAAAGCCTCAAAAATGAAAAATAAATAGCAAAAACAAAAGCACCAAACTTAATCCGTTCTGGAAGTCTGTTTGACTTCCAAAATGTTCGAAAACCAAGGGAGCAGCTTCTGATTGGTGCGGGCACCCCAGAAACAATAGCCGACAGCCGCATCGGACGTTCGGCTTCCAAATAATGTTCAGAAACCGGAACACTTACTTCTGGGCTTTTGGCGTTTGAGAACCAAGGCATTTGTGTACCAAGGCGTTTGAGAACTGAGGTACCACTGTAGTCCCATTGAATCTGTAGAAATGGCTCTATGAACTGAAAGCAGAGATGCTATAAGCACTTTTGTTACTCAATCTGTATTTTTTTATTTTTAAGGAAGAAAGGAAAGGCTTCCCTGTTTGTCACAATCAAGAGCAGGCTAAAATGAAAGTTCAGAGCTCCACCATGAATTTGGTGCCCATTGCCCAGACAGGCTCCAGGTTAAAATGGAACATAGGACTGTATCCTGGGAGCTTTGTGTGCAGGTAGACGGTGGAACACCTGGGTTGGAGAGAAATGAGAAGGCAAGGCAGGCACACAAATAAAGCAGCATTGTGCAAAAATGCGTCTGCCACACCCAGACACCAGGCTCTGCCTCCGGAGCAATAAGTATAGACGCAGCACAAAAGATTGCCCTGTCAAAAGCACAACGAACCGTTTTAAACGGGCAACGTTGACACAGCTCACATCACAGCTGCACAGAATAGCTGGCTTGCACTTCACCGACAGAGGAGGGTGGGAGGTTGTTTGGGAATGTTTGGAACCACAAGAAAGGATTGTGCATGTTGCTTTTAGAGAGAGGGGAACAGACCAAGGACAAGGGCACAGTTGGGGAAACCGGCCAGTTTTTGTCGCGGCCGGCAGATGCGTCGCCTTCTGCATGAGAACACTGCTGACTCAGGCAATGCGAGCTATAAAGAGCTGAAGTAGAAGGGGACAGGCAGAATGCTCTTTTGGAAAATGCCCATCAGATGGTAGGGAGGGACCAGAGTAAATTGCACCAGGTCGCAGGAATTAGGCATGCAATTTCATCTGCAAAAGATTCCATTTCAGCAAAAGGTTCTCCCTAGCCCTGCAACCACCGCCGCCCTTTCTCTGTCTCTCTCCCTCTGACACAAACACACCACAAGGATCCGAACAAACGCCAAGGCCTGCAGAGAGACCCGTGTCTGCTGCAAAGATGCACTGAAATGCCAGCCCCGCCACACTATTTGGGAGAGAGAAGCTTGCTTGTCCACAAAGCATGTTAAAGCGGAATAATGCCCGTTTTTGCACTCGACAGAAAACACAGTGTTGAAATGTAGGCGAATTTAAGAAAAAATTAAAAAGCCAGAAGTGGGTATGGACCATGGGGTAATTCAGGAACCTGCTTAAAAATCAATGCCTTGCTAATCAGGATTTTTTTCCCCATTGACCTGATTTTAGCATCAAGGCTGTTTAATGAAAGGAGGTCGATATAAATTAGGGGTGGGGGGTGGGAATAGGCTGGAGGCACAAGTCACACCAGAGAGCTGTTCTCCAACACCACCGTTCATCGTACATCTCGCAGGATAAGCAAAGTTTAGCACACACACCCCATTTACTCTCAGTACCAGCATAATATTATTTTACTATTTTATTAAATTTATAATAATATAAATTCATATATTTATATTTCATATATTTATATCAATACAGACCAGATGGTTTTTCCCCTGTGGTCATACGTCCCTCAAACCCACAACATGGCAAACAAATCGTAAAAGGAAAAGGGCATGGACCAAAAGAATCTCAGGCGTCATGAACTCACCAAATGGCACCTTAAATCTGAATTGCAGTTGCCACCATGGAATGTCCAGGCGCTTTTTTCCCAATGGGAATTGTTATTGTTATTATTACTTTCATGCCTATACCGCTTTATATTTTAAAGAACAAATCTCAAAGCAGGTTACAATACCTTAAAACATCAAACGATCCAGAAGTAAACCAATTCAAGCTTCAAGGAAAATATTTCAGATCCTACTCTTCCAAGTAACGTTTTGCTTTCCCCAGTTGCCAACCTGGCATCCATAGAGGTCCACATGTTCGCAAAACACACCCGGCTAATTTCTAACACGGGGCCTAGCGCACTAGTAGTCATTGCTGCAGGCTAGTAACCTCTGGGGGCTTATTTACAAGGCTGGTCTACTCCAGCTGACAGCAGCTGCCTGGATGTCAGACAAGAGATCTCTCCTGGCACCTGCTAACCTCAGGTGTGCAGGATTTAACCTGGAACCTTCTTCAGGCAAATCAAGTGTTCTATCACAGAGGAAATGGTCCATCCACCTGCCAATTGTTATTAAAAATCCTGGCCTGGGGGACCTAGAGCACACACAGAAAGCGATCGCAACACTGGTAACTGGCTGAAGATACCAGACAACTGGGAGACGATGCTCTGATGAAGAGGTTAAAAGCCCAGCCTCAAAAGCTTCTGCAGCTCCATCTTGTTGGGATACTGCCAGGGAGATAAAGTCCATCAAGGCCCCCAAGCCGTCTGCCGGACGATCCATTGACCTCCCGTAGTCACGCAGTATCAACAATTAGCGACATGAGTTTCTAGAAGATTTCTTGCCACATTCCAGAGCTCATGCACACTCTATCAGCAGATAGTCACAGCCAAAAGTTGCACCCAGGAGAGCATTATTTACAAGTTTATTCAGCGTTGATCAGAACACAGAAAAACATGACCGACTGCTTTAGTGTCTGCGACACCAGAGAGAAAACGAAAGCAACAGAAAACATAAACATCCTGTGAACAGGAAATACGCAGACTCTGACTCACAAAGCCTGCTCCCTTTTAAGGTGGAACGGAAATATCCTAACATCCTCCCCTTTCCGTGTAACCTGTAGTACCTGTGGTTCAACCCAATTGCAACCTTTGTACATAAACCTTAAGTTGTTCTCTGTTAACAACCTTAGACAACAGATCAGCAGGAATTTCATTTCCTGGCATGTAGGACACCTGAATGAGTCCTTTCTGAATACACTCTCTTGCACGATGTAGCTTAATCTGCAAGTACTTGGTCCTTTGCTTGCAACTCTCCGAGTTCAGCAAAGCCAAACACGATCTATTGTCTTGATACACTTGTACAGGACATTTCACAGAAACTCTGATGTCCTTAAACAGTTGCATCAACCATTCACAATCCATGAGTGAAAATGACAGAGCATTGAGTTCTGCTTCACAGGAACTTAGGCTCACTGTCGTCTGCTTTTGCACAACCAGTCAAACAGGCAGTGGTTGTACATGTAGCATACCCAGAAGTGCTTGTACCATCCGTGGTGTCACTTCCAAAACTTGCATCTGCAAAGATTTCAAGACCTCCAGTCTTCTGACTGGTGAACCTCAGCCTGTAGTGCAAAGTCCCTTTCAAATAGCGGGCTATGCGCTTCAGAGCTTTCCAATCCTGAACAGTAGGATTGTTAGCATGTCTGCTAAGCAGGTTACAGCTTACAGCTATGTCAGGTCTTGAGCATCTAGCAATGAAATTCAACTTGCCTAGAATGCATCTGTACAGCGTTGTGTCAGAAAACGCTTCAGCAGTACTGTCTACCTGGTAACCTGTCACCATCGGTGTGTCTGCTGGGTTTGCATCAACCAAATTCAACCTGGTTAATACATCAGCAATTTTCTGTGTTTGGTGTACCAGAAAATTACCTGCTTGGTCCCTCTCCACCTGCAGAGAAAGATAGTTGGATACCTCACCAAGATCCTTCATGTCAAAGTGCTCCTTCAGCTGAGCTAGGGTGCTTTGGTACAAAGCCTGATTCTTCCAAAACATCAGAAGATCATCAACAAAACATAAACAATACAGTTTGTTTTGCCCCTCCTCCTTGACAAACACACATGGATCAGCTTTGCCCTGGTGAAAACCTAGAGAAAGCAATGTCTCAGTGAGCTTTGTGTTCCAACACCTGGCACTCTGCTTGAGACCATATAAGGATTTCCGCAGTTTACAGACCATTCCCTTCTGTATCTGCATTCCATCAGGTGGAAGCATAAACAGCTCCTCGTTCAAAATCCCGTACAAAAAGCTGTATTAATGTCATGATGGGAAACATGCAGTTTCTCCTCTGCAGCTATCTTGAGCATCAGCCGAATGCTCTCATATTTGACTGTGGGTGAGTAGGTCTCGTGGTAATCCTGTCCTGGTACCTGTGAAAAACCTCTGGCAACCAATCTGGCTTTGTGTCTGACAACCTTGCCATTCTGGTCTGTCTTGGCCTTGAAGACCCATTTGCTGCCAACCAGTCTCATTCCTGGGACTACCGGTACCAGTTCCCAAGTTTGGTTCCTATTCAAGGAATCAACTTCAGCCTTCATGGCATTAAGCCAAGGCTCAGCATCTTTAGAGGTTAACTCCTGAACCTCTTTGAAGCTTGAAGGTTCCCATACCTTCTCTGAGCTACTAAGAACAGCAGTTGCTGTCTTAGCAAACTCATCAGCAAATCTCTTTGGAGGTCTGCCCTTCGTGGCTCTCTCAGATCTGCGTACTAGACGCAAGTCTTCTGGACTCATCTCCTCCTTCTTAGGAGAAAAGTGACCAATGGTGAACAGTGGTTCTTCCAGTTCATTGTCAGACGCATCAGATGGTCTGACTGAGGCCTTTGCGCTCTTGTAGTCTGCTGTGTCATCACTGTCACTGACACCAGCAGCAGCGCCGCCCACTGAACTGGAATCCGAACTCTGATCGTCATCATCATCCTCAGCAGCTTCCTCAGCTTTAGCTGCTTCTTTGACATCACCTTCATCCTCCTCTGGGTAACTCTGGAAAATTCCCACATTTTCCCCCCACTTAGGATTGTACTCAACACTCTTTGTGAACTTAATGGACTTAGAGTTGGTCATCCATACCCTGTATGCACCTTTTCGTACCCCATGAACAAACCATGTGCCCCACGCTTCCCAAGCTTGTTGCTCTGTGGGTGTGTACCCACATGTCAGAACCAAAGATTCTCATGTGTTTGATGTTGGGTTTCTTACCAAACATCTTCTCATAGGGAGTACAACCAATAGGTGATGACAATCTGCGATTATAAGTGTAAGCAAAATTCGCCAGAGCCTCCCCCCAATACTTATCAGGGAGATTGGCATCATGCAACAATGTTTTCATTCCTTGCAGCAACGTTTGATTTGCTCGCTCCGCAAGCCCATTCATCCATGGCGATCTAGGCGTTGACAAGTCATGCTGGATTCCCTTCTCAGTCAGGAAAGCTTCAAACTGCTGAGAAGTGAACTCCCGCCTCGATCAGTAAACAGACAGCCAATGCGTTTACCATGAACATTCTCCAACCAAGCACAGAATGCCTTGAACTTAGGAAACGCTTGCGATTTCTGCTCGAGCATAAACACATGAATGTACCTGGAAAAAGAATCAATTAGAACCATGAAGTACCTTGCTCCACCCAAAGAGGGCGCAAGTGGACCAACCAGGTCTGCGTGCACTAGCTGGTAGGGTTTGGAAGCCTGCCTGCTAGACTCCTTGCCTTTTGGAGCAACCTTCACCTTGTTCTCTGCACAAGATACACATTTCATGTGAAACTTACAGGGTTTGATGTTCAAACCCTCAACCATCTCTGGCATCTTGGCCAGTGCCTTCCAAGAGAGATGGCAAAATCTTCGATGTGCATCGTGAATGCATCCTGCATGAAGAACTTTGTTAGTTTGTGCAACACAACAAGAATCAGCATTAGACACAACAGCACCAATGTCATCATAAGTTATACAGAACAAGCCATCCATAAACTTTGCATGCAAAATGTCCTCTTTGCCTTTTCTGATGACACAGACGCTCCTCTTGAAGGAAATCTCAAAACCACGCCCAGTCAGCTGTGGGACACTAAGCAAATTGTCTGCAGCGCCTGGAACATATAGTACATCTTTGATGGTCGTGTGCAGACTTGCCAGTTTCACAGTCCCTTCTCCCGCAATTCGCAACGTCTTTCCATCAGCCAGGTGGATCTCACCTTCTTGAGGTTTGAAGGAGATAAACAGGTGGCGGTCCTTTGAGACATGGCGGGTACAGCCGGAATCAACAACAAACCTGGCCTTGGCCTTTGGAGCAGCTTTTGCAGCAAGCATAACCTTGTTTTCCACCGGCGTGGGCTTTTGCAGCTTGCCCCCCTGCTCCTGGCCATCAGACTTGCCTTTAGCCTTTGGTGAAGCTGTGCCAGTAAACAAAACCTTGTTTTCCACTGGCGTGGGCTTTTGCAGCTTGCCCCCCTGCTCCTGGCCATCAGACTTGCCTTTAGCCTTTGGTGCAGCTGTGCCAGCAAACAATGCCTTGTTTTTCTCTGGCGTGGGCTCTTCACCCTCCCTCTGCTTCTGGCCATCTGCAGGCGTCTGCCTCTGTTTACCTTTGCCCTTCCGGCCTCTGCAAAGGCAATGACCTTGGCTCCCACGAGAAACAGAGCTCTCAGCTGCCGACTCCTTGGCTCCCCCTGGAGGCTGGAATGCTGCCTGGGATGACGTGACAGTCAGCGCCCCCCTGCAGCTTGCAACCGGTGCCCTCGGCATCCCTGCATTCACTCGCATTCTGGGAAACAGCCAGGACCTCCGATGCAGTCAAACTCTGGGCTGGGATGACTGGCTGATGGGCTATCTTCAAAGCATGCCACATATTACGTGCAGTCAGATTGCCAGCTAACGTTTTAATTTCCTCCAGAGAGACGGACAAGACGATATCTATCGCCTCAACGGCCTTCCATCTATCTGTCAGAGGAACTGGAGGGGCTTCACACACAGTATGCCACACTCCAAACTGACGCAGCAAACTCTCACACCATTTTGCCCAGGTCTGATAGTTGTGCCGATTTAGCTTTGGGCACTCAGCAGCCTCAGAAGCTTGGAAAAACTCCATTCCAGCTTTTTACTTGAGCCGTGAGTCTTATTCACTTCAAAGACCCCTTATCTTAGCAGCTCATTAATCACGAAGCCTTTGGCGCGTCTCCCAGATCCATTAATCTGCCGGAGATCAAAGGCCCTTGCCACGGCAAACAGAAAAGCCTCACTTTCGCTTTTCTTCCACATACCTTTCAGCAGTCTGTCGCAGTCTTACTCTCCTGTAAGTGCTGTGAATCTGGGCCCATAACCTGTTGTTGGGATACTGCCAGGGAGATAAAGTCCATCAAGGCCCCTAAGCCGTCTGCCGGACGATCCATTGACCTCCCGTAGTCACGCAGTATCAACAATTAGCGACATGAGTTTCTAGAAGATTTCTTGCCACATTCCAGAGCTCATGCACACTCTATCAGCAGATAGTCACAGCAAAAGTTGCACCCAGGAGAGCATTATTTACAAGTTTATTCAGCGTTGATCAGAACACAGAAAAACATGACCGACTGCTTTAGTGTCTGCGCCACCAGAGGAGAAAACGAAAGCAACAGAAAACATAAACATCCTGTGAACAGGAAATACGCAGACTCTGACTCACAAAGCCTGCTCCCTTTTAAGGTGGAACGGAAATATCCTAACACATCTCACAGATGTTTCCAAAAGAGTTAAGCAATTGCATTCTTTCCCTCTGGAGCTGATGCCAAGTGAAAGTTTTTTCAACTGTTTGGGAGGCAGGGATGGAAAGCAAGAGTGCTGTTGTTGCCAATTTAGGGGGATCTAGAGGGAATTCCCCACTGAAGCCAACAAAATCCACTGTTTGGCTTTGCTCAAGGCCAGGATGCAAACATTTTTTCATGTGCCAAATGTCCAAAAACCTCCAAGCGACGGAGGGTGAAATCTAAAGCAAACTCTTCCACGAGAGTCTCAGGGAAAGAACTTTGCTTTCATATCCTGCATTTCATATCCTCAGAGTGACCTATATTAACTCACTGTCCAAATACAAACCACCACAGGCATTGGCGAGGGGGCAGGATAACTCCCTCAAGGCACGCACGCACACACACACACATAGAGCACGCCCAAAAAGGATATCATAGCCGAAACGGATCACATCGTTCAGTCTTAGCGTGATGTACTTCTGGTCTGGAATCCGCACATCATTCACAAAAGTCTGTGGAGAAGAAGGGCAAAACGTCATTTAAAAGACTGTTGTTGTTGTTGTTGTTGTTGTTGTTGTTGTTGTTAAAATTTGTATGCCACCCTGCATCACAGGGCAGTTCACAACAGAAAAATACAAAATGAGAATACAAAATAAATAAAACAAAACCAGTAACAAACCAATAACCTCCCTCCCACAAACGTACCATTTGTGGGCCTGAATATAAATCTCACTTCCCCCCCTCCCCCAAATTCCAACAATGAAAAGTTAAAAGTGCGGCTTAAATTCATGACCTTACAAAAAATGGCTTTTATGATATTGCTGCTGAAACAGACCTACGGTAAAACGAAACGGGTGTGAGTGCCTGCAGAATTTTAAGGGAGTGTCTTATATTCAGGTGCGGCTTATATCCGGGCCAATACGGTATTTAAAAATCCATAGAATGCTAATGAGTTGAATGCGTGGGGGCAGACAAACGTTTTCACCTAGCATCTAAATATATGCAAGGAAGGTGCCAGGCAAGCCTCTTTGGAGAGATCATTCCACAAACGGGGGGCCACTGCATGAAAAAGCCCTTTCTCATGTTGCCAACCTCCAGACCTCTCAGATGATGATTGCAGGGTTTGGATCGGTTCAATTGCGGAGAGGCGGTCCTTGGGGTATTGCCGTCCTGAGCCATTTAAGACTTTATAGGTCAACAGCAGCCTTTTGGATTGGGCCTGGAAATTAACTGGCAGCCAACAAGGCATCCTTCAGATGTTATGGACTACAAATCCCATCATCCCTGACCACTGGCTGTGCTGACTGGAACTGAACAATACCTGGTTAACCGAACACCACACTGACTAACCCTGCCCAGGCAATGCAACAAACACCCTTTACTGCGATTGCTGCAATGACACACACACACACACACACACACACACACACTTTATCCGCCTTGAGAAAGATTCAGAGAGATGCAATTGGTTTTTGCCGTATTTCTTGAACGATCCATGTGCGGAGAGGCTTTCGGACTATTCACCCAAGCAGAGTACGAATTCTACACATCTGCAGGCAGCCCACGGAATCTCAAAGTGGTTTCGCCTTCCTTGACATCACAGCAAGGAAGAGACTCTGAAATTTGATAAGCGGGCGATACTAGAGAGCAGCCGCCGTCTAGTAAATGTGTTTGCTCTGAACTTTAGAGCAGAGTGTTCTCAGACGTTGGCCTGGTGAGCTTTCATAAGTCAAGACCTTGGGCTTTTGAAATAAAACCTATTTGAGGCCCCACGAAGATAACAACGACAAAGCAGCTAACACAGACAGTTCAGCTGGGAAGAGCTATGTTCGTTCTAAGCCCAAAGGTGGGCAGCACAGGAAAATGGGGAAAGGCCATAAGATCTGTAACAATAACAATAATAATAATTTATTATTTTTACCCTGCCCATCTGGCTGAGTTGCCCCAGCCACTCTGGGCGGCTCCCAATCAAACATTAAAAACAGTACAGCATTAAATATTAAAAACTTCCCTAAACAGGTCTGCTTTCAGATGTCTTTTACAGATAGGATAGCTGTTTATTTCCTTCACAACTGAAGGGAGGGTGTTCCACAGGGCGGGTGCCACTACCGAGAAGGTCCTCTGTCTGGTTCCCTGTAACCTCACTTCTCGCAGCGAGGGAACCGCAAGAAGGCCCTCGGAGCTGGATCTCAGTGTCTGGGCAGAATGATGGGAGTGGAGACGCTCCTTCAGGTATACAGGACCGAGACCGTTTAGGGCTTTAAAGGTGCTGTATACATGTAATAGAGCATAGCTCAGTCAGTAGAGCATGAGACTCTTTAATCTCAGGGTCAGGGGTTCAAGCCTCACGTTGGGTGATAGATTCCTGCATTGCAGGGGGTTGCACTAGATGATCCTACAATTCTATGATTCTACCTGCACTGCGTACAGATGGTTTCAGGTTCAATCCCAGCCATCTCCAGGTAGTGACTGGAGAGCAGCTGCCAGCTAGGTCTATAAGGCAGGTTGCTATGTTCCTAAAATGACAAGAGTACAACAATCCAGGCAGCACTGCAAGCATCTTGAGATCTTGATATCTAGGAGCCAAGGATGTCAGGCTGGCCAATGACTTCCCTGCCATTAAAAGAGGAGGGTCCCTTTGCAACTGTAGCCCCATCCAATGAGGTGCCCTCAAGCCATCTGCTAGGAGAGTTTAGGGAAGGAAAGGTCAACCTGCAGGGAGGGAAGCCGTCTCTTGGTGGAACAGGCTGTGTTCCACTCCAGGGTATTCAAGGTGGAAAGCTCACTGTGCAAATTCAGCCATCGGCACTGGTCTAACCGTGGTCCTTGCCTGCTGTGTAGACCAGAATGAAACCACACAGACTGCATTCTGGGGACCAGACACGCAGCTCTGTTTTGTATCCTCGACATAGCCCTTTCCAATTAGGCCAGCCAAATGGATCTGCCGCTAGCCAAGGCCAACTAATTGGAGCAAACCTGGCAACTGCCCAGGGTGCCAAATTCCCAGAAGTACCTAAGCTCCGTTGTGCAAATGTCTTGTAGAGAGAAAGTTATGGCCTGTACTTCTGAAGGACAAGCACAGAGGAAGCTGGGCAGTTCCTTGGCTGGATAAGATCCTTCTCCTCCTCCTCTGCTTTGCATAGCTTGTAAAAGCTCGCAGAATTCAGATTTCTTTCCCTTGCCATTTTCACGCCGCGGCAGCTTGTGGCTGCTGGATTAGTTGGGGGTGCAAAGAGGGCACAGAGACAGGTCTGAGTTGCTCTGCTTTTGTCTCCCATGCCAAGGGCCAGAAAGAGAAGCCTAGGCAGCCACATTTGACCCCTGAGGTTTTTCACCCAAGGCACTACTGGAGGTCTGCTGCAAAGACAGCTTCCGAGCCCCTGCCCTGAACCTAAACTACAAAGCCACTCTGCTCAGTCAAGGGTGTGCACGTGCAAAGAAACAAATGCCTTCTCTCCACCCTTAAAATGCAAATACGTCGCAAACATGTGCTGGCACGCTGAAAAAGCCAAGCCACGTACAGCTGCACTTGGATTTGGAAATCCAGAGCACAAGCAATATTTTGCAGATGGGACTCGCACAGCAAACAGAGACAGGAAATTATGTGCCGCCGTATGTTGCCACAGCGACAGCACAGATGTAAAACAGTGGGGCTTGCACAAGGTTAAGAAGGGGGTTTGGGGAGCCAAAAGAGAGAGCTCTGTGCAGCAGGACATATCTGAAAACATTTAAAATCATTTCACTATGTGCCTTGTGCAAGGTACATCTTTTATGCAAGCTAAGGCCTGTTGCAGACATCAATAACTCTGCTGGGTGGGTCTCTTACCTACAGCTAGGAGATCTCATGGGCTCAAACACTCTGTCCTGCTTCCTTCCTCTCTTTCTACTTTCTACCACATCCCCTTTCATTCTTGAAGCTAACCATGGTGCAGCGTGGTTTTGCTATAACCACGGTTGTGCTCCCAATCTCAATTTGAAACAATGCTTCAGAAGTGGATTTCAGCTTTAGAAGTGTTAGGCCAGGGTTTCCCAAACTCGGGGCTCCAGCTGCTTTTGGACTACAACTCCCATCATTCCTGACCGCAGGTCCTGCCAGCTAGGGATGATGGGAGTTGTAGTCCAAAAAAAAAAAGCTGGAGACCCAAGATAAAGAGCTGTCATATTCATCTAGCCTCAGCAACAAGGTCTACCCCAGGGATGGGGAACTTCTAGCCTTCCAGATGTTGTTGGACCCCAACCAATTATGGGAGATGGTGTTGATGTCCAGATCTGTACATGCAGTAGAATACAGGGGCAGAGTAGCTGGGAGATTGTCAGCCTGGGAGATAGTCATGCATGAGTCAGTGGTTCTGCATGTATCTCTCTGTATATGAAATACTTGTATTTCCAGTACACAATCACATTGACTGAGAGTTCCTCTTCCTTACAGGATCTATAAAGTCACATTCCTTCTCAGCAAGAAGCTCAGCCCTCAGTTCTTTCATTTCATGCCATTGAAAACTTTTCAAAGCTCATTTCTCCGAAAAGCTTTTTTTAAAAAAAAAAAAGTGTTTATTTAGTTTTCAAAAGTTTATATACTTTACCACCAACAATACCTCTGATTTATCCATGGTTTCTCTGAAAAGTTGTCTTCCTTTATTTCAGAGGTCAGGTCTTATTTCTTTAGCAATAAAAACTTCCAAATGTTTTCTGATGGAATTACTCCCTTTCTAACAGCCCAACAGTTTTTTTAAAATGCTGCTGTTTATTTTATTGCAGGCAAACTCCGGCCCTCCAGATCTTTGGGACTACAATTCCCATCATCCCTGACCACTGGTCCTGTTAGCTAGGGATGATGGGAATTGTGGTCCCAAACATCTGGAGGGCCGGAGTTTGCCTATGCCTGTTTTATTGCTTACCAGCAGGCACAGATGCTCCATAGAAAACTATGCACATAGAGAGGAATAAGCAGTATTCAACAAACCTATTTTGCTACTATTAGGGCTTGTGCAATGGCATCTGCTCCAGAGGGTTGTGAGTAAACCTAGGACATATTTAGGCTGCATACAAGGGGAACAGAGGGAGGGAACCGCATCACATAAGGAGAAATCCTTGTGCCAGCAGAACATTCACCTTAGCAGCACATTGAATGCAACCCAAAACTTTCTACTAAAATTACAAATGAAGCTGCCGGTAAGGCCAAGTACCTTAATACAAGGCGAGCCGTAATACAGATAGATAGAATTTAATTTGGACAACAGAAATATCTGAAATACATCAATTGGGAACATAAGAAGAAGAGCTCTGCTGGATCAGTTGAAGGGCAGTATCCTGTTTTCACTGAAGTCAACCAGATGCCTATAAGAACCCTGAATGCAGATGGTCCTTGGACCTGATCCAGCAAGTTCTTCTTAAGTTCTACAGCAGAAGACGCAACTCGGAAGTCTTGTTTCAATCCATGAGAAAGCAGAACAACCCTTGCCAGCATTGCTACTAGTCAAAATGTGTTTCAGGCCTTTGCGGACCTTCCATAACAGGAGGAGGAAGAGGAGAAAAACTGAACGTCTGGCAGATCTAGCCAAACACTATGAAGCATCTATGGAGGTACAGCTGGGGCTGGCCTATCCATTATACCCAGGGGTTCCACCAAAATAGGCTCACTGTCCTTCCATAATTAGCACCAACCCTACTGACTTCGAGTTGAGATGCTTCAATCGCCATCAGCACATAGGTCTCTGGAGCGCTCCCAGCAAAGAAAATGGAAACACGCAGCCAAACACCAACAGGAATGAAGCCATGCCATCCAGCAGCCGACTTCCTTACTTACCCCATTTAAGCTTCCCAAATCCTTCACCCAGTGCTCATCTTTCTCCTTGTCGTAGTTGATGACGGCATGTTGCTTATCCACACTGCGAGACTGGGGGAAGGAAGGCAGAGTTTTGTTTTAATAATATTTAATTTTATTTTTTTACCAACAACCAAAACACAAACAGTGAACCCCCCCCCAGGTGTCTGATACACTGGGTATACATAATCAATAATAACGTATTCAAATCAACCATATGTACAATTCTATATACCTTTAACACTCCTCCCTCCACAAGGTTTTTTTTAACTTTTAACATTTTAATTGCCCCAAATTGTTCAAACCTACCCAAATAATTCAATATCTTCTCAAACCAATCCTCCTCCTTCTCACTGACCTTAAACCCTTTCATTTTATGTATCTTCACAGTTAGATATTCTAAGATTATAATATTTTTCAATTTTTTCCTCCATAGGTTCACCCCTAGCGGAAGGGGGTACATCATCAATTGCATATCATTTTCAGACTGGAAAAGAACAGCAGCAAATGCCAATCGTATTCGCTGAATCCATTCTGGACAAAGGGCAAATAAGAGAGCACAGGTAATTTCTGCTCCCATTGACAACATCCCTAGTCCAGAGTTTTAACACCTCATCTGCATCTGTCTAAGAACAAGGCTACATCAAAACAAAACAAATGTCAAAAAGCAGAGCCATGTTACTTAATTGTGTGTTTTAGGGGGACTTCACACTTCACAGCACATAGCAGCCCCCCGGTGCACACAAAGGACTTTGTATAAATTCCTAACATGAGAACTTGCAGCTTCTAATTTGCACAGGGTAAACATTGACACAGTCTGCGCCCTGCCGACCCTCTCTAAATAAATGGACAGAAACAGGAAGTTAGTCAAAGCCGCTATGCATGTTTTCTTCTAATAGGGCACTCCTTGAATGTGCAATTAAAGCTTCGCAGATGCTGAGCAGGTGTTTCTATTTCTCTGCCACAACCCAGAAGCAGGACCAAGGCCCCAGCACCATCACCACTCAGCAAACTGACAGGATGGGGAAAAACGGATGCAAGGAAGGTTTGTTAGGAATGCAAAAGCCCTGAATACAGGAACATAAGAGCCTGCTGGATCAGGCCAATGGCCCATCTGGTCTGCCAGGATCCTGTTCTCACAACAGCCAAGCAGGTGCCTGTGAAAAGCCTGCAAGGTAGACATTAACACAACCGCACTCTCCCCACTTGCGATTCCCAGAAACTGGTATTCGGAGCCACAATGCCTCCGACAGTGGAGATAGCCAAAGGAACAGAAGTTGTTAAGTGATGGAGAGCTCCTTTCCATAAACATTATGGGACACTGTCTGCCCTCTAGCCTAGCTATCTGTCTCATCCAGCATGCTGCTACAGTGGCATGGGAAGCACAGGTTTAGCTGCCAACTGTGTCCCTCCAGGCCCCTATTTGGCCAGCGTTAGAAATTAGCTAGGTGCCAGGCGCGTTTTTGCGGCAGGCACAGGTCCAATTGCGACCAAGTGGAGATCTCTGGATGCCAGGCTGGCAACTGGGGAAAGCAAAATGTCACGTAGAGGAGGATCTGAATTATTTTCCTTGAAGTTTGAATTTGTTTTATTCTGGACTGTTCTATTTGATGTTTTAATGTGTTGTCAACCACATTGACAGTGGTTTTTGACCAGTGTGCCGTGCCACCCTGGGGTGCCTTGAATGATGGTCAGGGATGCTGTGGGCAACCCTGGCCTCTGTCCCTCTTTCCTTCCCTCCCTCCTCTGATGCCCTCTCGCATCTCTGCCGCCCAAAGGCTTGTACAGCTGTTTGTTGCAGCAGCCCTGGCTACAAGTTCCCCAGGCGAATGGTGCATGTGGGGCTGGCTGGGGGATGCTTCCCAGGCCCCTGTGGGGCAGGAAGTGGAGGCACCTCTCTTTGGGGGAAGGAGGGTGCAGCTCAGAGACCAGGGGCAACAGCCGCTGCTGCTGCCCAGAGGACTCCCAAGGGAGGGTGTTCGAAAAGGGGTGAAGAGCTACCAGCCCTGCAGGCAAGGGGTAACCTATTTTGTTCAAGTTGGTGCCTATGGTGGTAGCAAACTCCACAGTTTAACTATGCACTGTGTGAAGAAGCCGTTCCTCACCTGTCCTGAACCTCCGCCACAACAAACAATACAAGCGACACGAAGACCAGTATACTAGATAGCGCTGCAATTCTTATTGCATGATATACATGATTTAGTACAACAAAAACACAATGTGTAAACTTGTAAATATCCTCATGACCACTGCTCCATGTGCATTTTTCTAATCTATGGTTTGTGCTGAAGAAGATTCCAGCGAAACAGTCAGATTATCCGGGATCACTGTCCTACGTTGTTATTCACTTCAGCACCATGAACGCCTTTAAAAAGTTTTACCGCTTAGCCCACAGGACAGCATCTATTATTTTGTTTCAACCATAGACTTATTATACTTCTACGGACTTTCAAAGATGGACAGACGTGTGTTCATTTATTTCAAATATATTAGAGAATTTACAAGTGTACACATTGTGTTCTTGTTGTACTAAATCATGTATATCATGCAATAAGAATTGCAGTGCTATCTAGTACAGTGGTACCTCGCAAGACGAATGCCTCGCAAGACAAAAAACTCGCAAGACGAAAGAGTTTTTCGTTTTTTGAGTTGCTTCGCAAGACGAATTTCCCTATGGGCTTGCTTTGCAAGACGAAAACGTCTTGCAAGTTTGTTTCCTTTTTCTTAAAACCCAGGGTGCATTGCTTGAAGAGGTGCAGTTGCGACTTGACTGTGCTTCGCAAGACGAAAAATTCGCAAGACGAAAACACTCGCAGAACGAATTAATTTCGTCTTGCGAGGCACCACTGTATACTGGTCTTCGTGTTAATTGTATTGCTTGTTGCGTCAAGTTTGCAACACAGGGGCTTGTTGTTCTGAACCTCCTGCCATTCAGTTTCACCGGACGGCTGCGAGCTGTAGAATTACGAGAGAGGGAGAGGAACGCCCCTCTGTCCTCTTTCTCTACATACATTTTACACCCTTCTGTAATTGTCGTGAGTTATCTTCACCATCAAAAGAAAGCTACTATCAGCTGAAAAAACTACACCTTGAAGGCAGAAAGTGTGCATTATGGACAGTGGGTGTCAAAACCCTACATGTTTCCCGAAGGAGAAGCTGAGGGGAATGTGCCGACATGAATGAATATGATTTTACACTGACTCGTAGCCTTGGTTTCTTGTGCAATGCATAGAAACGGAAGGAGCTGCCTTAGACCAGGAAATACTATTTGTCCCTCCAGGCCAGGATCCCTCAGTATTGAGTCCTGGTTCTCAAAGGTCACAGGGAGATGTCTTTCACATGCTCCACGGTCTTTCAACTGGGGACTTACTTCTGAGTAGGCCTGGTTAGGACTGTGCTGTAAGAGCACTAACACTTGACAAAATATATAAAACCAAATACAAAGCTATCATTTCAAGCCAGCTGGCGCTTCTCAAGAAGGCGCTGCAGTCATTTAGAAATGGATGTGGCATTTGATGAATTGCATCCCCTCCAAATCTACTGCTTAAGGGGTAAGTTATCTATATTTCATTGGGCAATTAATTGCATGGTATGTGCTATTCCAAACATAAACAAGGAAGCAAAGCAAGGAGGTGGATGTAGCGTCTCCAATTGCTGCAACCTGCCTTGAGACTTGAGAGCGAGAATGACAGGTAATAATTTGAAATAAATAATTTTTTTTACGTACAATGGCACAGGTCATTTTTCTGGATGAAAAAAATACAGAAACAGGTATTTCTCAATGAATGCTCAAAAAAATATGAATGCTCAAAAAAATATGCATATATGCAGACATATTTCTTATCAGTCAACAGGTTGCGCACTGCAAGAAGCCCAACTTATATCACTCCTTTTCCCCCTTTGTGCCGTCAATCATGGCTCACGGATAGGATAAGGGCTTTGGGGGCAATTTTATTAATTTATTCATTTCATGCCATGTCATGTCATTTCTATCCCATCTTTTACTCCAAGGAGTTCAAGGTGGTTCACACGGTTCCCCTTCCACCTCCTCATTTAATCCTCCACAACAACCCTGAGAGGTTGGTTAGGCTGAGAGGCAGTGACTGCCCCAAGGTCACTCAGCGCGCACCATGGCCGAGGGACGCGGGTGGCGTTGTGGGTTAAACTACAGAGCCTAGGACTTGCCGATCAGAAGGTCGGCGGTTCGAATCCCCGTGATGGGGTGAGCTTCCGTTGCTCGGTCCCTGCTCCTGCCAACCTAGCAGTTTGAAAGCACCTCAAAGTGCAAGTAGATAAATAGGTACCGCTCTGGCAGGAAGGTAAATGGCGTTTCCGTGCGCTGCTCTGGTTCGCCAGAAGCGGCTTAGTCATCATACTGGCCACATGACCCAGAAGCTGTACGCCGGCTCCCTCAGCCAGTAAAGCAAGATGAGCGCCGCAACCCCAAAGTCGGTCATGACTGGACCTAATGGTCAAGGGTCCCTTTACCTTTACCTTCCAGTCCGACACCCTAACCAATGATCTTGGGATGCTCCACACCTGTCAGCTGCAGCATAGGTGGCATCAAAGCATCCTAGTGCATTTGGGTAATTTTAATCTTTGGAATCTTTTAATCTTTAATCTCCGGGGGAAGAGCTTCTGCTTAGCATTCTATGCAAAAGGTGCCAGGTTCAGTTTCGCCAGGTAGGGCTGGGAAATAGTCCTTGCCTGGAACTCTGGAGAGCCACTGCCAGTCAGTGCAGACAACACTAACCTAGATGGACAAAGTATGAGGACACAGTATAAAGTCCTTACCCAAATACATCAAAATATTCCTATCCTGCCTTTGGAACAACAGCAAAATCTCCAAGGCACCTCGCCAATTTCAAAATCCGAATAGCCATTAAAACAAATTTGCAAAATGAAAACACAAAAACAGACGCAGGACATAAAACAACCCATTTGTTAAGCGGCTTCTAACATGCATCTAACCTTCAATTCCTCTTGTAGCATACAAACTTTACACACACACACATTTTGGCCGTCATTATACTCTTGTTAACTGGATCCCTAATAAATGAAAGACATGCAGCTCCACTCCTGTGCAGTTCCATTGGTTTCAATGAGGCTTACTCCCTAGTAAGCCTGTTTAGGGTTGCCGCCTACTGCACCTACAGACAATTTGAGGGAGACCTGCCTATCCCCTCCACAGAACTTCTGGCACCCATGACTTGATCTTTTGGCGCAAGCACACAAGCCCGGAACACGGAGTGGACATGTGCGATCTCTGCAAGTCTGGGAGCATTTCCAGATCAAAATACAACACTCAAAGCAGACACCCCACTGCATTTCTGGCACACAAAGAGTGGCAGAATTCAGCCTGCAACAGGCGCTAAGCACCTAACTTAACTCCCCTCCCCCAGGAAAGGAGTAGATGCATGCTCAGTTTTCCTCTAAATATTCTAATCACAACCTGAAATTCAGCAATACATGCTTCTTAATCCTCACAAATATTTTAAGTATTTCCAAGCCGTAAAGTAGGCACAGAAGGTTTCCTGAAAGATTAAGCTTTTTTCCCCCAACAGCAAAATTTATTTAAATACCCAAGCTTCAAGACTACCACTTTCTCCAGGCTCCATATTTCCCCCAGCGACCTATCATGGGTGAAATCAAAGCAAACAAGGGTTAGGTACAGAATGTGTGCGGAAGAATGATGCTGAGCACCCACTTGCAAATACTTTTTTTTTTTAAGCTACACATGCAAGTTCGGATGCTTGCTTGGATGAATGGAACAGTTATAAAGATGAATGAAGAAGTGCTGAATCAACTGAATGGTGTTAATCCATTCATTCTTATACTGTCCCGTCTTCCAAAGGAGCTCATCAAAGGCCCTTCTTCAACACACACAGAGAATTTATCCTAACAAACCTATGGGGTAGATTAGGCTGAATGACAGCAAGCAGCCCAACATCACATAATAAGCTGAGCATCTGAGAGGGGATTTGAACTTGGCTGCCCCCATTCGAAGTGCAACACTCAAACCACCACATCACGCCAGAAATCACAATTTCTGTACTCTTTCACTGCTGATTCACACAAGGTTTCCCTCAAGGTTTTCTTTCTAGCAGTTTTGATCACTGGGAAAATACATTAGTTGGTGATATATTGTGAAGCTGAAAACCAGCTATCGCCCAGCCCCAGTCCTGCTGCACAAAAATCCATGTCTGGCTACACTCTCTGCCTTTCACGCACCTTCCTTTATTTTGAGCTTCCTATATAGGCACCTGGTTGGCCACGCAAGAATTGGATGATATGCCATCGGCCTGATCTAGTTGGTTCTTCCTGGTGCTCAGCATAATTTATCCTAATTTATTATTTATTGTATTTATGAATCTCACCCTTCCTCCAACAGAGCCCAGGGGCAGGGTGTGAAAAAAGATAAAGAACCAGTGATTTAAACAAATACAGAACTGAAATATTCATAAGAAGAACCTTCGCTTGCGGGGGGGGGGGGGGCGTGTATTTTGCTACCACTGTAGAACCATCAAGTCACAAATCCTTGTCGATCTACTTCCGGTTGCCCAGAGATCTACCCATAAATCCTAATCTACCTTTCGCTAATCTAACTCATGAGTTTTACTAAGGTGCCTCAGGCAGATTCCTAGTCAATCAGTCTTACTATTTATCCCCTGCTGAAATATGGGGATAATGTTTAATTATTTATATTGTAAGAAAATTTATAAACCTCCAGCTCTCGCTCGCTCTCTCACTCTCTCTCTCTCTCACTCACACACACATACATACATGTATATGTATGTATGTATATATGTATATATTGTGGTGCTATACAAAACAACCATCAAAATAAGAAAGTTAAATAAAATTTTAAAAATACAGAGCAAACAACCACTCCTGGATCAATTCTGTAAAAACTCTCAAAGAAATGAAAAGAAAGAAAAAAACATTTTCAGCAGGTGATAAAATACCAGGATTGTAGGTGCCAAGCTAATTCCAACAGGAACAAATCGCTGGTGTCACCATGCTAAAAGTTTTTGTCCGTATAGAAATAGAGCAACTACGAATACCACCAAATTTTGAGCACTCAGATACGCTCTGTACATAGACCCATAGCATTTTCAGTTTGGGGGCACATGCTAAGTTCTACTATTGCATTTGGAGTCTCAAGAAAAATCCGTATTTGAAGCACTCACACTACTTCAACAGTAAAGTCAGGACCCTTAGCAAACTAAAGTTCCCAAGGTCTCCAGAACTGTTAAAAAGTGTGTACTACAAGTGTTCTAAATGTATGAGGGGGGGTTGTGTGTCCTTGCTCTTTTTCAGAGATAAAACCCAAGTTGTGCTAATTATGAGAACGAAGGCATAATCACTTACCTGGAGCATCAGCTCACAGTCTTCTCTGCCAACAAATATCATCTCCCGAGGGAGCCGGTGGCGAATGCCTGCACTGCTCACCAGAAACCATGACGTCACACTCATTTTGGTGTTTGGCACTTCAACTTTTCACCATCCTAGATGAGAGAGAGAAAAAAAAGTTCCAGGAAAAAAATGTGGACCAACAAAGGCAAACAAACCATGTCAAGTGTTAGGAGCACAAAAAGCATGACCACTAATTCCTTTACCACAGCATATGAGAGCAGATTTCAAGATCTACTTTGCTTTTTACTAATACGCAAATATCTATCAACTGGAGTCAGGAGCTAACAGCATGCATTTAGGATTAAAGCATCCTGAGCCCAGGAATTTGTTCTGGGTACCAAAACTGAACCGAGCTCACAGTCACAAAAACCCGCTCCTGGTTAGATATTTTGATATTGCCATTGTTAAATGACTGGGAGCCAGAATTCCCTGCGGATCTACTTCAAAATCACCCAGAGATGCACCAACAGTACAGATCCTAATGCATCCTTTGCCCACCTCTGGTCCCCCAGGTGCAGGTGTGCAGAAATTTGGAGCTGCAGTTCGGCAACATTTGGAGATCCAGATATTCCCCAGCCCCATTCTTTGCTGACCAAGACCAGTTCTCCAAGGTTTCAGACCAGGGAGTTTCCCAACCTGGAAATGCTCGAGAAGGAACATGGGACTTTCTGTGGGCAAAGCAAATGTTCTACCACTGAGCCAGGGAGCCTCCCAACTCTGGTAGTTCACAGAGTTATTATAAAAGGGAAATGGAGAAAATATCCACCCAAAGCCAACCAGGAAGACAAACAAAGGTTTGCTGAATTTACAAACCACTTCCCACAACAAAAAGTCCTGAAAAGCATGACTTTTTACAGCAAGAATAAAAAGCCTATTAAAAACACAGAACAAAAAGATCCACCCACTGGTGATGTCCAATTGCCGAGGAAAACAAAAAGAGACTTTGCCTGGCACTGAAACATGGCAAAGTTGGCACCAGGAGGGCCTCTCCTAGGAGAGTATCAGTGGTGGGCAGAAATGGCCCCTTCTTTCATCACCATCCTCAGAGGTGACACATGAAAAAGGGCTTCCGATGACAATCTCAAAGCCCAGGAAGTTCAGTATGAGCCAAAGCCCACCAGACATCAAGCCTGGAATCATGCTTAAAAGCCCTTGAGCTTGGGTCTTGAACACCTTATAGCAGTAGTTTTCAACCAGTGTGCCTTGAATGATGGTCAGGGGTGCCACGGGCAACACGGGCCTCTGTCCCTCTTTCCTTCCCTCCCTCCTCTGATGCCCCCTCGCATCTCTGCCTCCCAAAGGCTTGCACAGCTGTTTGTTGCATCAGCCCTGGCTACAAGCTCCGCAGGCGAAAGGTGCCTTCCCAGGCCCCTGTGGGGAAATTTGAGGAGGCACCTCTCTTTGGGGCAGCGGGAGCAGCTCAGAGACCAGGGGCGGCAGCTGCGGCTGCCCAGAGGACTCCCAAGGAGAAGAGAGGAGGCCGAGGGAACACTCCCCAAGGCAGGGTGTTCGAAAAGGGGCAAAGGGCTGCTGACTCCCCAGGCAAGGAACGACATAACTGGGCTCCTGAGCCCTGCGGGGGTACCACAGAAAAAATGTAGTTAGTCAAGGGAGCCATGGACTCAAAAAGGTTGAAAACCTCTGCCTTATAGACTTTTTTAAAAGCAGCCTTTCTCTTGGCCACGCTGAACTTTCAGTGCTAGGAGGATTTACATGCACAAAGCATTCAAGAAGCTGAACACAAAAGGAGAAAGGAGGCAAGGAAAACACAGAATGCTCACAGAATTCCGTGCACAACATCCACACACGGAAACAGGCAGAGCAGGTCATACGGAACAAGCCAGTCTATGTCTCTGGGATAGATTAGAGTTGAGTGCCTTCCTTCCTGGTTACCACCTGCGCCTCACCTGGAAGGCCCACTTGATGCTCTAGGGAAAACCAAAGTACAGAGAGGCATTTCAAGTTTTGACCTATAACCTGATCCTACACCTTTAACCGCAGACTAACACACAGGAATTCAGCACTCTTCCCACTCCTTATCTCCACACCTGTGGTTAGAGCAAGGATGGAGCACCTGTGATCTCCAGGTGCTGTTGTTGGGCTGCAAGTCCTACGAGCCCCAGCCAGCACAGCCAACAGGTAGGGGTAATGGGAGCTGTAGTCTGATCTCTGGAGGGCCAACCCATCTCATTCTCGGTGAAGACTGTTGGACTGACTGGAGGGAGCTGGGCTCAAACCCCCACTCAGTCATAGAGCTCATTAGGTGACCTGGAGTTGTCACTAGCTCTTAGCCTAGTGCCGTGGCTCAGTGGCTGAGCATCTGCTTTGCATCCAGAAGGTTGAAGGTTCAATCCCTGGCATCTCCAGGTAGGAATGGTCTCAGTCTGAAACCCCAGAGAGCTGGTGACAGTGTGGGACCAGTGTGGACCAGTGTTCTGACTCACTATAAATCAGCTTCCAATGTTCTGGCTTATAAATGATGGCTCAGCTGGTAGAGCATGAGACTCCTCTTAATCTCCATGTTGGGCAAAAGATTCCTGCGTTGCAGAGGGTTGGACTAGATGATCCTCATGGTCCCTTCAGATTCTATGACTGGGGGAAGAGAGACCCTGTCTGCTGTCCTGAGCAACTTGGGGTGCAGAGTTCAAGGCTTAAAATAAACCCCATTTGTTTATTTCAAAGCACTTATAAACTGCGGAATATTCAAAACCTCTAAGTACGCACAAAAATCCAAACATACGAAAGCAATTTCTAAAGTGTCATAAAAACAGAGATGAAAGACAGACACCTGGTCCAATCTTATGGGTCAGGGAAAAGCAAATATATATTTTACGTGCAAGATGTCCAAAGCAATTGACGGGTGATGCTTATTTTAAAAGGTAATAAATAGATGTTTCTGTGTGTTAGGCTGCTGTGAAAGTGGGGGGGCGGGGAAATAAGTGTCAAGCCTATTATGTTCCAACTTCCTAGTTTTTATAAATCCCCCCTGTAAGAGGTGGGGCAGGAAATTTAACATATCAAGGGAAAAGGCTGCCTCACCACTGAGCTGATAGAGGAAGGAAGGTTCTCCTGCATGGAAGATTTCACTTGTAAATTTGCTCCCTTTGCGCCTCACTTAATTCAAAGCAGCTCCCCTCCCATGCCTCCATCTGCATACCATGCAATGCTCAATGACTGAAGTGAGTACACTTTTGAATAAGTACTCTTGTTCGTAGGCTATCCAGCTATTGCTGTCTTAAGGTGCTGGATCTATCTGCTAACGTCCCTTCCTGTTAGGTGGATTCGCAAGACACTACGAATCAAGGGCTGAAGTGAACTAAATTATTGCACCTGCAGAACAGGACTTTCACACCCCACACTGTTGCAAAATCACAGGTAACCACCAGAGCAAATTTATGGGGCACACAGGGGAGAGAGAGAGAGAGAGAAGGGGGCCATCCTGTTGCACAAGGACAAATGCTTGCACTGATGCAAGGTTAGCCTTAGCACTACATTTTCATAGAAATGTAGAGTTGGAAGGGACACCTAGCCCAATCCCCTGCAATGCTGGATTTTTCATGCAACTGTAAGTGCTTTGAACATTCACAAAGCACTATGCGAAAGCTAAGTATGAACCTCAGAAGCTGCCTTATGCCACTGGCCCATCTAACTCACTGCCTAAATTGACTGGCAGGATCTCTCCTAGCCTCACCTGAGGATGCCAGGGATGGGTCCTGGGTCCTTCTGCATGCCAATCAGATGCACTGCCCCTGAGCTATATAGCCCTTTCACGGGAAACTGCTGAAACCCAGGCCTCACACTTTCCTCCTTTTGACGCTGCATTTTCCCACTCCCTCTTCCAGTGCATGCTAGGAGCTGCAGGGGCATGTTGGCATCTGTTGCTAGGAGGAAGGGAATAAACACTCTGGGCAAGAGCCCCCATTGGCCCACAAAAGCAGACACAAGTCAGAGCAGCGACTGAAGCCTGCAACTCTATTCTCTCTCCCCCCCCCCCCAACGTTTTTCATTTTTCTTTTGCTCGGAGGCTGTAGCTTTAATCAGCTCGCCCTAACCCTAAGCAGCAGATTCTGCCACAACTAATGCTTATTATGGACATTTTGCCAGCAGGAGGGGAAGATTTAAAGGAAAACACACAAGCCAGGCCCACAGATCGAGCCCACCATAAGCCCCCTGATTGCTTTTTTCGTTTTCTTTTCGTTGCAGGTTTTAAAAAAAGAAGAGGAGAAATGAGGAGGAGGAGGAGGAAGGGGTGAGAAGAGGAAAGGGGTTACTAAATGAAGCGCGTGATTGGGGAAAAAGCATTACAAGAGAAGGAGAACGAGAGAAGCCAGCACACATAACAAGCAAGAGGGAGAAAAACCAGCTCCAAAAGATGGTTAGCATTTGGGTTGCCTGGTGCTACCAGATGCCAGTTCAACTGGCTGAGCCAGGCGATTCCTCCCAGATCTTGCCACCATTACAAAGCGACTGCCAGCAGCTATCCACACCCAAGGAAAGGATTGCGGGGGGGGGGGGGGATCCGAAGCTTCGCCACCAGCCCTACCCAAGGTGCAACAATAAAGCCGCCAGCCAGCCAGCCAGCCGGATAAATCTGTCTCTCTTTCGAGGGGTGGGGGAGCATTCAAACCTCCAGGGGGGTGTGGATAGATAAGTCGACTGGAGGGACCCTTCGTCTCTTTGTTTAGGAAGAAGTCTGGGGCTGCAGCAGGAATCCAAGCTGGCGAGCGGTGTGAATCCCTGGGAAGGGGGGGTGGTATTATTTTGGTAGGACGCTAGCAGGGAGCAGCAGAATCCGGGAGGAGGAAGAGGAAACCTCCAGCTCTATTGATCCCTCGCCGCCAGTCCCTACCCAAAGTGGCCTTCTGCTCTTTTATATACCTCTCTCGTCATTGAGAGATAAAGGGAACCTCCTACCTGCCACGCTGGATGCACTGACATTTCCCTCCCCCCCCAAGGCTCCGGGGACCTCATTTGGGAGAGGACTTGGCCCCAATCCACCCACAAGCTCCTCGCTTGGCCTCCCCTTCCCTTACCTGGGCTGGGCTCTGTACTTGCTGCACCAGCGGCCATCTCTCAATGACACCTCCCCCATCTGAGATGCTCCCCCTCCTCTGTCCCCATAGATGCACCCGCTCCCATTCAAATTCTGGCCTCAGTAGCAGCAGCAAGCCCACCTCCTTTTGTGTCTGAGAAAGATGGGGAGGGAGGGCCTGGCCAAGCTCCACCAATTCTATACACCCCCTCAAAATAAGAATAAGAATAATAACAATCACCTTGCAAGAGGTCTGCTCTCTATCCCCACCTCCTCTCCCCAGCCCCGATCCTGCAGCAGAGGGAAGCGCGCCTTTCCCTCCTCCTCCTCCTCCTGTGCAGTCCCCGCATGCCCGGCTCTCCAACCCCGCAGACAGGCAGGCCCTTGACCCGGCCGGGCTAGCAAGGCGCATCGCAACGCGGCCAGGTGCTCCCTGCGCCTCCGGAGGCCGCAGGCCAAAGCCCAGCAGGCGCGATCAGCTGTTTCCTGTCTGCGCGCCGGCCTGCCCGCCTTCCCCGAGGGTGGGCTCCGCCTGCCCCGACCACCACCGCCACCCCTGACTCGGCGCAGCCTTACCCGGCGTGGCGGCCCCCGGCTCTCCGCCGTCCAGCGCTGCGCCAGGTGCGGGGCGCCCGATCCAAGCCCCAGGGCGCACCGTCAGCCTCCCCTAGCCTCTCCGGATCCGGCGCTGCTGGGCTTCTGCCATGGCCGCGCACCGAGGGATCGTCCTTTCTCTCGCCCCGGGGAGGAGGACACAAGGAGCGCCACCGCCGCCCGCGCTCACTTGCACAGCAGGTTCCAGACGTCAGGAGGCGGCTCTTCGCTTCCCTCGCCCTCCTCCTCTCTGTCTCCCTTCCCTCCACCCCTCCCGGTACTCCCAGCCCAGCCCTGCCCTTCCCTCTCGGGCTGCCTCCTCCGACAGCCAAGCCGCCAGGTTAGATCAGGTGACGCCGTCGAGGCTTCTCCGTGGCACAAGCGTCGTGCGCGCCCGTGCGGCCTCGGCGGCTTGGCGCGGGCGGCGGCGGCGGCTTCCCCGTCTCTCCCTCTCCCTCCCTCGGCTGGTGAGGAGTTTGGTTGCGACGGCAGGGCGGGCGGAGCGGAGCCGAGCGCCCCGGGGGCGGGCTCGGCGAGGAGGAGCAGCACGCGGCCGCCTTGCTTTTGCTTCTTTGAGCCCTAAGCGGCGAGACTGGAAGCTGGGGGGGAGAGGGGAGGGGAGGTGCCATTTCTTGCTTTCCAGGAGCGCCAACTTGAATAAAATATTATTCTGCCCCCCCCCCCACCCGCGCATAAGCAACCACATGTCACCGCACTCCCACACTATTTGAATGGCAATAGGCCTGGCCATTAACTTTGGGGGAGCCCAGCCCCTCAAATATTTTATTGGGTGGGGTGAGCGCGAAGGGACCTCAGCCCCTAGTCGTTGGCTCCTATCTATCTATCCATCTATCTATCAGGTGCAGGGGCTCTGGGTACCCACAAAATTCCCCATGAAGGGGCTGGGTACCCACGATCGTGGGGTCAAGTTGGCACTCTATCTATCTATCTATTATGAAAACCAGGATGCGACCCCCTTGGCTAGTCGCCAGAAAACTGGAGGATGATCCAGGTCAGTGAAAGGGTGTGCAGGAATAATCCAGCAGTTCATCTTAAGTTTTTTTTTGTTCCCCATACATGCATCAGTTGTGGTGGGTCACCATCATAAATAGGGCTGGTGTAGTTCTCACCTTTGAACACTGCTAAGCATTTTCTCTTGTCTTGGCCGAGTAAGGAAACCTTTCTACCTGTTAATAATTCTACACACCGCTTTGTGTTGCACTTGGTAAAGTAAAGGTAAAAGACCTCTGGACGGTTAAGTCCAGTCAAAGGTGACTTGCGGCGCTCTTCTTGCTTTTCAGGCCGAGGGAGCCAGTGTTTGTCCACAGACAGCTTTCCGAGTCATGTGGCCAGCATGCCTAAACCACTTCTGGCGCAACAGAACACCATGACGGAAGCCAGAGCACATGTTAATGCTGTTTACTTTCCCACCGCAGCGGTACCTATTCATCTACTTGCACTGGTGTGCTTTCAAACTGCTAAATTGGCAGAAGCTGGGACAGAGCAATGGGAGCTCACCCTGTCGCAGGGATTTGAACCGCCGACCTTCTGATCAGCAAGTCCAAGAGGCTTGGTGGTTTAGACCACAGCGCCACCCGCTCCCTACCGTTGCAGTTGGTATTGTGACCTAGAAAAAGTTGGTGCCAAAAGATCTATGGATCAGCTGGGGTGGTTAATCGTTCCTTAAAATGCATGCTTGGCATCCATCCACGTGGAATCATAGAGTTGGAAGGGACCCCAAGGGTCATCTAGTCCAGCCTTCAATGCAGGGATTTCAGCTAAAGCATCCATGACAGATGGCAATCCAACCTCTGCTTAGAAACCTCCAATAAAGTATAGTCCACCACCTACAGAGGGAGACCGTTCCCCTGTCGAATAGCTTACTATCTCAAATGGGTTAAGTGGTACAGTGTGCTGGATCTCAAACAATACCTCTCTGGAAGTAGTTTGACTATTTATATGTATGGCGTTATTTATATTAGCTTCCCAGTACGTTTCCAAGCACAATTCAAAGTGTTAGTGCTGCCCTTTAAAGCCCAAAATGGCCGCAGTCCAGTATACCTGAAGGAGTGGCTCCACCCCCATCATTCTGCCCGGATGCTGAGGTCCAGCACCGAGGACCTTCTGGTGGTTCCCTCGCTGCGAGAAGCAAAGCTACAGGGAACCAGGCAGAGGGCCTTCTCGGTAGTGGCACCCGCCCTGTGGAATGCCCTTCCAGCAGATGTCAAAGAGAAAAACAACTACTTGACATTTAGAAGACATCTGAAGGCAGCCCTATTCAGGGAAGTTTTTAATGTGTGACATTTTGATGTATTTTTAATCTTTGTTGGAAGACGCTCAGAGTGGCTGGGGAAGCCCAGCCAGATGGGCGGGGTACAAATAATAAATTATTATTATTAATCCCACCTTTTCCCCCCAAGGAGCTCAAGGTGGCGTAGATGGCTTTCCCCTTCCTCACTGGAACCCTGCAACAACCATGTGAGGTAGTTGAGGCTGAGAGGTAGTGAATAGCCCAAGGTTACCCAGTGAGCTTTTTAGGGTCTCTGAAGAAATCGAAGAAAAGTGGTTTCAAGCATTTCCATGCGCCTAACACCCTGGCATCTTAAGTTCCAGCTTCATATGAGCCACAGCCAAATCAGATAGCTTAATTGGGGATTGTGCACTTTACTTTCACATCACCTTTCCATTCAGAGGGGCCTTTGCTGACCATCGCAGCACCTTGATTTCCTTTAGTGCCGTAGTGCTACCAGGTAGGCTGCCATCCAGCTAATTAGAAGAATATTTTTGGCCCCAGTGATCTGGTGCAGGGATTAGCTGAGCAGGTTGGAGTTCCTCTCAAATCAAGTTACTTAGCCGAGCCCTGTGACAGAATCACTTGGAACGATACTTCTTGACGGAATGTATTTAACAGCGATCATGGAGGGATTGGGCTAATCTTTGGGGTTTGCAAATCTATGCAAATACTTCGTTAACAAAAGATGCCATGTTTATCATAAAAGGGAATAGTTGTAAATAACTCATTTGTGTATTATTGTGTATTATTATTATTATTAGTCTCTGATGGCGTTTGTTGAAAATTTGTTGATTGCAATTATATCCCACTGTTTTCTCCAAGGAGCTCAAAGTGGCACACATGGTTGTCCTCCTCCTCATTTGATCCCCACAACAAGCGCCACCCGCATCCTAATAATCCCATAATAAATACCTGTCTGGAAGCACCCTTCATACTAGAGAATGTCTCTCAGGGTCTGGGTTTAGCGCCCCTGCTTTAAGAATGAACAGACAGCCACTAGAGCAGTCTTCTGCAGTTTTCTGGTTTGCCAAACCCCATTGAACATGAAGGCGTATCATCAAATTATTGCTTCCTTAATGCTGTTTAAGTGGCTAGTCAATAAATCCTTTGCTGAGGAGATTGCATGTTGAGGAGATTGTGTTGGCTGATGGGAGGTGGAGGATAGAGAAGATGGTCATTTGATACCAGAAGATCTCAGGTCTGTGGTTGGTAAAATTAATCAACCAAATCTCTCATTGTCATGTAGTGCAGTTTGTCAGGGAAGTTCAGAGAAGTGCTAAAGGTGACTGAAATCTGGTCTTCCCCCCCAAAAAAGAGGATCTCTTCTATTCATTCCCTATGATATGCATGACAGCATCACTGGCGTTCATTAACACCACTACATAAACAAGAGTTGTTATTTTCTGTCCTTGGGGTGGCATACATTTGAAAAGAAATTGTGCTTCATTGTCATGGACTGACTGGATACAGAGGGCAAAAGGCAAAAAAGAAGGAGGTGTTGGAAGCTGAAGAGGTAACAGGGTTTAGTGAGCTGGAAGAGTCTATGGCAGAGCAGAGGTGTAGGAAGTTCAGGTGGTACCCGGTGTGGAAAATTTCTTGTCACCCCCCCCCCCCACACACACATTGTGAGGTTTTTTTTGTAGGGGTTTTTGGTCTGCAAAAATGGTTTTACGTCATTTCATATTTTCTTACAAAGGGATGTGGATTCTGGGCCTCTGATAACAAGTAGGCAACTGTGGACAGATACTTAAATCTACAGGATGGATTGTGTTTTGGCTCCACTGAATTGAAATTTCAGCCTTCGTGACATATGAAAACGGCCAAGTAAACAGTTATTTTCGTGGAGGAGGGTCAAGATATTAACTGATGTGCATGAAATTTTAGATATAGCTATATAATCCCTAGTGAGATAAGACCTTTGGAGCAGGCATTTTCAATAATAATAATAATAATAATAATAATAAATTTTATTTATATCCCGCCCTCCCCAGCCGAAGCTGGGCTCAGGGCGGCTAACAACAATAAAACAGTACAAAAGTACAGCATAAACAACACTCTAAAATCATTCATTATAAAATTAATTAATTCAAGCCACTGGCAACCATTGGGCCAGAGCTCCGCGAAGATTGCCGAGGGAGGGAGTCAGGCTGTGCCCTGGCCAAAGGCCTGGTGGAACAGCTCTGTCTTGCAGGCCCTGCGGAAAGATGTCAAGTCCCGCAGGGCCCTGGTCTCTTGTGACAGAGTGTTCCACCAGATCGGAGCCACAGCCGAAAAAAGCCCTGGCTCTAGTTGAGGCCAGCCTAACTTCTCTGTGGCCTGGGACCTTCAAGATGTTTTTATTTGAAGACCGTAAGTTTCTCTGTGGGGCATACCAGGAGAGGCGGTCCCGTAGGTACGAGTTTTTTTATGAACTGCCCTAGCAGGGCAGTAATTGTTCCTTGATAAGTTGTCAAAAGAAAACCCATGATGGCACCGGGGTGGAACGCCCCCCCGCCCCCTCCTTCCTACGCCCCTGTGGCAGAGAGAAGTCAAGAATCAGAGCCAGAAGCTGAAGGAGGGAAGCCAAAAGGCAGAGATGAGTCAGGCTGGTGAAGAAGCATGGGTGTCTCCCCCTCCTGCTGTGACCAGCTACGCTCACGCCTGGTCTCCCAGGACCAAGGGAGGTATGAAGTGGGAGGAGCAAAGGCAGGTGTATCAGCGTAGTCTCAGATTACTTGGGAAGGACTTGGGGGGAGCAGATTTAGGCACCTGTGTTAAGGTGGGGACCTTCAGCCTCCACAACTGCCTCACAGGGGCTGGACCTACCAGAGAAGAGTTGCTCATTAGGCACTCCTGAACAGACCTTGTTTCTTCTAATAAAGAATGTACTTTTCGTACTCTGTGTGATTTATTGCTGGCTTGCTCCTAACATTCATGAACCAAGGTTGTTGTTTTCCCCCAGCCTAAAAAAATCCTCTACATTCAGAAAGGAGATACCTGGCTGACAAGCTAAGGCAGTGCGCACACTTTTAGAGCACATTCAAAGCACATTCTTCTTCCCCTCAAAGAATTCTGGGCATTGCAGTTTGCTTGCAGTTATAGTTCCCCACAAACCTTAACGCACTACAGTGCCTGGAATTCTCTGAGAGGAGAAATGAGCTTTGAATGTGAAGGACAAAAATGTTTTCACCTGGCGTTAAAGGATTGCAGTGTGGGAGCCAGTCAAGTCTCTTTAGGGAGAGAAGGCTAAGTTTGTAGACTCAGCAACGCTGTCCCTGCCAGGGGCCCAAGACCTGTGGCACCAACCTCACTCGGCCTGATAGAGCCTGCCCTGCTTTTTGCTGCTCCCTCTCCCAGACATCTTTCATTGACCTTAACTCTTCCTCCAGATCTCCCAAGATACTGCTGGCTACCACCTCTGTCCTGAGTTACTGACCTGCCTGTCACACTCTCCATTTCTCAGACCTTTCATTAACCACCCAGTTCCCTGTGAGCCATGATGATGATGTTGTAGTAACTCGCTATTACATTAGCACACCACGAACTGCATCATTTTCTATGGACGTACATTGCAGTTTCCTTTTATCCAACGTTGGAGCCACTTCGCTTGAAACTTAACTAGATTTAAACAGGCTTTGCCACCCAGCTGAGCTTAATTTAGTCTTCTCACTCAGCAATGGGCAGTTTCAAATTGGAATTGATGGATAGAATAGAAACTGGAAAAGCACCAGAGGGGTTTTTTTATCTTGATCTAGTTATTGTTTTCGTTTCTTCATACCCTCCTCCCAATAAAATAAAATTTCCAATAATAAATTTGTATTGTGAACTTTACAGTAAGTGTAGTAATACAACTCTGGCCAGTGTAGAAGTTTCAGCACCAATAAATATTTTTAGCAGGAAGCGTGTATCTGCTTCAGGTGCAACCTGAACAACGACGGCTATTTGGTGGTGTTCCTCTGAAGCAAAGGAGGTGAAGGTGCTGCCAGAATCATAGAATTGTTGAGTTGGAAGGGACCACGAGGGTCATCTAGACCTGCCCCCTGCAGTGCAGGATTCTTCTGCCAAATGTGGGATTCGAACCCAACACCCTGAGATTAAGAGTCTCGTGCTCTACCAACTGAGCTATTCCTGAAGTTAAAGTCGCCTGGTCCTGAGCCTTTGGACCAGCTTCAGTGGGCATGGAATGTCAGCAAGGAAAAGGAAATTAAAAAGCAGGGGATGGGATGGAGAGACAGCAACTCTGATCGGGGAACACTCCGCGCTGCAGCATTTTGTTGCAGATCCCACTTGCCGTGTAAAAACCCAGCTGGAAGGATAGTCATTTTGTGGGCGGTAATCCTAGAATCTGCTGCAGAGTGATGCCTGGCTTTTGTTTAAAACAGGTTTGACATAGTCCTCCTCCTGTTATGGTTGCCTGTGGGGAACGAGATCATTAATCATGCATGTACATCCGAAGGTCATAATCACTCAGGACAAGGCAGTCTGTGCAAACCAGGATGAGGCTACTGAGTAACATTCATTATTTATTGTCTAGCCCTTCAATACAGGTATCTCCTCCCTTCCCTAGGATAATTCCACACCCCCAAGAAACAACAGCTCCCCCCCCCAACACACACATACTTTTTTATTTACTTACTTACTTTTCTTGAGGATAATGAGTGGGATTTACAATATCAAAAGTTCATGCATAGGCGAGCCTGATTTTAAAAATGCATTCTGCTTTGCATGCATCGTTTTGGAGGCAGCTGGAGGATGCTGAGGGTTTATCATAGTTGCTTTTTCTTTTCTTTTCAAGGAGCAGTAGACCGGTGTTTGACAGTCATCTGGTGTTCCTGAGCACACTCCCTGGGGTCGTCCTGGCCTCTTGTGGCCTGCTTGTAAAACTGCATTATTTATTTATTTTATGCACTGATAATATATACGGTATATATATAAATCCAAAAATAAAGCACGTAAAAGCTGTTCCAAGTGGAAGAGAAGGGCATGAATTTAGCAAAAGAGGGGGCCGATCATTTTTGTAACCTGCTTTGACCCCCCCCCAATCAAGTGGTATGTACATTTTATATAATGATAAAGGTAAAGGGACCCCTGACCATTAGGTCCAGTCGTGACCGACTCTGGGGTTGCGGCGCTCATCTTGCTTTACTGGCTGAGGGAGCCGGTGTACAGCTTTCAGGTCATGTGGCCAGCATGACTAAGCTGCTTCTGGCGAACCAGAGCAGCGCACGGAAACACCGTTTACCTTCCTGCTGGAGTGGTACCTATTTATCTACTTGCACTGGCATGCTTTTGAACTGCTAGGTTGGCAGGAGCAGGGACCGAGCAACGGGAGCTCACCCCGTCGCAGGGATTCAAACCGCCGACCTTCTGATTGGCAAGTCCTAGGCTCTGTGGTTTAACCCATATTTCAAAAAGTAAAAACTGGGACACCCAAAAAGTTGTTGAGCTTTTTTCTTTCTTTTTTTCTTTTTTCTTTTTTACAAATACACCCCAAAAAATCCACCTTTGAAATCATGGTAATGTCCAGGAAAATCTGTACGTTTGGCAGCCCTATGTACTGATGCTAGCTTCTATTACCTACCTTTGAAGGAAAATAATGGATACCAAAGGTGGATGTCTATGGAGATACATTTATTGAGAAATATAAGCTGCCTTGCTTAGCCAGCACAGCTGTCTTAATTGCTTTCTCGGGTGGTCTTCAGAAAACCTCACCTTCTGCCCAATGGTTTCACCCACTAACTTCTGCCAGCCAACTTCCACAGGGTTTCATACTGTTGGTGTATTGCCAAAATAAACTTGAAACGAGCCTTGAAGCACGCCTAAAACATCCGCTTAGCCATGAGAATTCTCCCCGGCCACAGCTGTCTTTATCAGGGCATATCTGGAGGAGATACCGTGAATTGTGAGGCAGTCAGGGTTCGTCAGTGTGTGCCATAATAAGCCTGTGAGTCTGTCTCTCTCTGGCCAGATGGCCGAAGGGAGCAGAGATCTGTACATAGTTCTGCAGGCCACTACTGTTATGCAACTTGTAATGTAAATAATAAAGACTTTAGAGAAAAAATTGGATGAGTGAGGTGGTAATTCCTGTCACAGAAATCCACCAAGAGAGGGGTGGACTACTGCTGCTGCTGCTGCTGCTGCTGTGAAGATGTAGGAAGACTTTCTGAGTAACTCTTCTGAGAGGAAGAAAAGAACCCCAAGAGCCCACACATACAACTGATATTATTCATATAACCCACTTAAAAGCCATTTGGGCATGTGAGTGGTACATAAATTAATCAAAGATGGTGATCTATTCAGGAATATCAACCAATTTCGCTTCGCATATCCCTTCCACGCTCAGGCACACACATTTTGCCTCTGCCACATTCAAAACCTCCATTCATTCACATTTATTCCCAGGCTTCTACCCACAAATTTCTACCGGCTTCTGAAGGTGAATTTCAGCCACCTTCCATCCCCAGACACCAACCCCTTCAGACAGATTGGTTGCATGGTCCTAGTTCTTCTTTCTTCTATGGCAATCACTCATAGCCGGGTAAGATTGTCTTCCGTGAAAACGGTTTTAACAGTGAGTCCGTAAGTGACTGTGGAGGCCAGTTCTGGATCCACACGTCCTTCCACAGTGAGGACATTGGTTTCCGGGCAGGAGCTGATCACGGTGAGGGTTTGCCAAACGTGCCTTTCTCTTAGCTCGCTTCTCCTTTTTGCCCTGAGTTCGTACTTCTTCAAAGACCCCAACACCTTTGGTAAAGGCTATTCTCCAACTGGAGCACTCGCAAACCAGTGTTTCCCAGTTATCACTGCTTATACTACATTTTATAAAAATAAGCCTCTTTTGTTGTCCACCGGTATTTCGCTTTCCATTCTTAAGTTGAGAATAGAGTAGTTGTGGTAGTGGCGCCTGCCCTGTGGAACACCCTCCCATCAGATGCCAGAGAAATAAACAACTATCGGACTTTTAGAAGACATTTGAAGGCAGCCCTGTTTAGTGAAGCTTTTAATATTGGATGAATCATTGTATTTTAATATTCTGCTGGAAGCCGTCCAGAGTGGCTGGGGAAACCCAGCCAGATGGGCAGGGTATAAATAATAAAATATTATTATTACTATTATTATTATTATTATTATTATTATTACCACTACTACTACTACTTTGGAAGACGATAATCAGCCATCCGAACAACATGACCAGTCCAACGAAGTTGATGTTGAAGAATCATTGCTTCAACACTGGTGATCTTTGCTTCTTCCAGTACACTGGCATTAGTTCGCCTATCTTCCCAAGTGATGTGTAAAAAATTTCAGTGCTAGTACCAAGTAGCTCACTGTACAAAAGGTAAAATGTAATCCCACTTTGGCCCTGTCCACCACTGGTATGTGGCCCTCAGAAGCTGCCCAGAAGAAAATGCGGCCCTCAGTCTGAAAAAGATTCCCCACCCCTAACTTCATGAAGATCAAAAAGAGCACCTTGAACTTTGGCTGGGAACAAGTAACAGTGTCCTCAGCTGGAAGATGACTCATACTTTGTGAGAAGCTGGGAGGAGACCAAAGACCAGGCCTCTGTAAGTACAACAGCTTCATTTACATAACAGAAGCAAGCAGGCTGCTTGTGTCATGGAAAAACACAGCTGGGAGAATCATGCAGTCCTGGTCCACCCACTGGGCTGCAGGGCACCAGGTAGCCAAGCCCAGAAAGAAGATCGGCTGATATTTCTTCCCTGTGGCTCAGAAGTTCCCAGGAAGGCTTTAACCACAACTTTGGCACTTTAGCACGAAAAGGGTTCCCCCAAATGAAGTCATGTTGGGGCATAGGAGAACCCCACAACGTGGTGGCCGTCATCCAAAGATCTCAGAAGCCCATTAAACACTTATCCAGCAGCACCAATAATGGTGTTTGTTTTATCCATTGTCTCTAGACATACACTTACACAGTCAACATTCAAACATATTACTTAATGTAACCACTCCACTGAGAATACTGAGCGGTTGGAATAGTGAGGTCTTGATTTTGGCCATTAACATAGTTAAAGAAAGGGGTCCACGTTTCTCAGAAAGGTGTCTGTATTCATTATGCCTTTAATTGCTCTCCTGTGTCTGGTGAGATGCTCAGACATTGCTGTATCCCAAATATCATTTTCCCATACGTATGTTCAGGGGCATTTCAGTCCGGTTCTTCCATTGCTGAGAGATCACTAGTGGCGCCACGGTCAGTAAGGAACCTACTAGTTTTCTGTGGCACAGAGTTGCTTTTAAGTTTTTTACTCTTTTACATGAGATTGCCTTAAAAGAGAGACACACACACACACACAGAGAGAGAGAGAGAGAGAGAGATTGCCTTATCCTACTCAGATATCTAGAATGACGGCATTTGAGGTTTCTTACAATCAAGCAATACGGTATATAGTTTTATGAAATGAATGAATAAATCAATTGCCTTGAGATAGCAGTTAAGAATTGTAGAGCTGGAAGGGACCACGAGGGTCATCTAGTCCAACCCCCTGCAATGCAGGAACCTTTTGCCCAACGTGGGTCTCGAACCCACAACCCTGAGATTAAGAGTCTCATACAGACTTTTCTAGGGTGACACCATAAAGAGCTAAGCACTTTTGCTGGAGTAGCAGGCAGGCAGGCAGGCAGGCAGGCAGGCAAGGCTTTCCTCTGTAAATCCTGCTCCGTGAATCTTTTTCTCTCTCCCTTCTTCTGCTACTCTTTCTGACAGTGTTTCATTTTGCATACGCTCTGCCCTCAAGTGAGAGCTTGAGCTCCTAGCTGCTAAAGGTCCGTGTCACTCTCTGTTCCATCAGTCGCTCATCGTACCATAGATACCCAGCGCAGGCGTCTTTGGAAAGTGGGTCATGCTCGACATACGCTCTTCCGCTATCTGTCAGGACCCATCCGCCTCTCCCAAGCTGCCTTGCAAAGACATCAAGCATTCGGGGCAACCTTGGTCGTAAGTCCAAGCCTGTTTCAAATCCAGGGCGCATCTTGCCCAACCTGTAGGTGACGATGGCTGGTCTCTTTGGAGCTAAAGGTAAAGGTAAAGGGACCCCTGATCATTAGGTCCAGTCGTGGCCGACTCTGGGGTTGCGGCGCTTATCTCACTTTATTGGCCGAGGGAGCTGGCATTTGTCCACAGACAGCTTCCAGGTCATGTGGCCAGCATGACTAAGCCACTTCTGGCGAACCAGAGCAGCGCATGGAAACACCATTTACCTTCCCGCCGGAGCGGTACCTATTTACCTACTTGCACTTTGATGTGCTTTCGAACTGCTAGGTTGGCTGGAGCTGGGACCGAGCAACAGGAGCTCACCCTGTCGCGGGAATTTGAACCGCCAACCTTCTGATCGGCAAGTCCTAGGCTCTGTGGTTTAACCCACAGCGCCACCCGCATCCCTCTTTGGAGCTAGTGGGACAAAAATCAAGGAGGCCAACAGTAGGTGGCGCCAGAGCCAAAGACAAGTGGAACCCCCAGACGAGCTTTAAACTTTCCTATAGGGAAAGGTTGCAGTGTTTGGGACTTTAGAGAGAAGGCAGGTAAAAGGTGACATGCTAGAAGTATATATAATTATGCGTGGCATGCAGAAAGTGTATAGAGAGACATTTTTCTCCCTGTCTCATTACACTAGAACTCATGGACATCCAACAACGAGGAATGTCGGAAGATTCAGGGCAGCTAAAGTACTTCTACACAGAGCCCTGGGGCTGGGCAATATACTGATATAACATCCAAAACCGGTTTGCAATCCATATAGTGATATTGGTTTCATAATTTTTGACCTGGCGATATATCACAAATCATGGTGGGTGTCAGGAGTGCATGCAGGAGCCAGGCCCTGTGACCAATAGGACTTTGCAGGACTGGGGCCTTCCTAAGTTTGTTCTGAAGAGGCAAGGCTTCATAGGTGAGGCCGATTGGTAACTCACAGCACCTGGTGGCAAGAGCCATGAAGGGATATAAGGTCAGCATTTCCCTTCGGCTCTTTGCCACAGCAACACGCTTTCTACCTTGCTGCATTTGGCTTCTTGCTTCCTGATTCTTGAACCTCGGCTTCTTGACTCCTTGCTTCTTGATCCTCGGACCCTTGACCTCATGACTCCTTGCTTCCTGACCCTCGGACCCTTGGCTTCTTGACTCCCGGCTCTCTGACCCTCGGACTCTTGGCTTCCTGGCTTCTGGACCCCCGTTCCTACTCCCACCCCGCCATCTTGCCCCCGGTCCTGATGTCCCCTGCCAGGACTTCAATTGCCCGTGAACTGGACCGTGACAGTGGGTGGGTGGGGGTGCTATGCAAAAATCACAATGTAGGGGAAACTGTGAAGCCAGCCAGTGCTCCTCTCGATTCCTGCAGCTCCCTGTTAACTCTACCAGCTCATCTCTCCCCTACCTCCCGCGGGGGGCAGTGAATCACAAGAGCAGGCACCGGCAAAAAATCGCGATGAGGGAAAACCGTGAAGCCAGCCAATGCCTCTACAGAGCTCCAACCTTATTTCAGACATCGTGATATACTTTATAAGTATATTGTGATGTTTAACTGGTGATACAGTATATTGCAATGTTGAAAATCAGAAATCGCTCAGAGCTACACAACACATAGTTAAACTATGGAACTCGCTGCCACTGGAAGGAGTGATGGCTACCAATGTAAATGGCTTTTTAAAAGGTCCCTCTTCCTCTCACAGAACTACAATTCCCAGAGTTCCCTGGGAAGAGAGATGGATTGTTAAGCTGCTCAGGAAATTCTGACTCTGAGTAAGGAATAGGAGTCTCTGGCCAACTTTTGGCATCCTTAACAAACTACAGCTCCCAGAATTCTTTGGGGAAAACCTTGACTGCTTAGAGTATATCATGGTGCTTTGAATGTATGATTTGAATGTGCCCTGCCACACCCATCACCTTTGGCCATGCTGGCTGCTGGGGGTCTTGGGAGCTGGCCCTGGAGGGACACAGATTCCCCAGCAATTTGCTTGGGGATGGGGGCAACTTGCCTGACCTTGTATAAGACAAGTTACTTATGCAGCCATGCAGACAGCTCAGGAAGCTGAAGCACTTTTGATTGCTGCTGAAGCCAGCAAAAGCAGAATCCATTCCGGTGAAAAAGCCATCAGTATGCAATTTAGTTGCTTATTTAGTGCCTAGAACGAAAAGATAGCTTGGAAAGATGGATGCAAATGCAGCCTGAAGTCACTGCTTATAATTTACCATTTGCAATGTAATGGGGGAAAGGCAGTCACTGAGAGGACGAGGAGTGCGTACTCAGCATGTAAAAGATCCTAGGTGTGATGGCCTGGGATTCAGTCTCGGAGGCTGAACCTGAGGAATCCCAGCCTGCACAGGAGTCCCCGCCTCCAGAACCAGCTGAGCCGGGGCTGGGGCCTGAGCCTGAAGGGTCCTCACCTGTGCTGGATCCTCAGGTGCAGGCACCAGCTGAGTCTGCTCTGGCTTCTGAGGTGATGGAGGACCCATTGCCTGCAGGTGCTCCACTCTCAGCCCCGCCAGGGGAAGAGGAGGTTGCCTCTGGGTCCGGTAACCCTCCAGCCTCTCCTGAACTGCAGAGGCTCAGGGCAGAGAGGCGGAGGGAACTAAGTTCCCGCAGGAGGAGTGCTCGCCTCCAGGCCAGGAGAGGCGAGTGGACCGGGGCCGCCCTACGCCTTGGGGCAGATAAAAGCCAGCCCCAGACCCAGGTTGCGGGAGCAACATTGTTGGTACCCTGTTTCTGCCTGTACCCTGTCCTGCTCTTCTGCCAGAGTTCCTGACCTCACCTGACTCCCTGCCTTGGACCCCGCTTCAGCCTTGACGGACAGTCTCCACACCACACCCTCGACCTCGGACTGGACTCAGACCTTGCCGCACGGTTAACCCTCGGGACCAGCACACTAGGTTTGATTCTTGGCATCCTCCAGTTTAAACATGGGTGTCAAGCAGCCAGAGAGGTAGAGTAGACACAGGATGAATAGGCCAGTACTCAGGAACAGCTCAACACATTTTGCTGCCTGAAGCAGAGCAGCAACCAACATTTCTCCCGCCCCCCCGCCCAAGTCAAAGCACCGTTAGATTATTAGAATAATGCTGTGTGTACATGTGGACAAAACCCCGCCTACAAAGCAATCTCAGTTTCATGCAAAGAAATTGCACTGAAAACTATTCAGAAATGGCATCTTATGCCTGCAGCATATTAATCCAATGCCCCACTGTGTTGCAGCAGGAGCAAAATTAAGGGAACCTTCCTCCACATGTGGTGGCAATGCGACAAAGTCTCCTCGGGATTTCATCTTCGCAGAGATTTGTGAAATCAAAGCCCAACGCCTTAAGAAAAATCAATGAGCTAGCCTTGTTGAATTTATTTCAAGGTGAAAACCTGCACGTTCATTTCAAACCATTAATTGGATATTTGCTGGTTGCAGCCAGGTTTGTGGTTGGCAGTTTTTGGAAGTGGCAACTCTCACAACATGGTGACAGCAAGTGACGTGGCAGATTTCTTTATATGGACAATTTACAAATAAGCTAAAAATGGCAAGGGAGGGGAAAGAAAAAAAATCACATACAAGTTTATGGCAGAATGAGTAATTGAATCATAGAATTGGAGAGTTGGAAGGGACCTCAAGGGCCATCTAGTCCAACCCCCTGCAATGCAGGAATCTCAGCTAAAGCATGCATGACAGATGGCCATCCAACCTCTGCTTAAAAACTGCTACTTTTTTAGTGCATATATGAAGACAGACAACAGGGGTCCTCCTAGCATTTAAAACCTTCTGGCTGGTTTGAGAGCTTCAGTATGCTGATGACAAGGTAATGTTGTGCACCCTCAGAGGATGACCTCCAAACCATCCTAAATATCTTTGCAGAAGCTTACAAAAAGCTTGGCCTATTGCTCAACAACCAAAAAACCAAAGTGCTGCACCAACAACCACGAAACCACCCCTCTGCAGTGCCACAAATCCAACTCAATGGTGTAACGTTGGAAAGTGTTGATCACTTCTCCTACCTGGAAAGTTATCTTTCCACAAGGGCCGACATTGATGCCGAAATCCAGCATTGCCTGAGCTCTGTGAGTGCAGCTTTCTCCCGATTAAAGTGCAGAGTGTTTGAGGACCAAGACATTCACAGGGAAACCAAAATGCTCGTTTACAAAGCTATTGTACTACCAACCTAACTGAATGCTTGTGAAACATGGATCACTTATAAATGCCACCTCCAACGCCTCAAAAGATTCCATCAATGGTGTCCACGAAAATGTTAACACATCACTTGGGAAGACAGACGAACTAATGCCAGCGTACTGGAAAAAGCAAAGATCACCAGTGTTAAAGCAATGATTCAAAGACCCAAAACCAGCTACCTAAGGTGGAAAGGCTGTTCTTACCCACGGTGTAATTCTGTGTGCAGAGTTCTGCACTATATTCCTTTCTTTTGTCCTCACTCCATGTCAGCTGTGAAAGGAAGCACTAGCTTTTTGCCCAGGAGTTCCCTGACCTATAAAGATCCTGTTATTTCAGAATTCCTAGTTTTACCTGTTTTGGGTTTTATAATGCTGTTTTACTGTTCCTAACATACTGTTCTCTGTTGTTTTGTCTGTGTGTGTACCTTTTAGGGATTTTAAAATATATTGACACTAATAAATAAATAAATTGGCCGGAGGTGGTGGTGAAAGGTATGCTGGCTGAGACCCTACCTGCCCGCAAACTGTCTCGCCAGAGTGGTGCATGCTCTTGCTATCTCCCGCTTGGACTACTGCAATGTGCTTCGTGGGGCTACCTTTGAAGGTGACCTGGAAACTACAACTAATCCAGAATGCAGCAGCTAGACTGGTGACTGGGAGCGGCCTCCGAGAACATATAACTCCAGTCCTTGAAATACCTCCATTGGCTCCCAGTACGTTTCCGAGCACAATTCAAAGTGTTGGTGCTGACCTTTAAATGGCCTTAGCCCAGTATATCTGAAAGAGTGTCTTCCAGTATAACCCAGCCAGATGGGCAGAGTATAAATAAATTATTATTATTATTATTATTATTATTATTATGTGTAACGAAATCTGCATGATCCATCAGGATTATAGCTGGGATAGCTCAGTCCATAGAGCATGAGATTCCTACTCTCAGGGTTGTGGGTTCGAGACACAAAAGTTGTTGACATTCAAACAAACACTTCCTGGTTCTGTTAGCAAAAACCCGGACATTTCGCCGATTTTTCAAAATTCCCCGTGGATTCTAACTTAAAATTAGTTGGCTCAACCTGCCATTGGCTCTGTCTCCGTCTCCCCCTCTCTGCCTTCTAGCCAGCTGTGCCAATGAGTGCCAGTCACTACTGGGTGGCAGCGAAGAGAACCTACTGCAGGGGTCAGCAAACTTTTTCAGCAGGGGGCCGGTCCACTGTCCCTCAGACCTTGTGGGGGGCCGGACTATATTTTGGGGTGGGAAATGAACGAATTCCTATGCCCCACAAATAACCCAGAGATGCATTTTAAATAAAAGGACACATTCTAGTCATGTAAAAACACTCTGATTCCTGGACGGTCTGCGGGCTGGATTGAGAAGGCGATTGGGCCGCATCTGGCCCCCGGGCCTTAGTTTGCCTACCCGTGACTTAGAACAACAAATCCACTTTTTTGAATAAAACCACCACGGGATTTTGAGGTTTGGAAAGGGATGAGGAATTGCATTGTAAAGCGTGAGATGAACAAATTGTTCCTGGGAAGACGTGGAATTCCCCAGAAACAAATCAGAGCGGATGTTTGTTGTCATATAACCTCTCCGCAAACTAAACGAAACTGCAATATAATCTAGCATCCACTGTGCAAGCGAATCAGGACGAATGCTGAATAATCCTGACATCTGGAGGAGCCTTAGGTTAAACTCTGGGTGGCCTGAAGTCAAAGGAAAGTTCTGTCCAGAATGAACCATTCGCAAACACACAAGTCATCGTTCAATACCATGAAATCATCAGCTGATAAATACATATGGTGGGAACCATTCTTCAGTTTTGAAATGGAGAGGAACTTCCCTGGATGCAGTGGTCAAGAGACAGATCACAGAGTTGAAAGGAACCCTGGGGATCATCTAGTCCAACCCTCTGCAATGCAGAAACATGCAGCCGCAACCTTGGCATTATCGACACCACGCTCTAACCAACTGAGCTATCCATGCTGTAATGTTTAGATGCAGCCCTTTAATGCAAGACTAGAACTCATGGACATCCAGTGAAGCTGAATATTGGAAGATTTGGGAGAGATGAAATAACGTCCTTCTTCATGTAAAAAGGTAAAGGGTAAAGGGACCCCTGACCATTAGGTCCAGTCGTGGCCGACTCTGGGGTTGCGGCGCTCATCTCGCTTTATTGGCTGAGGGAGCCGGTGTACAGCTTCCGGGTCATGTGGCCAGCATGACTAAGCCGCTTCTGGCGAACCAGAGCAGCGCACGGAAACGCCGTTTACCTTCCCGCCGGAGCGGTACCTATTTATCTACTTGCACTTTGACGTGCTTTCAAACTGCTAGGTTGGCAGGAGCAGGGACCGAGCAACAGGAGCTCACCCCATCGCGGGGATTCGAACCGCCGACCTTCTGATCGGCAAGTCCTAGGCTCTGTTGTTTAACCCACAGCGCAACCCGCGATGGAACTCACTTCCACAGGACGCAATGATGGCCACCAGCTTGGATGGTTTTTAAAGACGATTAGAGAAAATCATGGGGGACAAGACTATCCGTGTGTATACTATGTATACAGAAGGACACCAGTTTGGTTCCTGCTGGCACCTCCAGTCAACAGGATCAGGTAAAAGCAAGAGCCCTGCTCTGCCCTGGAGTCCCTGGAGAGACTGCAGCTATCCAGGAATAACCAACAGTTACCTCCAGATGTTGCTGCTCCAACAACATCTGGAGAAAACCATGTTGTTTACCCCTGCCCCAGACCAAACCAGACGGAATGGTCTGATTTCCTATACGTTTTCTCTGACATATCAGGAGTTTTTGAGTGTACGCCGCGGTGCAAAATGTGATCAGTTTTGACAAGGTTGAGGATCTTTTTTAATGGCAACAAAAAGACACAAGAGGGTGCTCTTGAGTCGCCATTAAGCCACAAAGTTCCTGTTCAGGCTGCTCAAATTGCACGTGCCTTTAACAAGCTTCCAAGAGAGAGATTAATAGAATCAGATGCATTTACAGTCAAGCAAATGCATAATGTGAAAATAATGAAGGGTTCCGACCAGCACATCCTTGCAGCTTAAACGCTATTAGTTTGATGTTTGCCAAAAAAATCCAGCTACGTTTTTGCAGTCTTCCCCCATCCTGGTGCCTTCCAGATGTTTTGAATTCTAACCCCCATAAACCCCAGCCTGTGCCGGCTGGGACTGACGGGATTTGGAATCCAAAACATCTGGGGGTCACTAGGTTAACTCAGGGAAGCTGCTTTAGAGTCTGCCTTTAAAATGTTAACACTGCAGGGTCTGGACGATGAAGCCAGAGACGGCTTGGGTTGCAGTTACCTGCACACGGGATCAAACTTCGTATCAAATCTGATGTAAATATGAGATGAGGGAAGCTTTGGTCTTTGTGGGATATTCCTTTGCAAATGCCTAGGCTTACGGTTGATTTGGATTATACAAAAAGAATTGAACAAAATATTATTTCTGGATGTACTGTTGCGCATTCCTTTGATATTAAAGTTGGGCAGGGTTGCCCCAAACCAGCAACACTGGTGTATATTCTGGGTTCAATTCTAGTGTCTAAAGCCCCCAATGACTTAAAGGTAAAGGGACCCCTGACCATTAGGTCCAGTCGCAGACGACTCTGGGGTTGCGGTGCTCATCTCGCTTTACTGGCTGAGGGAGCAGGCGTACAGCTTCCGGGTCATGTGGCCAGCATGACTAAGCCGCTTCTGGCGAAGCAGAGCAGTGCACGGAAACGCTGTTTACCTTCCCGCCGGAGCGGTGCCTATTTATCTACATGCACTTTGACGTGCTTTCGAACTGCTAGGTTAGCAGGAGCAAGGACCGAGCAACGGGAGCTCACCCCGTTACGGGGATTTGAACCGCCGACCTTCTGATCAGCAAGCCCTAGGCTCTGTGGTTTAACCCACAGCGCCACCCGCGCTCAATGACTTAGGTCTGAGAAATACCATCTCCTTGCCTGCAAGCCTTCTCGGTTGTTAAGACTGGCAGAGAGGGCCCTCTTGGTGGTCTATTGCCCTCAGAGGTTTGGGGCAATGGCAGTCTGGGAGTGAGCTGTAGAATTCCCTCCCCACATGGGTGCCTCTGACAACTTCATTATGTACCGTATTTTTTGCTCTATAAGACTCACTTTTTCCCTCCTAAAAAGTAAGGGGGAAAGTGTGTGAGTCTTATGGAGCGAGTACAGGCTGCGCAGCTATCCCAGAAACCAGAACAGCAGGAGGGATTGCTGCTTTCACTGCACAGCGATCCCTCTTGCTGTTCTGGCTTCTGAGATTCAGACTATTTTTTTTCTTGTTTTCCTCCTCCAAAAACTAGGTGCGTCTTGTGGTCTGGTGCATCTTATAGAGCGAAAAATACGGTACCTTCCCTCTTGGGCTGAAGAGGCTCTGCTTTATCTCTTCGGCCTTTTGCTCCGAGGACGTTTTCAGAACCCGCCATCTTCTCTTGACTGTGCAATTTGTTGCCCCATTCCTTCGCATAAGAGAATGGTCTGTCCACACCATGATAAATGGTAGTTGTAATTGAAAAAAGCTGCAGTCCAGGTCTTGTAGTCCAGCATTGGTGACCACATGTTTGAGGTGCCCAGGGGAAAAAGTTTGAGAACCACAGGATTAAGGCAAAAGAAAATACAAAAAACCTACCCTACAGTAAATACAAATACCAGAGCACAATATATAAATGCAATAAAAATATAAAATAACAAAAACCCAGGCACACCATGTAGGAAGATCTACATGGCTCCATCATTACTAAGTCTTCAAAAGGACCTTAAAGACATTTCTATTCCAGTTCTTGCTTATATTGTGGAATTCCCTCCCAAGAGAAGTTAGACGGGCTCCCTTTTTGTTATTCTTCTGCCAGCAGGTCCAAAGCTTCCTGTTCAGACAGGCCTTTGAAAACGAAGGAGCAGACAGTGGTGACCACTAGCTTCCTGCCAAGGCAAACTGTATTTTAATGGCCAGTTCTAAATGTGTTCTGATGCATTTTAATTATTGTTTTTCACTAGTTTGTTTTTATTACTTTGCATTTTATCATGTTTTTTTAAATGTTGTAAGCCACCTCAAATTCCAGCTTGGGAGAAAAGAAGGCTATGAACATATTTAATATAGCGATGATGGTAATTAACTTCCATGGGCCATGCTTGTAAATGTTGATTGCTGCTGCTTATACATTAGAAGAGGCAGGGCCATCTTAAGCATATCCGGCGCCGTGGTGCAAAGATCCCTCCAGCGCCCCCTCCCCCCATAGTTTCCCATAGTTGTCGACCTTTTTTTATGGATGGAACCACTGGACTTACTCCCAAGTAAGCAGCTGTAAGATTGCAGCCTCGCATGCTGCTTCTCCTGCATTCTCCCTGTTCCTTCTCTTCACTTTCCTCAAAATGTGAAATCCTTGCGTGTAATGGGGGGGGGGGAATCTACTGACAGCGTTAGGGTTAGGGAGCTCACCCCGTCATGGGGATTTGAACCGCTGGCCTTCCAACCGGCAAGCCCAAAGAGGCTCAGTGGTTTAGACCACAGTGCCACCCGTGTCCCAGCGGGTGTCCCGCATCCTGCGTCACAGCCAAATTAAACAATCAAGAACGGGTACTATGTGGCACCTGTAGGAGTGCCGGTTCGGCCAATCGCTGCGGTTGTGTGGGTGCATATAGGATTGTTATCCCACGGGTAAACCGGCCCCAAGTTGTTAAGAGCTTTGTATACTAATAGTGACACCTTGAACCTGGCCCCAGTAGCAAATTGGCAAACAGAGCAGATCTCTGAGCACGGGTGATATACACTAATCTCTGCGGGGATCGCTCTCCTCTCGCGGAGGTTTGGGAGGCAAGCTGCATGCCCGCCAGCCATATGGTTGGCGGGGCACAGCTGGCAGGCATGCAAGGAAAGGGGAGGCCGATGGCAAAGCCGCGCAGCTCCCTTACTCGCTGGGGCGCTCCTGAGAGGCCGGCGCCCTGGTGCAACGCACCAC